AAGTAGGAGCTTGTTATATACCTAAATAACGTCCTTTAAGAATAAGACGACGTGTCTATAGTAACTCTATTGTTAGCCTCGAATCTAGAAGCATTCTACCTAGATATATATACGAGCTATCAATATCTCTTCTACTATAGTAGGGTTATTAAGTCTATAGTCAATCCGCCTAGGGTCTATACGATTACCGGCTGATATAAGCGGTAGGGTACCCTGCTTCCTAGTAGTGCTGCCTTTGCGAGATTTACTGCAGTATATCTTGTATACGTTAGTATACTCGATAGTCTTAATAGTAAAGACATATTGCAGGTCTAGGTTGAACTAGCGCTTATTATACATATCGTATATAGTTATTATATCTAAGTCGAGGGTATCGTTAAAACTCGTTAAGAGTATATTGTCAAATACGGATAATACTAGTTGGTCTAGGTTATCGTTATCTAATATCGGCCCGTTGCTCTCGTTAGTTAGCAACCGTATTACGTAGTGCTCGTAATCTCGTTGTACTACGCTAGCTCTAGCGGATGTCTTGCGTCGCTAACGGTATATAGGCTACGAGGGCTACGAGGGCTACGAGGGCTACGAGGGCTAAGAGGTATTATTATTATTATTATTATTATTATCTGCAGAGTCGTATTTGTCTACGATAGTATTAGGTTAAGTAAATTAGAAGCTCGAAGTGCCGAACTCGTATAGTGTCGATTTATCGGCGCCTTAGAGGGGTTTATAATCTAAAGTTTGCGATAATATAGCAAGTAGCGCTATCTAAGAGGATATAGGCCGAAACATTTAGCGACGCCGAAGGAATTCAAGATAACTGTAGGTAGCCGAAGACGTCGTCTTAATACTAAATTAGTTAGTAATTAACCTATGTTACTAACGAAATCGAGAGTTATTTAGGTTACTTAGGACCGATAGCGACGGTACGGTAGCGCTTAACGGAGTATCGTTGATTATAGAGCTTAATATAGTACCGATTAGGATAGCTGTCTCGGCGCGGAGGCTAGATACGGATACAGTAGGTATAGGTATTAGTATAGAGCTCGGTACGACTATCGTTATAGATAGATTTAGGTTCGGGTTTAGTACTAATCGTTCAAAACGGGTACTAAGACCGAATCGGCTTACAATTGATTAATACTAAGTGTCGAATCGTAGATCGTTCGTATTAGTAGGTAGTAATAATTCTAGTATACTAAATATAGGTACAGCGGCAGGTAAGGCGTATAGTACGAGTAGCTAGAAACGGCTACTAATACCGAATTAGCTCGTAATTGCTTAGTACTATATCGTAAATCGAGGATCGTTTATATTCGTCGGAAGCGCTAACGACGACGAGGAGGCAGTAGGTATTAGTACTAGTACTGTAGTAGTACGGGATGTTACTTTAGTCTTTTTAGCTAGAGGTATATACTAAGTTGTAGGTATACTAGGCGCTATCCGTCGACAATCGGCGTAGGTAGTAATAGCTTTACGGTATCTAGTACGCTTGTCTACGAAGTAATTCTTCGTTCGCTAGTAGCCGTAGGTATACCTCTTTATACCTAGATAGTTAGCGTCGTAGTCGGACTCGAATTCGTCTTCTAGATTAAAATCAACTCGATCTTATAGAATAGTACGCTTAGGTAGTCGCTTGTTTAGAGGTTCCTCGTTACCGCCGCCGGCCGCGCTGTCCTAAATAGTAGCTATAGATTAGCAGGTATAGAGGAGGGGATAGGTAGGAGGTACGGTAGAATAGAGTAGGTACGGTAGGTTTAGGGTAGGTACGGGGGGTAGGTATAGAGTAAGTACGGGGAGTATAGGGTAGGTATAGTAGAATAGTAGTAGGTACTTCGTAGTGCTTAATTCGGTATATAGTTCGGTACGTCGGTACGGTACGTCGGTACAGTATATATAGTATAGTTCTACGAGTTAGTTAGCGTTGTTAAGTTTTTATAAACGTAGGTTTGCTAAACACTTTGTTAGAAGGTATATAGTTTGTTAAGCGAGTAACTTCTTTAACGGCGTCGTTCGGTAGTAGCGTAAATGTCTTAGTATTATACGGCGGCGATAATAAGCTCGTCGTCGCTGTCGTCGGTTTAATTCGGGGTATAGTCGATAATTCGGTTGATTTTGGTATAGGGTTCTATAGTTTAGTTAGACGTATCGATTTAGCTAGAATTGTCTTAATTTCGGTATAGGGTTTTGCAGTTTAATACTAATTGTCGATTCGGCTAGAATTAGTCTTAATTCGACGTAGGGTTCTACAATTTAGTTCGGTATATCGATACGGTATATACGGTTCGGTATATATAGTTCGGTATATAGTATAGTTCTATAAGTTAGTTAGCGTTATTAAGTTTTTACGAACGAAGGTTTGATAAACACTTTAGTAGAAGGTATATAGGTTAGCGAGCGAGTAACGTTTTCGACGGCGTCGTACGGCGGCGGCGTATCGGCGGCAGAGTAAATGTCTCTTTAGTATATCGGCGGTATTACGGTAAGGCTCGTCGTCGCTATCGTCGGTTAACTTTAGTGTAGGGTTCTATAGTTTAATACTAATTGTCGATTTGGCTAGAATTGGTCTTAATTCGGCGTAGGGTTCTATAATACAGTTCGGTATATCGATTCGGCGTAGAATTAGTCGATCCGGCGTATATTTCTACGAGTTAGTTAGCGGTATACATATCGGCGGTAAGGCTCGTCGTCGCTATCGTTATACGTTAGATCTTACGATAGGTATTCGGTTCGACGGGGTATCGGCGGCGGCGGCGTATCGTCGGCGGCGTAATTTCTTCGATAGCGTATCGGCAGTAGACGTCCGCGGCGGTAGTATACGTCGTCGTCGTCGTCGTAGCGGTAGGTATCGGTATTGTCGGTAGTATAATATTAGTATAGATAGAAGGAAGTTTAGGAGTAGAAGTAGAAAGTTCAAGTCTGCTTACGTTATTATAATATATTATACCGGAGGACGGTTTTTCCGGCTCCGAAAGCCGCGCTCCGCGCGCCTACCTTACTATACTATATCGCGACGTATAGCGCTACGCGCTATATACCTACGTACGTAACGCAATATACGTACTACGTATATTACGTACGCGGTAGATTGCCTCCGGCGGGTATAGTAGTCCTTCGCTTTGCTACGAAACTATACGGAGGTGCCTCCGGCGGCTACTACGTAGAGCTTTTTTTTTTGCGCCTATAGCGGGCTTTTTTAAGGTAGTAACGTATTTGGCCTAGCGCGCCCTACTGTAAAGGATGCGCTAATTAGAGTGTATGCTCTCTAGGATTTCTAGCCCTATTTTATAGATTGATTGGCCTCTACTCCCCCCCTACGCCTAACCTATACTACGCTTCGGAAGGCTAGGGAGGTCGTTCCGTACTAACTAAATATAGGAAACTTTATCCTCTACTAATTCCTGAATATACTTACCTAAGCCAACAATACCTATTATAAATAGCCTTAGTAAGCGCTTCTTATTATTGTAGAGGGTCTTAATTAGTTATAAGTCTAGTAAGTTAGTAGGGGTATCCAAAAATTTGATATTTTAGGCCTTAATCAAACTAGTAACAATCCTTCTTACTTTGTAATAGATACTAACGTTATCTTCTATAATAAAGACTTCCTTATAAGGGTATAAGGCCTAGACTTTATAATAGTACTTAAAAAGTTGGTCCCTATATATCTAGAAAGTATAGAATACTGAATCTAGTCCCTCCTTTTTCCTATCCCTTAAAATCTTCTTAATTTTGAATAACCTCTTAGTAGTAACGTATTTTTTCCTCTCTTTGCGCTGTCTAGAAGGTAGAGAGGTATTATAAGCATTAATTCTAGTATTAGTTTCTTAAAGAAGTTCCTATTCTAGAGTATTTTCTACCTTTAAGGCCTAGATTTGCCTCTCTATCTAAGAAGCTATCTTAGCTTATACTCTAGCTAGATCCAAGGCTAATTTAATAGTTATATTATCTAATTCTAGCTTCTAAACAACTACCCTACGTTGTAGACGAGTTTCGGAAGAGATAGCGGCCTACTATATTCTTAAAAAGCGAGGATTAAACTAGTCTAAGTAGATATCTACCCCTTTTAGTACTAATATATAGTTCTTACCTCTATAACCCCTAAAATTAAGTAGAGTCTTATTATAGAAGATAAGCTTAACCTCCTCTGCTTTAAGAGCTAGAACCTACTTAATATATCGCTTCCTATCGTCTAAATCGAGCTTCTCTAGGGCAATCTTGTTTAGGGCCCTTTTTCTATAGATTAGTCGATTATCTACTAGATCCGCTTAGTAATAAGCTTTACCCCTAAGTATATTCTATACCTGCTATAGTTTTAGGGCTTAGAGTAGATATCTGAGTAAGTTATTACAGATTGAATCTATAGTATAGTTAGTAGCTTAGGGTTAGCTTTACTACTTCTATTTGTCCCTAATATCTCGTCTAATCTATAAAGATGTCCGAGAACCCGGTTCTACGCATTAAGGAGCCCTACTCCGAGGTAATAGATCGATATAATCGAGTATCTAAGTAAAGGTATTCGATTTAGCCCTAGTTTTAGCTCTATAGAGGAATCTTTAAGCTACTTAGGCATTTACTCCTAGTAGGACGGTCGCAATTTAGTCAAATGTATATCTAGCGATAGTATAGAGTATAAGGATTGCAACGCGGGTATTATAATCGATATCGATTTCTATAGTCTATATATAGAATAATTACTCTACAAAGTAATAGAATTTATCTTAAAGGGAGGTGGATTTTTGCCAAGAAGACAGACTTTCGGAACCGCGGAGGTACTATGTTAAACATGTCCTAGCTCAACATTACCTCTAATAGGAGATAGATAGGAAACTTAGACATAATTGAAGCTGTACCTAGGGTAGAGAGTAAGACAGGACCCTAGACTAACTCTGCCAAGACAACAACAAGTTACAACCAAGTACCTCACTGGATGTGAACAGGGCTGCCTGAGGCTCATCTAAGTGCCTTGCATAGGTACATGATACATGCACGTACCTTATGCTGACAAGGAGAAAAGAAACAAATCTATTGGTATATCTGCTACATACGCTGGATGAAAACCTCATGGATAGGAGCTTTGAGGAGTCACCTCGCCTACATTCAAAGCATCACTATCGCGAGGTCCCGCGTAATTCTTCCGCCCCCAAATGTAATACCACGCCAATGCTACGCCCAGACCGGCCACGAAGACGGCGGAACCGTAATTCATGCCGCTGGCGGTGACCGGAAGGTAGCTCGGCATGGAAAAGAGAGGAATGGCAAAGCAGGTCCATGCTGGAGGAGAGAACAAGAATTAGTCAAAGATTACTGAGTTTGCGGAGAGGAGAAGAAAACGAAAAAAAAAAAGAACTCACCAATGGCAACCACATTACACACAGCACCAAGAATGCCAAAATTATATCGTGCGCCCACAAGAGACTTGCGTCCACCCATGAGAGAAATGGCCACGGGAATCACATAACTCAAGGTCAAGAAAATGACACCAGATCCGTTAAAGGCGTTAAAGGCGGCACTGGAGCCCAGATAGATGACACCGAGAATCAACTGCACCGCCATACTGAGCATCATAGCGTTCAAGGGCACATCGAGCTTCTTGTTGATCGTGTCAAACTGGAGCTTACGCGAACCGGGAATGGCACCATCACGAGCAAACGCCCACGTGCAGCGCGAGGCGGCCGTCGTGCAGCCAGTTCCACAGAAGAAGCCGAGGATGATGATGGGCACACACAAGGCAAAGGCGCCTCCCTGGTTGCCAATGGCGCGCGCAAGAATGGCGGGAAGGGGCTGACCGGTCGGATCGGTGGTGACGGCGACGAGGTCGGGAAGGATAAACATCAAGGGCACCAAGAAGATGAAGCCACAGGCCCAGTTGAGGACGAGGGCGCCGACCAAGGCCTTCGGGACCTGCTCCGACGGCCGTTGAACCTCCTCACACATGCTGACGACCATGCCTGTGGCCGAGGTGGCGTATGCGGCGTGCAGCAGACCAATGCAGAATGCCCATCCGGGAGGCGACCAGCCAGAGAGGACTTCAAAGTGGCCAAAGGCGTAGGAAGCGCTGCGGCGGCCTTCTTTCGCAATGGCCAGTCCACAGATGATGATGGCGAGAACTCCGACAAAGGTGAAGCCCACGGTCAAGGTATCGATGAGAGGAAGATGTTTGTTCAGCAGCGACGAGATGGCGTTGCAAATCAGAGTGATGGCGATGAAGATGAGGTAGATTTGGTAGGGCTCGGCGGCGAAGATGCCAGCAGTCGTCATTTCACCCGTCGTCTCGTCCAAGTATGGGTCGCCTTGGAAGATGTTGATACATCCCACCAAGAAGAGAGTCGTACCGAAGTTGACGGAGAGGGTGATGATGATGTTGCCCAATACAAACGACCAGCCGGTCATCCATGCGGCCAAAGATCGGCACCAGCGAGGAGAGAGCATATAGGTCTGGTAGTAGACACCACCGGCAGTAGGGTAGACGGAAGTGATTTCGGCCAGCGAAATGGCAACGGCCAGCATGAGCACACATACCAGACACCAGCCCCAGATGACGGTCGAGGGACCACCGTTGGTCAGAGGATAGAGCAAGGTGGTCGAGAGTCCATAGGGCACCGAGGCCAGCACAAAGGACATGAACGTCACGCTCAAGGTCGATCGGTTACGAACCAATTCTTGGGTATATCCCAGTGCCGCCAGCACATCTTCCGGAGCACTGTCGACCGAGTTCAATCGGCGTGGTGCCTCGGGCAGAGCGTCGTCGCCATCATACTCTTTCCCAAAAGCCGGCTTGGATCCTCGACGATATGTGTCCTCGGTGGTACGGTAGCCGTGATCGAAGGGCGCGGCTTTGGACATGGTTGCTGAAGTGAGGTGGGCGTCGTCGCTGACACGCGAATCGTCCACGATGGGGGGTCGGGGAGGCGGGCTGCGTGGCTCTGATGTGCAAAATCACACGACAATCATTCACTCATGCGGCAGTGGGAAGAAGAAGATACGGTAGCTCGGTAAGGTCAGGTAGGGGAGGTACTGTATGTGTTTTTCTTTTCCTTTTCAAGCAAAGCAGAAGATTGATGGGAATGCAGAGGCTCTCGGGGGTTGTTGTCGCTTTTGGGCAGGTTCCGGAGGTGGCCTATCAGATAGCACAGGAAGACGGACGGACGGGGGGACGGGGGGGGGGGGATGTGGTGGCTCTTTCTGTCTCTCTCACGCAGTCGCACGCACACACACACACACAAGTTGAAGGAATCAGGGAAGATGATTGCAGGAATGGTTTCCCGGGACGGCAATACCGAATTGTGCCTGTCGCTTCGCTTCGGACCCTGGTGGTCGGGTGGACTCGGTGGAGGTCGCTTCTGGGCGTTGTCGTTCTGAGAATCCCTCAAGTACTAACTGGATGGTCGGTCCTGGGCAGAAGTGGTGGGGGCAAGGCCGAATGCTCGATTCTGTCTCTGTTCGGCGTAGGTATACCACAACGGGGAGAGAGGGGGTGTCGTGGAGGGAAAAAAAAGGACACGGCAGAGAGATATCACAGAGCTACAGACAACCTTTCAGCGTCGAAGCTAGTCTGAGGTGGGCGAGGCGAGGGAAAAAAGCTAGAGATGGAAGAGGTTAAGTAGGTGTATGTAGGTACAGGTACCGACGAATCCAAAGCTGCATCACAAGCCTCAAGGTGCAGAGAGTGTTAAAGCCGGTGGTGGGAAGGTCGAAACGTAATCCAATCGAGCAGAGATGCAGCGGTCGCGTAGCCCGGACCGGCATAGTGGCATGAGTGGGCATAGTAGACATGCTAGGCACAAGAGTATCTCTACGGTGGCGTTCTTGGAACGCTAGCAAAGTAGATTGTTCTTGGTCCGCCACCCGGCCCTTCTACGCCGCTCTAGCGCATCGAGAGAACCGCCGGTTGTGTCTGTGTGTACCTTTTACCTAGTAGGAGGCAGTGGAGGGAGGCTGTCTGTGCCCCGTGAGACTGTGGGAGTGGGTGATGGATGACTGCCCGCCCAGGTGGATGACAGCATCATCATCGTCGTCATCAGCATCAGCATCAGCATCCATGGATGTAGGATTTTCTATCCGTCAAATGGCTGTCTCCGCCACAACCATGGATGAATGATAGCGGACTGTCTCCTCCTTTTGGACCAGCAGCACGTGGGCATGAGCACTGTCCTGGTCTGTCCTGTGGGCCGGGTATAATAAGTCAGGTAATACCATCTACATCAGCCCTGTGAGGCTGTGAATGGTGGCAAGTGGTACTGGTAGCGAGGAGCCTGAATATGAGTGCATTTCCTGGTTCATCATAATAGTTAGACACCCCTCTTTCATCTTGCTTCTCTTCCTCTTCCTCTTCCTCTTCTCTTCCTTTCTCTACCTCTTCCTCCTCTTCTCCCTCATTCATCTCCCACTGGATAATGTAGACTTTAGCCATGATGAGCAGTTGAGCAGGAAATACGGGCCGCTTATCACCATCCTGGAAAGCCCAGACCCCCCGACCCGTGGCCAGGTCAGCCCCAAGCCCCCCGACAACCGTCTGACGTCGATTAGAACATCGGAGAGAGCTCTAGAACGAGTATCCTCCTACATGTCAGGTAGATGATACTTCACCTACCTCCTACCTATGATTGGCCATGGGAATTTGTATACCGCAGCACCACTACTGTACATCTCTCCCTCCTATTCATCCCGACTGTCCTCGTACTCCTCCCGTCTTCCCCATCGCACCAGCCTCGCTCGACCTGCATCTACCTACAGGACGGTACCTACACTACCTCCTAGTCCAAGGCTGGGCTGATGTAGCTCAGGCGCACTGAGAATCCGAACTTTCCGAACTCCGGCGGGGCAGAGCTTCAATATGGTACCTCAGCTATGGCTTCATACTTTGAGCCTGGACCATAATCGCCTCAGGCCAGCAGATCACTTTCGCAAATCTTCCACTGGTACAGCCATGCTGCTCAACTCATATGGAGGATGGAGTGCGCATAGCAGAATCCGAGCGGCGAGCGACACATTGACCAGGACAGCACTCCGCTCAAATCTGCTAACTTAGAACCCTACCTACACCAGCCACGACTCGCGGCGATTGATACATTCGCCGGAACGAGAATCTGCGCACACTTCGGCCAACCTCGATAGTACCTAAAGGGAACGATGTTTCTCCCGGCAAACCGAACCATCTCTTCGACAGCGACACGACAGCGACACGATGTCATAGAAGCAGCCGCTCGATACTGGCTATAGACGCAGAGTACCGCACAACACGCCCGCTACGTCGATACGACGCTGCACATTTTCGAATAATGACTTGCATCGTAACGAGCAAAATTCGACAAGAACCATACAAAGGTAGGTGGTGATCTCGGTGGAGTCAACGCGCCACAGTGACGAAGAAGAAGAAGAAGAAGAAGAAGAAGGGCAGACATGGACGGGACAAGTCGAGGAGGCATCTGAAGAGCTGGAGACATCTGAAGAAGGCGGCAGCAGAGATACCCACAGCGACGACGGCGACAGGACCGAAGACGCGGCCCATGAGGCACACTGCACATCTCATATGATATTGCAGTGGAGGAGACAGCAACTCCACGACCACAGCCCTGCGGACTCGCTTTCCAAAATGGTCTATTGCCTTTCCGCACGCGCCATGGAGACGGGTTAGAAATCACGTTGTAACTACTGCCTATTTGATGCGACCACCCAACACGAGCCAAGGATGATGTGAAAGATCATCAGCGCCGAGCCTTGCAGCGGGATCCCAAGTAAGCATCTTGCTCATAAAGTCCACAAAACTTGCCCGCTCTTCTTCTCCCACAAAAGTAGCCCGATCATGTAGGCTTTGGGGCGACGGTACAGCATCGGGGTGCAGAAATTCACCTGTTCCGAGTCATTAGCAAGTAAGTACATGGAGCCACCAGAGCGAGTCCTCCTCCACCTACCAGTACTCGGGTCGAAATGTGGTCCACCATAGAACGAGCATGCGTCGGTACAGAGCTCGCCCTTCGAGTTCTCTAGTGCTGGTGTCCATTTCCAGGCACCACTTTGCGCTCGCTGCTTCAGCAACGCAGGGCTGGGAAACCCGAGCACGGAACACATTTGGGCCAAATGTATCACGGGATCATACGTGCTGGGTGCAGTAGGGTGACTGGGCTGGAACAGATCTGCGCCACTGGCCAACGTCCATATCTATAGTCTCAATCAGCATCCTGTCGAAAGGAGAGAGCATTTCTGGACATTAATACCAAGTTTCCAAAATTCCAAATGTCCACGCTATGTGACCAACCCCAGCCCAGGAGGACTTCGGGTGCGCGGTATACATCGGGTTGGATGGGATATGCGCCAAAATCACCATCATCAGCCTGGTCGAAATCGGTAATCATGGGTACGCTGACATATGATTTCAGCGGACCGAAATCGCTATACGACTGGAATACACGACCGTAGGGAGTCTCTTGAAACATCTGCTCAGAATGCTGAAGCTGCCGAGCCCTTTCGGGCAAGACGGAGTCGTGCTCGAAGCTGACGAGGATATTATCCAGTTTCAAGTCTGTTCTGTCAGTACCGTACCACAGCAATATCATCAGACATCTCAAACACCTACCAGTGTGTGTAATATGACATTTGGAATGCAAATAATCCAAGCCCACCAATAGCGCATGCACATATACTTTCAGAAGTGGAATCGGTATCCGACCGCCCGGAAATCTCCACTGATAACAACCCAAAGTCTCTCGCAAAGGCTGATATACCAAACAGAGATGGGTCCCGACCTTTGTCCTGATCTCGAAACTATCCATTACTCTCCTCACCAGAGGAGATCCTCGATGTGTAGGATCCGCCGTCGCGAGACGCTGATGCATGTCTAATTCATGTCGAATCGCATCCTGGTCGACATTGCAATTGTTGAACTTGATGGCAACAAATGATTGTTGTTGCTTCTGCTGCCAGAAGTTTCTAAAGAGGAGAAAAAGACAGCCGTCAATATCCTATTACGAGTAGTGCGTGTGCCCGATTGACAGTTCCCATAACACTACCAAAAAAAAGACAAAAATAAAAAAAAAAAAGAAAAGGGAAAAAAAGAACATACCTCCATCTCCCTCTCCCCGGCCATCTCCCCCTCTCCTCAGCCAACCACACCGTAGAATTTCTCCCCCAGCCCAATTTCGAAATCATCGAATATTTTCCCTCTGCAACAACATCTCCTGGTGAGACGGGATAAAAAACATTCTTCTTGTTGGATAGATGAGATTCATTATTATTGTTGTTGTCTTTGTTGTCGTCTTGTAAGAGTATTTCTTCTTCGAATGGAGTTTGCCCCGTGCGTTTCGGAAGTGCTGTGAGAGTTAGTGGGCGTGTTGCTTTTGCTGCTGCTGCGTTGGAGGACCTGATTAGGGGGGATAGGGATAGGGGGGATTGGCATAATAGGAAAGATGCTGCTTTTGAAAGGCGCATTTTCTTTTTTTTTCGAGAGGGAAGAGATTAGACACTCTTTGGTAAATCAGGTAGATGTACTGTATGTGTGATGTGTAATGTGTGATATGCAAAAGGTATTTGGTTCGCGATATGTGTTGTATGTTATTAGGATGTAGATAGATATGGATTGATGTCAATGTGGCACAGCAGGGCTGCTGGGACGGGGAGGGGCGGGAATGCCAAGGTATGTGTTTGTGTTTGTGTATGGTTACATATGGGACTGTGGGACTGTGACACTGTTTGATTGTGTGACTGTGTGACTTAGATGTCAAGTTTTTCTGAAGGTAAGGTATTGTATATATACTGTACTGATTCATCTTCTTCACCAACGGAGTGGTAGGAAGGTTACCTAGGTATGTAGGTAGGAGTAGGAGTAGGGGTAGGAGTAGGAGTAGGAGTAAAAGTGAGAATGCTTCATCCAATTGTTCATCACCTTCTCAACTTCCTTCTTCTGATGTTCACTCTCCTCTCCACGAACGACATGCTGATGATATTGGTCATGTCCATGACAATATGATAATGATATTGCTATTGATAATGCGATCAACTACGCCACACCCAATCCATCAATCTCTCCCTGTTCATTATTAGACTGCTTCCCCGACGCGCCGGCAATGGAATAACTCGCTCTCCACCGCATTTTAATCCCCGTCCCTTTGCCTCGTTCCGCCCCAATCAATCGTATCGTCTGCGTGATACCATTTTGCTGATGAGGAGCCAGACTGCGGCCAGATTGGGGTTCAAGTTTGAGTGATAGACCCTATTTGTGCTCTGGTTAGGACATGATTTGGATGGAGCTAGAATGTGGGAAGGAATTGAGTCAGGGAGGAGGTCCGTACCTTTGTCACAGCCAGTTGAAAAGTCAAATCGGTAATGGGTTGTGCAGTGGCGTTGGAGATGCGGCTTTGAATGAGGAGTTCGGAATCATTAGATCGCGAGACTTTGAAAATGGTGTGGATGGTGCTTTTGGTGACGGTGATTTCTGTGGGTTGATCCGGAAGTGCGGAGCTAAATTCCCATTCGTCGTCGACGGCGGCCGGTGCTGGTGTTATTGTTGATGTGGTTGACGTGGAAGGGGCGGGACTCGAGGAACTGCCGTTACTGGTGCTGCCCATGCCAAGGAGATCGAGGTTTTGAGATGAAGCTTTGGAATGTGATGCATGCTGGAAAGGTGATGCTTGTCGAGGTGGTGTGGCGAGAGATGCGAATGGGTCGGATTTCTTCGCTTGATGTTGCTGCAACGATGCGGGTATAGGTGTTGCAGACTTTGAAGAAGGCTGCTGTGGGCTGAAGAGACTGAAGTTCGATGCGGGAGCTTGTGCAGGTATCGCTTTTTGTGTGGTGTTGAAGATGGAGCCGGATGCCTGTGGTTGGTTGAACTGTGCCATGATGTCGACGCTGCCGTTGGAGCCACTCCCCCCAAGTGAGATGCCACCTCCAGATCCATAGTTGCCGTCGCCCATGTTGAGGCCCAGCAGATCGTCCTCTAATGCATTTCCCGTCTGCTTCGGCGCTGCTGTCGAGGACTGAGACTGCGTGGGCTCTGCTGGAGCTGCGTCTTCCATGCCTCCAAAATCAATCAGAGACAGCTCACCGCCGCCTCCCTGCTTCACACCTGCTCCACTGACACCCAGCGTGCCCTTGGGAATCGCATTCGCCCCCTCCACATCCCCCTTCTTGATCAATTTATAGCGCTCGATGGTTCGGTGTATCGAGTCGTTGATTTCAAACAGCTTCGCCACCGCCTCATGGTCTTCACTCTCCTGTTCGCACATTTTCTGAATCTTGGGATGTGCACTCGCCAAGGCGTTGGCCAGCTCCTCGAAGACGTCTCCTTCCTGGACCTTCTCACCCGGTTGCACACCCTGCATCATCTCTTCCAACAGCTTCGCTTTCTGCTGAATCCTCCCCACTTCCTCGGCCGCTTTTGCGCGATAGTCCGTCTTGTGCCGCGTATCGTAGCCCGCCATGACCTTCATCAGCTTGTTGGCTTCTTGCAGATCGTGCGGCGTCCCTCTGCGGATCAGTTCCTGCAGTTTCGCACTCTGTGCCGCCTGTTCTTCCGCCTCCATCTCCTCGACGCTCTTCAGGTTGTCGCTGGGGTTCAGCACCGCCGCATCTTCGCGGCTGATCTGGGGAAACTGATATCCTTTGTAATGCAGCAAGCGGTGCATGTCCCGGATGAAGCCCAGGTCCTCCTTGTACTTGCTGGTCTCGCAGATTGTGCGCCGCCATTCCTCAATCAGCTCGAGGATGCGGTTCTGGACGCGTGTGGTTCGGATGGGTGGTCGTTCGGGAAAGCGGCGCACGAGCTCGTTCAAGAAGTCTTTGGTGGAGATTTGCAGGTGAAAGGGATAGCCGCAGTTCTTGACGCAAATGTCGAGCAATGACAGGGCCAGTAACGAGACGTTGGCATTGCGGTGGTTGATGTACTTGACGATATCGACGGCCGCCTCGCGGGGGGCTCCCCCCTTCTTCGCGTTGATCAAGTCGGCAATCTCCAGCGAGAGAGCCAGATTCGGCTCGAAATTCTCGGGTGAACAGGCTTGCTGGATATATCGTTGGAGGGGCGTGTGGGCGGGTTCGGTGGGATATGCGAATCGGTCGCGGGCAGCATAACGCGCCGATGCTGCCTCCATTGTGGACTCCTGGACTCCTTTTTCCCTTTTTCCCCTTTCCCTTGCCGTTATGCAGAAATGTACCGGCCAGCCAGTTTTGTGGCGGAGGAAGAAGTGAGTCTGTAGTGTTGCTTATGCATGGGGTGATATGAGCTGGTCGGGTGCTGCCGCGGGGGATGTGAACGATACGTCACCAAGGCATCAAAATCGAGATACAATGGATGTACATTTATACGCCTCCCTCCATACCACCACCACCACCACTACCACTCTTCCACCAACGACAATCCATTGACGAGGAAGACAGAGCAAACATGGTCCGCCACAAGAAAGACTTCAAAGGCGCCAAGTCCAAGCACGGCGGCGGTGCAAAAACATTCGCACAGCACACGAACCCCGACAATCCCTCCAGCACCACGCACAAACGCCCCTCGTTCAAAGCTGCGGCGTGGGACTTGAACCACTGCGATGCCAAGCGCTGCTCCGGCAAACGTTTGATGCGGCTTGGTCTGATGCGCGAACTGCACGTCGGCCAAAAACATCAAGGACTCGTCATCTCCCCCAAGGGAAAACAACTCTGCAGTCCCGCCGATCGCGACATCTTGGAGCAATACGGTGCGGCTGTGGTTGAAGCGAGTTGGAATCGCATCGAGGAAGTCCCTTTCAACCGCATCGGAGGACCCAATCCTCGACTCTTGCCATATCTCATTGCTGCAAACCCGACAAACTATGGGAAACCGTGGAGATTAAACTGTGTCGAAGCCTTGGCCGCCACTTTCGCCATATGTGGGCACTTGGACTGGGCCGAGGAGATCTTGGGCACGTTTAGTTACGGACAGTCGTTTCTGGATATCAACGAGGAGGTGTTGAAGAGGTATGCGGAGGCGGGAGACGAGGAGGGCGTGAAGAAGGCCGAGGAGGATTGGTTGCAGAAGATTGAGAATGAGTGGAAGGAAGATCGGGAGGAGCGGGAGGCGAATAAGGAGGATGCGTGGAGGGGTGGGAATCTGAATCACAGGCAGCCTAGACTGACTGGTGATGGGGATAGCGATGACGATGACGATGATGGGAGCGAACACGGCAGCGACACAAGTAGTCTGGGAGGGATACAACTCGGCGGACCCAAACCTGGCGAGAAGAGTCGGATCCACGGTAACACAGCAGAAGCAGGCGGCTCCGGAGAAGAAGAAGACGGGAATGATGATGACGAGGAGAGAGATCCATACGGCCTACCACCCGACGACGATGACGACGAAGAAGAAATGGCCGAGCTACGAAGAAGAGTCCTCGCATCCAAACCCTTCACCAACAACACCAACAAAGCAGATCCATCCTCAACAGAGAAACCCCCTCTAGAACGCATACAACGTCCCACTGCAGAATCCCAGCAAGATGTACCCGTCGACTCCGACGCCGAATCTGGCTCCGATATCAATCTCAACGACGACGACGCCGATTTCGATAACATCATGAACGCCGCTCCCGTCACCGACCGCGCCGGCATCACTGCTGCTCAACGAAAACGCGCCATGGAGAAGGAAGGAAAACTGAGTGCAACTTTCAGTCGAGCGGTGATTGATGCGTCGAGTAAGAGTTTGGGGAGTCGTTGAAAATGAAAAATCTCCATCGAGTTGATATGGTGGCTAGATATCCTGCCTGGTAGTGAATGATTGGGTGATTTATTGCAGGAGACGAACCTTTAGACCTTCTAGAGATACATGTATATACTCTCCCTGCCATAAGCGGGCAGTTTTATCATGAAGCAATGTCTGATGGATGTTGCATATGATCACATTCTCTCACAATCAAGACTTCCGAGTACGGTAGGTCTGGATTAACGGACAGCCGCGAATTTTAGAGAATTCGGAAAGGGAACATGTCAGCCAGTACATGTAGCTCTCACGTCGTGATCTGGTGGAATGTACAAGGTAGGTAATGAATGTAACAGTACGACAAGTGGATGGGCTGGATGTATACATGACACATGATACTTACTAGGTACTGTATGTATGTATGCGAACTTCTCTAACGAAATCATCACTCCATCGCTTTCTTGATTCCGGTCATCTGCATCATCATAATTTAGAGAGAAGAAAAAAACGCTCAATTGTCCGTCTTGTCTGTTGACATGCTTTCATGTTACGAGAAAAAATCCCTCTCCTCCCAGTGCTGCGCTGCGCAGTTCCATGTCATACCTATCATTCATTCCCTCATTTGCCGTCTCTTCGCCCTGAATCTGCTCCTCCTCAAGCGCCCTCACTACCAAACTCTTTGGTCCACTCCGCATTATGCACCAAATCCTCCTTGCTCACCGTCGGCCGACTCCCCTTGATGGCTTTGATAAAGTCTTTCACCTGCAAAGGAGGTTCAAGCAATTGCTCCGTCTCGACCTGCGTCCAATTCATTTCCTTTGCCCCGGCATCCCCGGGACTACAAGGAGTCAGTTTCGCAAGTTTCTTCCCACTGCCCTCTGGATCATCCACTTCCACTTCCTTGTAATGCGTCGCGGTTTGGATTTTCCGTACTGGCTGCATCAACGCATCTTGCACAGCAATACTAATGTCTGATCCGGAATACCCCTCGGAATACTTGGCCAGAGATTTATAATCTTCGGGTCCAAGTTCGCAGGGGGTGCCACCGACGGCCAATTCGAACATTTTGCATCTTGCGGGGAAGTCGGGGAGCGAGATGTGGACTCTTCGTTGGAAACGTCTTCGGATTGCTGCGTCAAGTTGCCAGGGGATGTTGGTGGCTCCCAGAATTAGTACGCCTTTGCTATCGCGACCTACACCGTCCATTTGCACGAGGAGTTCCGTCTTGATTCTGCGCGAAGCTTCGCTCTCGCCTTCCCCGCGGGGACCGCAGAGGGCGTCAATTTCGTCGATGAAGATGATTGAGGGGCGGTTTTCGCGCGCGAGGTTGAACAGTTGTTTCACGAGGCTGTCCTTCACGTTAGCCTTCATGCCGTCATAGCGTCACTGTAAACATCCAATGATGGACATACCGCTCCGATTCTCCCATCCACTTGGACACCAGGTCCGAGGAAGATACGCTGAAAAACGTACTATTCGCCTCCGTCGCAACAGCCTTTGCCAGATACGACTTTCCCGTCCCCGGCGGTCCATATAATAGAATTCCTTTCCAGGGCTGCCTCTTGCCCGTAAACAAATGTGGAAACTTGATCGGTAGAATGACAGCCTCTTTCAACGCCTCCTTGGCAGCTTCCAGTCCAGCAACATCCTCCCACTTGATATTGGGCTTATCAGTCAAGATGGCTCCCGCCAACGCACCCCGCAATTTCTTGGAATCCGCATCTTGCTCCTCGTCGTCCCCCTTGGCCTTCCCACTGCCATTCGACGCCGTCCCATTCGCGCCCATGGCCGCAGGTTTCCGTTTCCCGTCCTGCTCGGCTAAGTGATTCTTGAGCTTCTCCGCGCGTTCCATGTACTCCGCTGCCTTCTGGCGTATCATCTCCTTTGATTTCTGGTTCTTTTCCCATTTGAGCGCGAGCATGAACAGTTCGAGGGAAGAGTAGTATTGCTGGTAGGCTTTTTCATAGTCGCCGGAAGTGTCTAGTTCGATGGCTTTTTTGACCTGCTCGATCGCGCGGCCGAGGAAATCGGTGTTGGACATGTTGATGGAGGAGATGTACCGCGATGCTGCGCGAGGCAGCCTTCTCCCAGGGAAGTGGGGCTATACCGTGTCGTCGGAGGTGTGAGGGCGACAGGCAGAGCAGGGCGAAGGAGATGGAGTGGGAGGGAGGGAGAGTGAGTGAGTGGTCAGTGTTGTGGGTGGAAGTGGTCGTTGCTGCGATTAACGACGAGACTAAACCATGTCCAGGACTCCAGGTGCATCCACTTGCGCGGGACGATGCGATCCGTCGAATGGCGGGGGAACTGTTTCCGACACTCTCACACTCACACACTGACACGGAGGCACAACTTCACTTGACTTCACTTGACTTCACTTGGCGCTCTCGTTCTCCCTCTCTCATCCGGCAACCCCCTTTTTTAGACCAAGCCCAGGAATCATCATGGCAGACCGCGCCAAGCTCCAGGCGCTCTCCGACGACTACCAAACCCTACAGACACAGCTCAGCGAACTCATATCTGCCCGTCAAAAACTGGAAGCGCAACAACAAGAAAATAAAGGCGTACAATCTGAATTCAAGGGCTTGAAAGACGATGCTACCATTTACAAGCTCGTCGGCCCCGTACTGTTGAAGCAAGATACGACCGAGGCGAAAAGCACAGTGGACGGCAGATTGGACTTCATCGAGAAGGAAATGTAATTTCAGCCTCCCCATCAATGACCAGTGGAGTTGCAGACTGTTGACCTTTTCCACTACAGCAAACGATTTGAAGACAACATCAAGACCATGCAGGATAAGAGTGAGGGGAAGAAGATGGAGGCAAGTAGACTGCAAACGAGTGATGATCAACTGTGCGCTGACGATGGGTGTACCAGATTATGCAAATCCAATCTCAAATGCAACAAGCTCCTGCCTCTGCTTGAAAGACATCTGCAGCTCTGACAGCAGCGCATGCGCTCGAACCACGAAGTTGGTTGAGGTGTTCATCGGTACACCTACCAGAGCAGAGCGGAACTCATCTCAAGTCTCATGGCGACCGCTCGAGATGTTCCAAGGTATGGAAGCTGGCGGCCTACCCATAAGAGCACGACGGTACCGCGAAGCCGAAGGTAAACGCATCTCATATGCTATGACGACCGCCGAACCGAATGGGCGGGCAGTTTGAGATGCGAAGCAATTGCATTTAGGTTCACATTGGGCCTGGGCGACGAAGCTGGCATACTTGGCAAGGCGAGTAGCACCAAAGCTGGTATACGAGCTAGTCTGACGAGCCCAAATCCTAGACTGCGAAGCTCAATCGCTATCTAAAGCAAGTCAATACAGTGATGACATTCGCAGCCTGAATCCACTCTCATCGCGCAAAATCAAGCCGAAGATCACGCCAACCCTCGAGTCTACTCGTCCGCCTCTTTCACAACGCGTTCGCAGGCATTAATTACACTCCTTCTCCTTCTTTGATTCAACTCAACTACAATTCGCCCTCCAGCGACCTCCATTATCATGGGCATCCCACTGCGTGTTGAAAACACACCCATTAAATTCTTCGTAGCAAGGATTGGACTACAATCATTTCACAACTCATCAATACTCTTCCCATGATACAAAATTTCTACTATTCATCTGGCGACTTGCTTACAACAGTACATTTTTGCTGATCTCCGGTTACGTCGTCGACACAAGATCCGGTTCCGTATTTGGGGCCTCCGTAGACGGGCTTGCAGGACTTTTGTTGTTGAGGAGAAGAAAAGAGTTAGTCCGGGGGACGAACAAAGAGTATCTGGTAGGCACGAGGCAACAAAAGAGCAAGAGAGGGGAGTACTTACAGTACGTGCCCACACCGCCGAGGTGAAGAGAGTTGCGGTTGCGAAGAGGATGAATTTCATCGTGATTGGACTTGCTGGTTTGATCAAAAAGTGAAGAATCGATGCAGAAACAACGATTTGATCAGGTGTAAATGAGGGAAACCCGGTTCAAGGAACACCACTCCTACTAAATTATGACACGAGTCGAGCTGCAACTAGTACACGAGGTACACTGAGTACTTCCGTGGCGAGCAAGTGAGCGTTGGTGAGCCAAGAACGGTAGATTTTCGGGATCGTCATTACAATACTTCGGAGGTCTCACAGTGGCACCAAAGGAGCATGATCGCGTTTTGTCCCTCGCTGCTCCTTGTTCGGTGCAGAGTACGCGCCAAAACTCAGCCTGCTGACTTGACGTAGGTACCCAACACCTGCGGCAGGCCGATGATAACACGCACGCATTTGGGAAGATCTCATCGAATGTATGTATGTGCGACCGACTGGAAAATGCTACGACTGAACGAGGAGGTAGAAAGCCGACAGAGACAGCACTAAAAACAACAACAACGACGACGAAGCATGAAACACGAGAGTGACATGTGCAAAACCGAATCAAATGGCCAGAGAGCCACTCGTTCTAACTGCAAAATCTCCTTGCAGACCGACTGACTGACCAGACCGACTAACGATCCGGAGGTTGAACATCATTGAGATGCTACCATCTCCATCATGTCCATCATCATCATCATCGTCATCACCTTTAGACAGCACCATAGCACACCAAGAAATCCAGCTAGACTTCACCTCCCCAAGAGCCTCGAACCAAAACCTCTCTCTCTCTCACACACACTAAGTGCAAGTCGCCCGATATTTTCCCTCTGATCGGATAAACTCTCCATCGAAAGAGCACGAATTTCCATTATTGTAGCATGGCGCTCCCTATTTTCCACCAAAAAAAACATCAGTACTGCGTTCCAAAGAATGTATGACAGAGAAAAAAAAGAAAGGAGATTCAAGAGGGCATCTCGTCTCGTCTCGTCTCACTCACCTCTCTACAAGTCTGACCGATTCCACTTTCTGCAGTTCCGCGGTAACAAGTTCCACTTCCATGGCCTACTCCTCCGGTGACGGCCATGCATTCCTGTTGTTAAGAATACATTGGTTTTGGTGTTAGTGAATAGGTAATCAGCAGTTCTTTTGTGACTGATGCTGATGATGGGTTTGTGTAGTGAGGAGGAAGAGGGGGAATGAGAAGAAGAAGAATTGGGATGCGTACATCGCATGACACGAGAGTTGTGAAGAGAGCTGTTGCTATGAGGATGAGGAAGTTCATGATTTTGGAGTGGGAGTGATTGGGGGATTGATTGATGGGTTGATTGATGAATCGATGAATCGATTTGTCGTTCAGACTGGTAAATAGATACTCCAATGTGGGTGGTTCTTCCACGAGCAGCAGAAACATGCCCTGTATACATATCTCCTCCTCTCTTTCTCTCTCTCTCTTTATATCTCTCTTCCTCTCTATTTTTCTCTATTTCTGCAACATCTTCGGCATGCTTCGGATGGATAGCGACTCCATCTGTTACGAGAGCCCAGAAGTAGCCTGTAACACAGGGGCAGGTACTTCCCTGAGGGTACCGGGGAAGATATCCGTCCCTATAGCAGCAAAGCACATACACCTACTAGCTCTCTTTTCTTCCCTTTCAGACTATCTTTTATAACAGAATCATCAACCCTCTTCAACCTTCCCCAAACCACTATCTATCATCACCCAAAAAAAAACTCTCAAAGCCTTCCGATTTCTATGTACTATAGATTTTATATCACGACAAATACACGAAAAAGGGGCAAGGGGGGAATAGGTACTCTGAACAAAAAAACAAAACCTGGTTAGAAAAATACCTTACCCCGTCCCTACATGTACATTACATTAGTGAATGAATTCAACACGACACGTCATCATGCGAAGTTCTTGGACTCCTTGGCATTTTCATAATACTAGAAGCAATAGGAAATCCGGGAAAAACGATCGCTCAGTACCTACGGTAGGTAGTAGTAAGAAATAAAAATACTAGAAGCTTTGAAGGAAGGGGATTTTTTGCCCTCTCAAGACTAGGAAGTGTGGATTGATTGTTGTTTTTGCCGATCGAGATTTTTCGTATTTTGGACTCGTTGTTTGCTTCTGGATTTTATAAACAAATTCTTACATCTGCCGCAGGTTCTCAGATGACCTATCGCTACCCTTTTTCCTTCTCTACCAAGCCGCTTGGATTTACATAGAAAGGAGGGTTTGTGAACTCCGTCTGCAGTCTCGGATCCCGATTAGCGAAGACTTTGTATAGATGGATATACTGCATTACTTAGGTACGATGAAGTAGGCTACAGTCTATTCCCTAGGGGATAGCGAAACAGTTGTACGAGGTAGGATTGTGCTGGAGTGCGAGATCGAATGGTGTTGGTGCACTACGATTGACTCACTTCTTCGAAGGCCTTGATCGAATCTCTACTCAAGTGACTTTTTATACTGTATCTTTGGTATTCTGACTATAAAACTGCAATACGATTTCATATCCTAAGACAATGATTGAATATCTCCTAACCCCTTGCCACTAAGTCTATTTTATACTTTTCTTACTTTGGATATACTCCCTATATACAGCCTACAATAATGATAGAAACGAAGTATCAACAGAAAAAGCCCCATAGACTACAATTCGAACCAAATCTTGCGGGAAAAAAAAAGACATCAACACTCCCGGTACCGTGTACATTCTTAAACACGATCTAATACTGCCAAACACGAACTACACACCCATCAACGCAACGAAAAACCCCAATAATAATACTCAATCGATCGATCGATCGATCGAGCAGGAGAGAAGATAAGAGAAGAAACAAACAAACAAAATAAAAAAGAACAATTGATTCTTTTCTTCTTCTTCCGTAGCAGTCCAACGCTCGCTACCTATACCCAACGACCATTGTTGTCTCGATTCTATCAATCTATCCATCCATGATTTCCCCTCCCTCTCTCAATCCGAGTCTCACTCTCAAAAGAGCAGAGCTCAAAAAGAGCTGATATCTCTCTCTAACTACATCTCGCTCTGTATTTTCCCTCCGCAGAAATCCACTCGGCATTGATAGAGCATTGTGTATTGCTGACTCTGCATGGTGCGGACTATATAACAAACAAAAAAAAAAAAACAAAATCTCGTTAGCAATATGAAGCTTTTTCCCCTTTTGGTTGTAAATGATGTTTTTCCACTCACCTCCAAACAAACTTGCGCATTGGCAGAATTCATTTCACTCTCGTAACAGGCTCCCGAGCCGGATCCTCCATCGGTAAGACAATGCTATTGGGATGTCGAAGGAGAAGAAGAGAAGAAAATGTCAGCAATCGTCGTCGTCGTCGTCCTCCAGATAATAGATGTTCAGAAACGAATGCAGAGGATAAGAAAAAAAAATCATACCCAAGCCCATGCAGACGAGGAGAAGAAGGAGAAGTATCCGAAGAGTACGAATGAGATCTGCATCCTGACTGTCTTTCTCGTTGATCTTGTTCTTCTCGTTCTTGTTGTTCTTGTTGTTCTTGTTGTCGTTGATGAAGAAGATACGGACTATGTTCAATCCAAGAAACTGCAGAAACTCTGGTATATACGCGCGAAGGCTTGGCTGAGACAAGTGGAGGAGATTCTTCGGGGCGTGGATGCAAGTCTCCCATTACTTTTTGTTGGTTGTCTCGTCCCTCGTATTGTGGGTATTTGGTATATTGTAAAACAGTTAGGGGCAGGACGGACAAAAAGATAGGGCAGGAAAATCTCGGAGATTTTTTTGGGGGGGTTTTTGTTTCAGACCGAGTACAAAAAAAAAGGACGGATTATAAAGATGTATAAATTGATTGATTGATTGGTAGATTTCTGGCAAAAATGCCAAATGCCAATGCCAAATGCCCAGTCAAATAGATATCCATATCCCTTCCCTCTCAATATATATTCGAGCCTTTCTCTCAACGACCACGCGTAATTTCATTCTGCATCCCCCTTCCACCTGCCATTCGCGCCCCACTTCCAAACAGCGGTTTCCGGCCACCCAGCAGCAGCACCAACGAGACACAGGATTCGCGGTCATTTGACCCCTAAAAAAAGAGGGGCGGGTGGTGACTTCGGTCTTCGTGCGAGCCCGTTATCAAGAGGCAAACTAATGGGAGTAGGGGGCGATCGGAGGTCGGGTGATTAATTTCTCCAGTCTATTACACCAAGTTCCCCCTGTGTTGTACCGGTGGGAAACCGTGTTGGGGAGCAGCAGCCCTCATAGTAAGGTATTGTTTCGAACAGACCGATGGATTGATTGATTTGTTGTTGTTGTCCTTGACGTCCAAGTCCGGCCGGACTCCGAAGAGATCGCGTCGTCTTCCAAGTGCCGTCGGAGCAGGTCGAGGAGATCGATCGAAGCCTGATTGTTTTGTTGTGGCAACTAAACTATACCTCCGGGCCACCTGGGATCGAATGGGATTTTGGAGGTATTGTAGTGGACATAGTTGGGCTCAAAGTCCTCGTTGAACCGGAACAGACTTTCCATTGCAGATGCCCATTTCACCAGCATGCTCTCCGTGTACGCTGTTCCCCAGATTCCGAGACCCATGGGCACATTGTAGCCGTCTACATTGATGGGGATGGTAATGGCAGGATACTGTGCCGCATCGGGGACACTTGCCATGGCAGATGAAGAGCTGGCGCTGGCCACGTTGGGAATCAGCACTGCGTCGAGAGTGATTGTGGTGCCGTTGGGAAAAGTGTGGATGTAGGCACCATTGATGCAGGCTTCAGATCGAACTTGTCGCCAGTCTGGGACGGTTAAGTCAGTTAAAGCTCTTCTCTTTGCATACCTATCTTGGCAAAAACTCACGCAGCGCTGTCCAATACCGATCGGAACGAATGCCAGACGTTGCTACAGCGGCCACGAGTGCGTCCTGTCCACTCTTCCAGGGATAGGCACCTCCCAGCGCACCTGTCGAGTCGTTGTTCTGATTATTCCACACCACAAGATCTCCGAGATTCTCCAGCGGAAGTTCTTCTCGTCGACCCTTTGGCCAGGAAATCTTCTGCAGCCACTCTGTATACCCGTTGTACAAGTCCACATTGAGATATCGAGCGCTTTGCAGCCAATAGGGGGTGTTTGCAGCATCTCCCCAACCATACGCATTTTGGATTTCATCTGCATACGGCAAAGGCTCAGTGATGTTGATAATGGTAGCCCCAGCTTGCTTTAATTGTTCGATCCGCTCGAGAAACTTGACTTCGTTCCCAGGCGCTCTGATTCCGGCGACGGTCGACCACCAAATATGATAGGGGATGCCAAACACTGCACCACTCAGAGCGGATGAGTCGGTGGCAAACTGCGCGTGCCCAGCCGGAGGAGTTTTTCCCGTCTGCAACACCGACCAAGGATCATTCTCATCGACGCCGTACATGGCATCCAGCAACAGCGCCGCATCGTGTACATTCCGCGCAAACGTCCCCACAGAGTCACGATTGTGCGAGCCGGGAATGACACCATCCCGACTCGTCAAACCGACAGTAGGTTTCAATCCGACAACTCCAGCATGACCAGCGGGATGCAGCACAGAACCATGAGTCTCCGTGCCCACACTCAGTAAAATGTTATATCCCGCCACAGCCTGCGCGGATCCGGTCGAGCTTCCTGCAGTCTGCTGCGTGCCATTCCAGACATTTCGACACTGTCCGCCACGGTCAGACCAGCCTTCTGAGAAGTCGATGACTGCTCGGTGATCTGCATCCTCGGATTCATTGGCATGGCCGAGGATGACGACGCCGGCAGCACGAAGTTTTTTCACCACGAAAGCGTCATCTGCGACTTTACTGCCGAGAAGCGCAAGATTGCCGTCGGTGGTGTTCATCCGGTCGTCTGTGGCGATGTTATCCTTGACTAAGATCGGAATGCCATGGAGTGGACTTCGGATGGTGCCGTTGGCTCGCTCGCTGTCCAAGCCTTGAGCGATGGTCTGCCAGTCTGGATTGATCTCGATCACATGATGGAGAAATGGGTTGGTCTTTGCAATGCGGTCCACGTAGCATTGGCTCAATTGCTCGGCTGTGAGTTGTCCGTTCCCGAAGTACTGATTTCATCATCAGCGATATTGGTGATTTGTGCGTGTGATGGGGTGTGTCTGTACTTCCTGTAGCACGGCCACAGTCACATCTTTGATAACAACCCCATTGCACGGTTCCAGGGGAAAGGGGTTGGACTCAGGCTCGTGAGCATTGATACTCTGAAGCACGAATGAGGATACAACAAGAGCGGGAATCCAGGAGAATGAAGGCATGGCTTCGCTGGCCGAACGGGATTGCCGACCGACCTCACGCGGTACATGGTTATGTAGCTGGCCTGCAGTTTGATAGGCCAGGCCGGCCAAGGCTAGGGATGAAGTGGCTTGGCAATCATCCTACCTGTTCCGCCTCGCGATGAGTGAGGTGGCGAAGAGATTTGTTAATACATTATCATTTTGCCTACTCTTCTGCGTATTCTATCAACGACGTTAGTGTGTCTATCATGTCGAAAAACAGCCCAATTTGGCTTCTTGTATTATTGCGCATACGGGCTATACGTTGGCGACATGAGACTCGATCTTGGCGCATCCTGTTCGACACGGTGACTTTCTAGTCGCCACGGTCAGTCGCGCAAAATCATACGCAGAGAAGAGTAGATTCAGCGTCTTCCAGCATTACTGCTGTTACAGTACTGTGTCATTCATCTTGTTCAACGGAGACGAGGCCTGAGGCGGACACGTAGGCATGGCAGCGTATCCCTTTTCCACGTTCTGAGACTGTTCGAATCATGGCACGCCTGTCATCTGCTTTTGTTTTCCGTTTGGACGTCAGCTGCTCGAGGATCGTTTTTGTTCGGTTGGCTGATATTCGTGCCACAAAGATGTAAGCTCGGGATATACATATCCGTGACGCTCTCAAGCGCGTGTGTAAGCCCGAAGGCATACAAATCTTCTGATCGGTCTATTGTGCTGAGAGACTGAACTGGAAACTTGGTAGGCTGATGAAACTACGCCCATCTTTCCAATGTGGTGCGTGGTATGTAGGCCTCCTGTGTATGTGTGTGTCAGATGACGACTTTTGATGTATCAATGTTGTTACAGGCTGGATGAATGTGCCGAAAACGCCGACCTGGTCTCGGCCCCTTCAAAGAACTTCTCAAGCACATTATGCTTAAAGGGATGACAGGTAGAAATGCCGAAGGGAGAGTGTAGTTGACGTCGAGGTGGTGTCTTGCTTGTTTCATGGGGTTGGCGTGTCTTTTTGGTCTAGAAATGCTAGTGATTATGGACTTGACGATAACCCGATAATCTCCCATCGAGCAGTACTGCTGCGTAGGTATTCTGTGGCAATTCATGGTGCCTTGTGACTGTCTTGCACCAGGTTGGCGGTAATGCTGGAGAGCTGGCAACGTCCATGACCGGTATTTTGAGACCAGTATACCTGGGATCTTGCTTCGTATTCTCGGACCTGCGCAACACATAACACATGCGTAATCCCACTGACTTCTGTCCGTACATTCCTTCAGCCCTCACACTCCGTCGATCTTTCACAATCTTTCCAAAAGAGAGATACTATCACAATCATCATGAAGACTACTCAAGTCGTCCTGCTTCTGAACGTTGCCCTGGGCACTAACGCCCTCGTTGCTGCACCCAAAGGTACGTTGTGTTGCTCGCCCGAGCGATTGTGATTGCTTTGGACTTTACTGACATGCCCATAGACATCAGCTACGCAAAACGTCAAGCTGGGCTCTGCGTCGTTGGAAGAAACTCTGCTTGCAACGGTGATCCTTATGACGAGAACGGCCGTGACGGCAAGACGTGGTCCAACTGGCATCGATACCAGATCGAACCAAAGGCGAAGCGTGAAGCAGACCCAGCGTATGGAATCTGCGTAGTAGGCGCAGATTCTCCATGCAACGGCCCAACTTGGAGAGGAGGTGAAAAGCGCGAAGCCGAGCCAGTTCCCGCTCCCGCTCCAGTGGAGGAGGAAAAGCGTGAAGCAGACCCGGCATATGGGCTTTGCGTAATCGGCGTTGATTCTCAATGCAACGGCGAGGGCTGGGGGCCTGAAAAGCGCGAAGCCAAGCCAGCTCCAGCTCCAGTGGAGGAGGAAAAGCGTGAAGCCGAGCCCGAGGCCGACAGAACCATCTTCTTCGACGTCGAGCCATCCGGACCCTGCGAAGTTGGAAGAGAATCTTCTTGCAACGGTGGTCGATGGGGACTAGAAGAGAAGCGTGAAGCCGAGCCCGAAGCCGACAGGACCATCTTCTTCGACGTCGAGCCATCTTGGGGGCTCGAAGAGAAGCGTGAAGCCGAGCCCGAAGCCGACAGAACAATCTTCTTCGACGTCGAGCCATCTGGACCCTGCGAAGTTGGAAGAGATTCTCCTTGCAACGGTGGTCGATGGGGGCTCGAGGAGAAGCGGGAGGCCGAGCCTAAGGTGGACAGGCATACATTCTTCGACGTCCAGCCATCCGGACCTAACAATTAGGGGGAGGAAGAAGACGATATTGCAGAATTCGGCGTTTTGAGGGGGTTAGTTTAAGGGGTTGTGGGCTGTCTGTTTAGATATATTCATTTGAGAGAAAAGTCATACATATAGTCTGGATCCATACTACTTGAACTTATCGGTCATTTTGTATTTGTGACCCGGTTTTTGGGACGCCAGAAGTACTAAAGTGAGTGCTTCCCATGATGGTATTACCATTGGAATCTCACGATCATGGCACTTTGTGCGGTATAGAATTGTAGATGATGTCGTTGAGATGTTGATGAAGAAGAGAGGGAGAGAGAGAGAGAAAGAGGGAGAGAGAGGGAGAGCGAGTCTTGGTAGCCGAGGTCTAAAGGAGTGGAGAGACACATGGCTTGGCGCTTAGGAGAAGTGATGAACGACAACCACAACATGATAAATACCATTTAATCAGTTCTTCCACAGGTCAACAGAACAAGCAAAACAATGTCTCATAATCCAGGCCCCATCGTGGAATTCTACTACGACGTGAGCAACAACACCTCGTTCTCTAGATACTAATACTCCCCTCCCAACTAACTAAACAATCCATATCCCCAGATCTCCTGTCCCTACGCCTACATAGCCTCCACCAAGTAAGCCCCTATCCCCCATCCTCACCCTGCCCCCCCCAAAAAACTCACCCTTCCCCCCCTTTTTCTTCCAGAATCTCCTCCCTCGCCTCCCGCACATCAGCCCACATCATCTGGCGTCCCGTCCTACTAGGAGCCATCTACCGAGCCACGCTCGCGCCTCAAGGCGCCGGAGGATCCGCGAGTGACATTTTCAATTCGACAAAAAAATCCATCACCTCTCGAGCTTTGCAACGCACAATTACCCGACATGGAATACCTTTTCGTCAGCCGAAATTTCATCCGCAGAAAACGACGGCTGCGCTGCGCTTGGTGTATTTTGTGCGGGAAAGTTGGAGAGAGAGGTTGACGAGGGAGTTGTTTCGGTTGTATTGGGTGGAGAATGTGGAAGGGGTGGGGAGGAAGGAGGTTTTGAGGAGGGCGGTTGAGAGGTGTGAGTTCGATGGGAGGGGAGATGGTGATGATGATGGTGATGGAGAAGAGGTCAAGAGAGTTTTGAAAGCGATTGAAGATGGGAGTTTTGAAGGTGAGGAGCAGAGACGGCAACTTGAAATTTCTACGGATTTGGCTGTGCAGAGAGGCGCGCCCGGTGTGCCGAGTTTTTGGATTCCGGAAGAAATCTGGAGAGATTCTGCTAGTACTACTAATCCTACTGGTGAGAGCCGCAAGGGACGGTTGTATTGGGGTCAGGATCGGATGCATTTTGTCGAAGCTGTTCTTCTTGGACTCAACAATACCTCTCAGGAGAGGCAGAGTGGCGATACAACTACCTTTGACCAAGCAGTAGCATCATCCCTCGCCACCACCAACAACAACACATCCTTACGATCATTAATCACTCCTCGCTGTGCAAGCTCAACCCTCCCCATTTCCCCTCATCATCGAAAAGAACAAGAAGAAGAAATCAAACTCGAATTCTGGCACGACTTCAGCAGTCCCTGGGCCTAGCTCGGCTGGACACAACTCGCCAGCCTCCACAGACGCTTCAACAACAGCAGCAACAGCAGCAACAACAACAACAACAGTCGCCGAAATCTCACCATCGACATGAAACCTTTTCTTTTGGGGATTCTCTTTCGCGAAATTGGAGCTCCAAATGTCCCCATGCAGGCCATGTCGGAGCAGAAAAGGAAATATATGCAACGCGACCATGGCGATTGGGTGAGGTGGTGGAATGCAGTGAGTTTGCAAGAGGGAAGAGAAGAGTTGGATGGGAAAATTGAGTTTCAATGGCCTGAAAATTTTCCGATTAGGACGACGAATTTATTGAGGGCTGTGTTGGTGGAAGAGAGGCTTTGTGGAGTTTTATGTGAGAAAAAAAAAACGTCTCCTAGTCTTCTCTCTTTGGCTTCTTGTTTTCCCCTTCCCCTTTTGTGGGGGGTTTTTTTTCTTCCTTTCGATTAAAATGCTAATGGGTTCACAGATCGAGCCTGCTGGGAACGCAACTTAAACATGTCCGACGACAAAGTTCTCAAGCAGGTCATTGCAGAAGCTGGATTCGATGCCGATGCGATACTGCAAGCCGCCAACGAAGAGAAAATTAAGCAGGAATTGCGACTTCGAACGCAAGAAGCCAAGGATGCTGGAATCTGCGGAGTGCCCACGTATCGAGTGTTTCGACGAAAGTTGGGCCAGGGTGAGAGTGATTGGAAACAGTTCGGGGACTTGGTCTGGGGTCAGGATGAAATCGCTGTTGTCGAAGATCTCATCGCGGGCTGGGATGGGACTACTACTACTACTACCACCAGCGGAGTCGAGAATTCTTCGTCCTCCAGTCACAGCAAGCTCTAAGTATTCACTTCATCATCATCTTCTTCTTCTTCTTTTTCTCCCCCTTCCCCTTCTCATACAATCCACTCCTTCGTAAACCCATTTTCCCCAAATTTCCAATCATAATCCATAATCTCCGCCACCTCCTTCGCCTTTTCCAATCCCACCTGATGGCTCAAAATCCACAACGCAGCATCAATCCCACAACTCACTCCCCCCGAAGTCACCACTCGGACCCCAGACTCCGTCCTTCCCGCATCCACCCACCGCTTCCTCACCACCTCAGCCGGCGCGCCCGCTTTCTCCGTCATCTCCTCCAAAATAGGGAGATAGGCAAAATGCGTCGTCGCCTTCTTCTTCCCCAGTACACCCTCCGTCCCCAAAAACGCCGCTCCCGTACAAATCGAAAACAACCAACGATCTTTCGCTGCTACTTCTCCTTCTCCCTGCTTCTGAACCGCCGTCGCCTTGGGAGGTAATCCCGCAAACGTCTTCACAACCTCCAATAACCCCGAATCATTCTTCAACGCACATTCAATATCCTCGGGCGGAGCACCGGGCACCACAAGAATATCATAGCGCGCCAACTGCGCAGCATTTTCTTGCAGAAGATGCTGAAATGATGTGTCTGAGGCGATGGTTACGCCCTCGGCGCTTTTTGTTGCGCGGGGATTCTGGGGAGTTGCGGATGCGATGGTGAGGTTGAAGGCGGGTCGGAGGGCGGAATTGCCGAAGACTTCGGCGGGGCCGGTTAGGTCGAGGATGTTGAGGCCTTGGAATGCTAGAGCGAGGACTTGGATGGGTGGGGGGGAGGAGGACATTGGGGGTGGGACTTGTCTGTGGTTGTTGTGAGTTGTTGATGAATTTGGGGGAGTGGGGTTTGATGAAGGAGAGAGAGAGAGAGAGGGAGAGAGAGTGTGTGGTGAAGATAATGGTTAGATATACCTAATGAAACTCTTGTCAGTTCAGTTCAGTTCAGTTCAGCAATATGCTACCCTTCACTCTATGTATATATATATATGAGTGAAGTAGTTTTCTTCTCTTCCACGTCAACGTTCTAGCTAACATCTAAACCATCCATCCGATGCAGGACAGGACCACAGGGGTGAGGGGGGCTGTCCTGTGCAAGGATTGAAAAAAAAATCTATCTAGATAGCCTCCTCAAACATCCGACGACCGTTGAAAACCGCGTTACGCGCCAGTTTACCATTATCATTACGATGATTTTATATTCAATGTGATTCAAAGAAATCTTTTCTTAACAATAATGATAATAAATGATTAAAAGAAAAAGAGATGGTAATACATACATACCTCTGCTTCACATGTCCCGTAGTCAAGCTTCGACAGGCCCGTCCGCTGCGGAACGCGCCACTTAGCTCTCCTCTTCTTCCCATACCGGCCGCGGCCGTGACAGGCGAGGTGCCGATAGTACCGGTAGTCATAGTCGTAGTCGTAGTAGTAGAGATATTATGCTGCCATATAGCATTTGTTGAAATTCTGCAATTGGCGTTGCGCGCAAACGAGCGGAGAGATCTCGATGCGAACATATTCATCTTGTTGCTGTTCGGGCTTTCCGTTGATTTCTGCTGGCTCCAAAATGGTTTTTGTTGTTGATCACTATCTACGGAGACTTGGCACGGCGGTTCTACCGTTCTCTTGGCGATCACAGGGTTGTGTGAATGAATTGTTGATGGCTTGAACTTTAATAAATGGGTTTTGAAATATATGTTGTATGGTATGGATGGGGATGATGTTGAGGCGGGAGTAAGTAGCAGAAGATGGAGGAGGAGGAGGAGGAGAAGGAGGAGAAGGAGAAGAGGAGAAGAAGGACAAGAGTCGGCGGGATTAATAATTAACCTACCGAATGCAAGGTGGGTCTGTCGTCTGATCATATGTACGGATATGTATGAATATCGTGTTGTAGTACTCCTTCTACCCGGAGACCGCCCGAGTTCCTCCTAGTCACGCTCAATCGGGTTTTGGATACTGTCTGTCACAGCCCGTATATCGAAGACGCCTCTAGCCTTTCGACGCTCTCCCCTTTCCCGGTAATGTCGCCTCTAGAAAAGATCAATATATAATTGATTTAGATAAAAAGCCGAAGAAGTATAGTATAACGCGATAGAGTCCTATACTAACTAGTAGGTATTCCTATAACGCAACAAAACAACAACAACAAAGTCGTCCCCCTCCTCTCCCTCCTCCTTATCCTCCTTATATTCTAATAACCCCCCCTCCTATCCCAACAATACTAACGACTATCCATTCTCGTCTATATAGTATAGAGCATACTGTAGCCTTATAGGTAAAGATTCAAAATAACGAATAGGAGGAAAAAAGACAAGTAGAAAGAATAGATAAATAAATAAATAATATATCGATCGACGAACTTATTAGTAGGAGAAGTAAGAGCAATAGCTAGTAGGCTACATATAGTAGGAGCGACAGCAGCAATAGACTATAGAAAATATAGTACCTAAGGGAAAACAAGACATATCTTAGCTTGTAATCGTTTTCAATTTATTTTATTCTTTCGTTTCGTTCGTTTTCCTCCCTCCCTTACTTTTGGATACTCTCTTAAATACTCTCTTAGATACATAAATCGATGACTCTCTTCCGCTTGGCTGACCTTAACCTTGGAACCTCGACCAACCTTGACTTTAAGTTTAAGTCTCAAGTTCAACTTTTCCAACTTTAAAACTTCAGACTTCGAGTCTTTTATGTCTGGACTTTCACGCTTCGTGTGTGCATCAAGCCACGAATGTCTAGATATGTAGATGCATATGTATATATCAATCCCCCGAAAAGAAGGAGAAGAAGAAGAAGAAGAAGAACACTTCTTTTCAAAAGGCTTTCTTAAAGACTATCTTAGTATGTATGTACCTTGAGCATCCGTCCGTCCCCCCCTCCCCCGTCCCCCTTCCTCATGATATATATATTCCATCCTTGTCCCGTGTCGTATATCTTTTGTCCTACCCAGAGCCAAAACCATATACCATACCAATACCCATACCGTACCGTATCGTACCCATACCATGTCAAAAAGGACAAAAAAGAAAAACGCCCACGCTAAAACTTTCAGATTCGTGCTCGTGTGCTTCCTGCCCGTGATCAGGTAGGTAGATCCCATCCATCCGTCCGTCCGTCCGTCCAGAACAAAGAAACGAATGATAAATGATAAATGATAATGATGATGGTCATGATGATGGTCATGATGAAATAATATTACAATGGACAGGTTCTGTCTCTTGCCTTCTTTTTCTTTCCTTCTTCTGCTTCCGTTTTTTTTTTTCTCTCGTCTCCTTTTCCCTCCTATGTCTTTATTTTTCCTGGGTAGGTTCCGACGAAGAAGGAGAAATTTTCGGTGATTGATTCGGTTGTTGTTGGGGGTCTTTCGCAAGTGTCTTCATTTCAATCCCTTCTGCTGTCTGTTGGATCCCATCAGCCTTATCGCCATCGCCGTTCGTCGCCGTCGTCGTTTTCGCCGTGGTGTCGGTCTCCGAGACTTTCTTCGCGTCGTCATCAGAAGCATCCTTGGGCGTGGAACCACTCGTAGTGGACGAAGAGGAGCAACAATCCGTCAATACCTTCCTCAGTAGCGGTCTCTTGATGGGTTTGGCGAGGAAATAGTCCATTCCGGCTTGATAGCAGCCTTCGACGTTACTCTGTTCCGCATACGCTGTCAGAGCGACAATGGGGCCGGTATAGCCGTGTTGTCGGATGAGGCGCGTCGATGTGAGACCGTCCATGCGGGGCATTTGGATATCCATGAAGACAAGGTCGTAGGGATGGGGGCGGGGGGAGGTTGTGGAGGAGGAGGATGAGACAGAGTCTTCGGCGGAATTGGATGATGAAGCTTGTTCGTCTGAGTCCTGTGAGGCTTCACTGGACAATGTGCTGGCTTTGATCAGGTCAAGAGCGGCTTGGCCGTCGTGGGCGATGGTGACGTCGAAGATCTTTTCCAATTTCAACATTCTCAAGATGACTTCTTGATTCACCTTGTTATCCTCCGCTACCAGGATTCTGACATTGCTAAAGTCTTGCTGTGCCTCCTTGCCAGCCTTGATGTCTTTGCCCGCCTTGCCAATGGCTCGGGCTTGCGATGACGGCGTACTCGTCAACGGTGGGGGCACAGCAGTATCAGGAGGCGCAGCAGCTACAGGACTCACGGGTGACCGCGCTGTCATGGCCGCAATGGTAGGAACGCGTTCCGTAGGCCGTTCTCCCATAGTCGGCATCCGGTCGGAGTTCTTCATCGTCAACGAGTTGCGGCCACTGGCGGTGCCAACGATCCTCCGCAGAGGCAGCTTCGTCGTGAAAGTGCTGCCACGGCCCACGGTACTGGTGAGGCCAATGGTTCCGCGCATCAGACTGGCAAGCTGTAGGCAGATACTGAGTCCCAGCCCCGTACCGCTGTGCTTCCTGCTCAGTCCAGCGGATGCCTGCACAAAGGGTTCGAAGATGGACCGCTGCTGTTCCTCGGGAATGCCAGGTCCCGTATCACGCACATCGAATTCAATGTAGATGTCGTCCCCAGGGGGCGCACAAGGCACCGGATCGACCTGCTCGTGCCATATTTCGCGGGGATTGATGAAATTCGCCGTGCCATCTGCACTCGGAGACGGTTGGGCCTGATCTTTTATTCGCCCGTGAGAATATCGAATGGTGCTCCCTGCATTCGATCGGTGTCTGACGGGCGTTTCGGAGAGAGCTCGCACCGTCACCGTCACAAATCCATCCGCAGGCGTGAATTTGAGGGCATTCGAGGTGAAGTTGATGACCATTTGCATGATACGATGGATATCACCCCACAGCGCAATGTCCTTGAGACTAGGCTGCTGGTCCGGAGAGGAGAACCTCTCCAACGGCATATCCTCGAAGACGACTTTCAACGCGATGCCCTTCTCTCGTGCCTGATCACCAAAGAGTGCGGTGATCTGTGACTCGAGGTCGCGCAGGTAAAATTCTCGTTCGTCCAGCTTCAGCACTTGATGGCCAACTTGGTTGGTCGAGAATGTCAGCAAGTCGGTGAGTGTGCGGAGGAGTAGGTCTCCGCTTTTGTAAATGATTCCCAGCGACTGCTTGAGCTTGTTCAAATCTGATTCTTCCATGCAGACAGCACACATGCCCAATATGCCGTTGAGCGGAGTCCGCAATTCCTTGTTCACGCGTTAGTACAAACATACTCACGTCGTTTGACATCCATCTATGATGATGATGGGGACCACGAAACTTACATGACTGTCAATCGTTAGCACAGAACAAAGCACATAGTATGGAAAAGGGCCGGTTGGGTGAGTGAAAAATGACTTACCTGACATTGGCCACGAACAACGTCTTGCTTTCATTTGCGGCTTCTGCAGCCTTTTTGCTGTGCTCCAGCTCAATCGTACGCTGGCGCACACGCTCGTCCAGCTGACTGTATTGGAGATACAACTCATCCGACATGTCGTTGAATGTGGTGATGAGGTCCGTCATCTCGTCTTGGACCCGACCTTTGTTCTTGCCGGGTACTTTGCCGGGGATTCGAAAGCGTTGATCGTCCCGCGGTTCGATGTGTATAGATCCATTACGCTTGCCTCGCCAGCGAGCAATGGTTTCGACGAAGCCCTTTCGTTTGCCGTTTGCAGATCGGGAATCGACGGATTTCGTGTCCACTTTCGTGAAATGGTGACTCGAGGCATCAGAAGATGCTGGACTGGGATGGCTCCGTGGTGGATCAATGGTCTGCGCAGTGGCAGCTCGCAGGCGTACAATTGGAAGCACAGCCCAATGAGCAATGGGGTAGGATAACAGTGTCCAAAACCCAACCACTGCGAACAAAGTCGCCAGAATGATCCTTCGGAGACGGTAGATCGGTGCCCAGACCTCGCTCCGAGCCTGCTCGACCACCACGATCCAGTCGACCAAGTCTGTGGGGACGATGGAGTAGCCCACAGATACGCTTTTATTTGCCTCGTTGTGTGTACGGAGCATGCTCTTCACGTCATCCATGCCACGATTGTTTTCGAGGACCGCTCTCTCTACTGCTGGATACGCGCTGGCCGGAAATGGTGGATTCTCCGTTCCGAGAATGTGGTTGGGGTGACGATCTTTGGAAGTGGTATTCAATGGCAGCATGTATTGCACTGAGGCGTCTCGAGCGGCGTCTGGTATGCCAATGATCCCCTCGGGAAAGTTGTTTGTCGGATCAGTGGGCCCCAGCAACAGAGTTTCGCCGGTGGTTCCCAGCCCTCGAAGATCCTGCTGCACGAGCTGAATAAGTCGGGCATTTCCCACTACCGTCGCCCAGCCGATGACATTCGTATTGTTCGCGTTACTCACGATGGGCAGCGTGAACGAGAGCAGAGAAAAGGTGGCATTGACGGACAATGGACCCAGTATGAGCGTCGATCGGAGACCCAGGGTGCCCCCTTGATAGGTTGCTGTCGAGCCTGTAGTCGGGTCGTCGCTGATGGTATAGCTTGATATGGAGTTGGTGGTCGCTTGACCACTGATCGTGACATTGAAGCTTGCTGTAGAGCTTGCAGCCGAGTCGTTGCTCATGGTCAAGTTAGGATAGAGTGAGGGAGGGTAGCCGGAGCCTGCATCTCCGAGATATACCGGGTTACCCTGCTCATCGCTCCAGGGCAGCCGAATCTGAGCAATGGGACCGGTTTCGTTGAGGACACTGGTGGCGCCCGCCGGTCCTGATGTATTCCTCGAGAATATTTGCGTCTGTAGAATCAGCGGACTGGTCAGAGGGCCAACATTGCCAAGCGTTGCTCGCAAATCCGAGCTCGCCAAGAGCCAGTTGTCCGGAGCAGTGTTGGAGCCATTGTTGTATCGCTCCAGGGCTTGCTGAATAATGGTTCTTGTCGTGAGAAAGGTGGCGGCCGTCTGCATCAACTCCAGATTGTAGGCAATCTGCGCGGACTTGAGGACAGCAGTCGTGCGTAATCTGCTGGCGGCCACGCTCAAGACAAAGTCGTGGTTCGTGAGCCATGTGGCGATGGCCAGGACCGAGAGGCCGAGCGTGGACGAGGCAATGAGCAGGAGAGCCAGCTGCTTGCGGATGGGGATGCGCATGGCGCCGGCGGGCCCGCTCTAGACGACGGCTGCACGAGCGAAATGCGACGCCAGAGATGGTGTCTGGCGTTGGAGAAGAGCAGCAGATCTCATCTTCAGCTCTCCAGGCAGACGTGATCAGTGTAGTGCAGTAGGAGTGAAGATTGCGGTGGCTTGAACACCAACTACAGTGAGAGAGTACTGAGACTGGTGGTGCTCAGCCCTTCGCTCTTCGCTCGGCTGTTGTGCTGACAAGCAGCGGCATGGTACAAGGAGCCGGGCGTTCCAAGCTGCAATCATCCCAGAATAGTTCCATGGCACGAGGAGGACACGAGCGAGGTACGAACGAGTGGTATAGATTGAATGGGGACGGTCCAGACCTGTTTTTTCCCCCTTCATCTTGCCGGAGAGTCCTTGCGAACCTGGTGAACTTGAAGAATCATGATACTGCTTGTTCTTGGATGATCTTGGCTCTTCCAGAGGAGCATTGAGCGCATGTTTCCTCGATGCTGTCCCCGCGGCCAAGCACACCGAACATCAATAAGGTTTGCTCTCTGATGGCGGATCATGGCGCAGACTCCCTGAGGATCTGAGCGGCAAATGAGGCTAACAGGGTGAGCTTCCACGAGGATGGGAACACATCGTTCCGCGTGACTTGTTGTTCTTCACATCCGATCGAACGAACTCGTCCAACGCCCGTCGTCGTCGGCGAGACCGAGATGATTATTTCGACACTCGTCACCAGGGGATGGAATATCAGTAACAACCGCTCTGGTGATGTCGACCTCATGTCGTGGTCGTTGTGGACGATCGCAGCAAAAAGGCTACAGCCACTCCTGGAGCCTGGAGGCGGGAGGCGGGGTCCCTGGCCGGCGATTTCTTGCCAAGTAGAAAAGTAGGTCTATCCCTGAACTCCTGGACGCTCCCGCGAGTCCCAGACACGCCACCGTGCATCGGAACTTGGGCGATGGGCGATGGAATTATAACTGCCGGAGCGCAAATATAGGTCTACCTAATCACAAGAAAAGTGCTCTCCAGCCGTGCTCCAATTCAAAAGAAAATTGTGTCGGAATGCCGCACTCTCTTGAAACCGCCAAGAAATTTCTGGCTTGGGGGAGTACGTTGCAGCAACATGACCGTTAACTCGTATCGGGCGAAATCCGACAAAGGTACAGGAAACGCTGCGAAGTCTTCGCACGTTCCACAATAGAATGCGATCAGTATATACCGATGAGAGGCTCCTAACGGCATCACTTCGGAGTCCTCAGAGACGATGGAGAGGTCTGTGTGGTAAGGTTGTGACATCCGCCGTGCGATCAAGTCACTATCTACGATTAGGTAGTGCCAATGCTGCTGAAACCGAGCAGCATCACCAATGCGCGCGACGATGATGATGCAGAGGGCGATCTACAAGATCAGACATATATCCTTGGAGCTACAATTGAGACTCGACACCTCTTGACATCGCTCCGTGATATGCTCGCGGGATGCCTCAGCTCCATCATCGGTTGCCATCACAGCGGGTGGCCAGGAGAGGTTGTTCTCCCAGACATGGGGATGCTAAGGAGACCAGTCGTCTGAGGAGGTGAGCGGAAAGAGAATAGAGAGGTATAGTACATACATGTATGCACAAGGGACCTACGACTGATAACGGATGTTGTCGCGGAACAGGACCTGAGGGTGAGGTCGATTGTGCTCCGCTGCACAGGTTCTCGGAGAGCGGCAGACGCAATGCCGAAGTGACGAACGAGCCACAACTTTCTACTTCGCTACTTCTTATACCTCCTACTCGAGAGAGATTTCCTATGACCTGCTGACCCCTCGCCTCCGCTTCTGTTTGTGCGAGAAACATGCACTGCAATGACAACTCCGGGTACGGATGTATCACGCAATGCCAATTCTTCAATCGTCGTGCTACATGTAGTCGGCAGGGAAAGATCACATGACAACGCAGTGTGTCTATCGTCCGCACAGCCACTGACTGCCCGCTGCCAGCCTATTCCACTTCAGACGCAGACCGGGTCCTTCTATTGAAAGTGCACGTAGGGGAAGCCTCAGCTGCATGTCCTCACGACCGTTGTATAGCGGGTCAATGATACTGGAATCACTTCATACGCGCTCTTTCGGGAGACAAATGTGTCAAATCACCAACTTCACAATGCAGCTGGAGCTCTTGCGGATGGAGCTACTCATGAGGTGTGTGTTTCGCATCTTCAAGCCGGATGATGTTGCTATGAGTGTAATTATTGGCGGCCAATTGATGCATCGGCGAGATCATTCATCCGTAACGACTGGAACATTGTCAACCGGCAGGGCAAGAGCACCATATATGTGACGTACCATTTCTCGAGATCATCATCACAGTCGGGCATGATTCAATGTCATAGGGCATCCACTTTTCTCGACTCTCTGCAGAAAGTTGGCCTGCTGGACAGCCGAGTGATTGGAGAACGACAGGCTCGCTCTCTTCCATATCAAGCATCGTACCTGGACAGGTGAGTACACCCGCGGGTTTGAATTGCCATGTTGAAAGATTTGAACTTTGTAGCATTGGTATCACATCACCTGCTCGCGCATCCGAGCATCGGCAAGATATACGACTCCGGTATATATACATATTGCACACTTCAGCATCTTGAGGAATGGGTCTGGATTTGTATTTTGGCATTCCTACTTCGTCACATTGGAAGGTGTAATAGCATATGTCGGCCGCACGAATCTGTCTCTCATATTAGCACCGCGCATACTCCACGCATTCGACACTAAGACATACCGGTCCTTGTTGTATATCGGCACTTCCTTCCCTAGCAACTCCTTCTCCAGCGCCTTTTGCGCAAAGTCCCTTCGCACCACATCTCGATCCTCTTCGGCTTGTAGTAATGGAATGAGGTGGATGCGCGACCACATTTTTTCTCTCGCCAGTTCGCTGTGGCCACAATTTAGCACCTCATCATCCTGTTGTCTTAGCAATGAAGATTGATCCACCCACTTTTGCTCTCGGATGCCCTGTCCAAGTCTGTAGAAACCCCATGACATGACACCTGCGAGGCCTACCAAGAGATAGGCGGGTCTGAAGCCACGGACTGGCAGATTTCGGCGGTATTGGACGGGTTCGTAGCCCCCCGTGGGCGGCATGTCCTGGCCGACCATGATTGCGATGGTGGTGGTGGTGGCGGGGGGCGGTGCAGTGTGGTTTAGTGTGGTGCGATTACACCAAATGGCGCGAGGTCGAGGTGGTGTGTACTGTGTGTGGTGCAGCGGAGGAGAGACGGCGGATGTGGCCCGAGCTCTTTCCCGAGAGCGAATTTGAATTTGGAGCTTTCGCAAAACTTCAAATTCGAAAGAGACGAAGACAGAAACAGCTACAGAACGGCGGAGGACAACCCGTAACGACAGCGACATCAATAACCCTATCACGACGACCTCGCCGACCCGCTCCGTGCCGCGGTCTATATAGTCTCCGCCGCCGCCGCCATGTCGGTCGACTACCTGCTCCACGAGTCGTCGGTGGGTTATGCTATTTTCCAGGTGAAGCTGCAATCGGACACCATTGGCGCCCGCCTCAAGGAAGTGCAAGACTCGCAGACGGACCTCGCCAAGTTCGGCAAGCAGGTCCAGCTGGTCTCGTTCACGCCGTTCAAGGGCGCGCAAGAGGCGCTGGAAAATGCCAATGATGTGTCGGAGGGTATCATGAGCGAGCTGCTCAAGACGGAGCTGGAGGCCAACCTGCCCAAAGCCGGCAAGAAGAGCAAAGTATCGCTCGGTGTCGGGGACAAGTCTCTTGCTGGGAGCATCAAGGAGGCCTTTCCCGGCGTGCAGTGTGAGACGCCCGAGACCAGCGAGCTGGCTGCTGATCTGCTGCGCGGACTGCGTACACACGCCGAGAAGCTGCTCAAGACCCTGCAGAATGGTGACATTTCTCGCGCACAGCTCGGTCTGGGCCACGCCTACTCGCGTGCCAAGGTCAAGTTCAGCGTGCAGAAGAACGACAACCACATCATCCAGGCCATCGCCACGATTGACCACCTGGACAAGGCTGTCAACACCTTCTCCATGCGGGTGCGAGAATGGTATGGATGGCACTTCCCGGAGCTGATCCGTATCGTCAGCGACAATCACAAGTACGCTCGTTGCGCCTTGTTCATTGGCGACAAGAAGACGCTCTCCGAGGACAGCCTGCACGAGCTTGCCGCTCTGGTTGACGACGACGAGAGTGTGGCCCGTGCCATCATCGAAGCCGCACGAGTGTCCATGGGTCAAGAGATCTCCGAGAACGACATGGAGAATGTGATGACCTTTGCGAAGCGTACTGCTGAGCTCGCCGCCTATCGCAAGAAGCTCGGCAACTATCTTGTAGCCAAAATGGGAATTGTGGCTCCCAACTTGGCCGCTCTGATCGGAGAGACGGTCGGTGCTCGTCTGATTTCCCACGCTGGTTCTCTTACCAACTTGGCCAAATACCCAGCCTCTACCGTCCAGATCCTCGGCGCTGAGAAGGCTCTCTTCCGCGCTCTCAAGACCAAGGGCAACACACCCAAGTATGGTCTCATCTACCACTCGTCCTTCATCGGCCGCGCTGGTATGAAGAACAAGGGAAGAATATCACGATTCCTTGCCAACAAGACGTCTATTGCTTCACGTATCGACAACTTTAGCATGGCACCTACGAGAGTTTTTGGTGAGGCGCTACGAGCACAGGTCGACGAACGATTACGATTCTACGCCGAGGGCGTGAATCCCATGAAGAATGCTGATGCTATGGTATGCTTGTGTCGCGTATGAATAAAGACGGGTTCTTGCTAACAGTGTCGCAGAAAGCCGCAATGGACAAAACCCTCGCTACCATTGATGTTGCTGACCCCACAGCCGATGCGACGGGAGAAGTGCCCAACAAGAAGGAAAAGAAGAGCAAGAAGTCGAAATCTGAGGACGTCGAAATGGCCGACATTGACGCCGATGCAATTACCGATAAATCCTCGAAGAAATCCAAAAAGGAGAAGCGCAAGTCCGAAGCCATGGATATCGATGTTGATGAAGCGGCGGTGGAGAAGAAGCTGAAGAAGGAGAAGAAGGAAAAGAGGAAATCCGAGGGTCTCGCGAATGGTGAAGTGCCAGAGGAACAAATCAAGGAGAAGAAGAAGAGCAAGAGCAAGAAGAGCAAGGCGTGATGAGCACCGTTCATATTGAACGAATGAGTTTGAACATTCGTGGCGAAGGCGTTCAGATAGGCGTTACGCGGACAAAGTACTACTGTACAAGTACTGTATGAACGACCCGGATGGCTATCATTTGGCGTGGTATGGACTCTTTTTTCCAGTATAAAACATTTACTCCAACCCCCCTTTTGTTTCTCCCTTGCTGTCTGTCAAGAGCGCGCAGCCTTGCACGGCCGCCGGGTGAAGGATGAGACCAGTTTCTGTCAAGTCAAACGAGGAGCGCGTGCACAGAGATCTCTCTTTGTTGGCACAATTGCCTAGATGTTCGCAGCTACAATCGATCCACGACCTCACCACTCCCAACCAACCAGAAGGAGATTCTCAGCAGTGTTGGCGTTTCAGGAGTGTGGTCTTTTTATTCGACACTTTCAATATGTAGCAGCACTCTCGGCTCTTCGGATCACATACCTCCTAGGTACTCGTGAAATCGATACTGGAGTGGATGCAAATCGCGAACATATCCCAGGTTGAACCCGACATTAGGATGGTTGGTTGGTACTTTTGGTAACACAGCGTCGAGACTGTCGACATCAGTGCATTTCCAACCCTGTCTCCACCACCACCATTAAACCTCCTCCACCACCTCCTCCACCACCTCCTCATCATCACAAAGGAATACCACTCCTATTCGCCCCAGGAAACTCCTTCCCCAACGCCTCCCACAACGGCACCCCATCCCTCGTAATCTCCTCCAACTGCGGACAAGCCAAACTAAGCAAAGGCGCCGTCAACGCATCCGTCAACATCTTCAACGGCTCGAGCACCGACTCGAAAATATTATTCAAATAATTCGGCGCAGCAAAATTGATAATCTCCAACACAAAACACATCAGATTTCCACCTTCGAGCACATTCGTCACGCCTAATACGCCGCTGGCGGGGTCGAGGAGATTCACGCCCGTGAAGGTATTTACTTGGCCGAGGTTTCCGCCAATGTTGGCGAACATGGGGTATTTGAGGATGAATTGGACTATGTCTAGATTGAGTTGGACGAGGCCGTAGTCGATGGGGGTTTTGGCCCAGTTGGAGGGGATGCGTTCGTGGCCTTTGGTGTAGATGAAGTTGCCGCGCTCGCCGGTTACGGAGTAGAAGGTTTTGAGGATGTCGTGGGCTGTGTGGAGGAGGGGAGGGGTCAGCTTTTTGGGACACTACACAGGCCAAAAAAATTGGATGGGAGTATTCATGAACTGGACTCACTCAACTCCGGTTTTCCCGACGAATAATTCGCCATCAAATTCGCCACGAAGCAAAACCCCGTATTGCGAGCAATCGTTCCACTGACAGGACCATAGTAAAAATACGGATTCGTCGAAATCGAATCGTTGAATCGAATCGCTGCAAAATCAATCAGAGTATCCAATGTGAAGAATTCGCCTGATGCTTCCGGAATCATATCGTAGAGGGTTTCGAAATTGGCCAAGTTCATGGTGACGGGATCTTCGGTGACGTATAAATCGTCTCGCGTGGGTGAAGAGTCGGCTTCGATGAAATTGTGGGAATGGCTGATTCCTCGGGGTTCGCCTGGATTGAAGAAGATATAAAAAAGCAAACGTCAGAAAGGGGGGAGGGGGGGGGTTTTCTTCTTCTTCCCACTGCTACACAGTTACGCACCTAATAATCCCAAGACATTTCCCAAAAGATTTTGCACATCTGTATCATTGCCGCCAATGGAAAATGATGGACTCAGAGAAAGAGGATTTCCGGTCCAGACGGTACCCATGACGGCCAAAATCAGACCCAATTCGACGCTCACGCCAAAGACTTGGTTGAGAGTAGGTACTACTCCGAGGAGGGTGGCGATGCCATTTCGAGAAATATATCCATGGTTGGCGAGGGCATTGAGTCCAGGCTGTTGGTTTTCGGGTTATTACCTTGCAATGTCAGCTTCTGGGGAAAAAAAAGAAAAAAAAAAACAGAGGATTTTCTAGGCTTGTTGATTGGTATGAGAGTGAGAGGGAAGAAAGAAAGAAAGAAAGAAAACAAACGCACGCATGGACCTCTCTGGTCGCCTTCTTCTGGCGCTCTCCATTCATGGTCTCCAGTCAAATCTAAAGGTCCGCTGTTCGAATTGAGAACATCTCCCACGATGGGCAAGTCTCCCACAATCGGTAAGCCCAACAGTCGCTTTTCCAGATTCTCTCCACCGTTGGCGTGGACGTGTCTTGCAATGTGATGCAGATTGGAGAAGCCCAAGACAGTGCGGGCAAAGAGCGCAGCAGAGGCCGCTTGGAAGAAGACGTCTCCAATGAACATAATTTTTTTTTAATTATTACTATAATCCTTCTTTCTTCTTCTTCTTCTTCTTCTCTCTCTCTGCCTGCGCGCGTCTCACTTACATCAAACGCAAAAGAAAAAGAAAAAATGACCAAAACATCACATCTCACTGGCGTCCCGTCTCCCTTTCCCCAACCCAATCCAATCACTCAACTATAACAATTACAGACTAGACTGCTTTTTTCTTCCCCTTCTAATATCCCACAAGGGTGAGTGGGTAATGGTATCTGCCGATGCAGGTACAGTTACAGTACAATACACGCGACATTCTCATCACCATCGAATAAAATCATCGATTCCCCCTGACCAGTTGGGCCCCCCTTACCCCTCCCTCACTATCCTTTATCAAGTTCATCATGTTTCACTTGGGGGCATAAGTTGCTCGGGTATGAGGCTAATACTCGGGGGAATAAAAAAATCGCTAGTGGTGGGGACCAGCATCGCGGGTCCACGGCAACTCAAGACTACCTAGAGGTGAACGGAGATTTTTTTTTTTTATCGCTCACCGGACCCGTGATCTTTCTTGGCACGCGGGCAAGGGGCTTGTCATGATGCGGTTTTTGTACACTACAACCGTACAACGGTATATTACACGAGCTTGGCTTTTTTTCTACTGCTGCTGCTGATCACAGGTGACAGAACCAAGAAGGGCCTTTGGGTTTCATAGGCTTGCGACACGAGGACTTTTTTATGAAAGATTCACCAGGGGGTGGGTCGATGTCGTCGGTCTGGACTCTCTCCGTACACAATAACACAGCTGACAGAAAGAATGAATGAATGAGTAAGTAAGTGAGTGAGTGAATAAAAAAACAACCCAGTGCCAATACTGCTACAATGTACCAGAAACGTCGTTAGGGGGCGGGAAGAATATTCCTCCTCCTCCTCCTCATCCCTTCATCCATAACCCACGACTGGAAGGCCGTGTGGATTATACACTATGGTCACTACCTACGTCAATGCATTGCGCGGTCGCCGAACGGTCTGGGACAGTGCATACTTACCGTCGATCTTGGAATTCATGTCGCTTCGGCGTAACTCCTGTACAGCATCTAACTACTACTACGGTTACGACTACGACTACGACTACTACTGGGCACCGTTATGATCAACGCCCCCACCCCTCCCCCCCCGTCTAGTCTTCTGGCCTGTGGGCGGTATCGAAGCGAACAAGGTGTATCTGTCTGTGTCATGAGAGAGAGAGAGAGAGAGAGAGAGAGAGTGAGAGTGAGAGTGAGAGAAAATCCCCGTCCATGGATTTCCTACCAAGACTACATTGATTGAACTACTATACCACTACTTGGAACTCCGGCACAGAATCCTGTTCGTGTCAGATTATCCGCTTTCTTCTTCTGGTCTGGTCTGGTTAAATTCTGTTGGCACGATCCATGATGGAGATCGTCGCCGCTATGGGAAAATGCAGTAGTCGATCTAGGGCATGGCATACTACTGCCTTACTACTACTACCACTACCACTACCACTACTACTACTACTGCCGCCTCACTCGAGTCGCCGAATCGGCCAACTAGAGAGATAGAGATAGAGAGAGAGTGCTTGAGCACACACTCTAGGAACGACTCGGCATCGATTCTTTATGTTTTTATCCACCCACCCCCCCTCTCGTTGGCTAGGAGTAGTCTCCGCATAGCTGGAATCACACTCCCCAATTGCACAATTTATTTTATCTCCCTTAACCTACTCACCCACCCACCCACTCACTCCGACCGACCGACCTTCCGACCCTGCGGCCTTATTCGTGTGTCCCCCAACGACGAATCTCTCCCTTTTTCTTCCCCATGTACTTTTATTACTACTATTACTAAGACAGAGAGAGAGAGAGAGAGAGAGACGGTTTTCCTTTCTTTCTCCCCTCATTCGTCTATTCATTTTGGACTGCATTTTACACCTTCATTTTTATTTTGACCCTTTTTTTCTTGTTTTGCGCCGATTGTGGATTGTTGGTTTTGGCAAACAAGAATGAGACTTCACTGGAACCATTGGACGACCTTTTTCTTCTTCTTCTTCTTTTTTGCCGCAACAACAACGCTATGTGCCGCTCAAGAAGAACACAACAACAATAATTCTACACAAGAAGAAAATGCACAAGCCAAATTACAGCGAGCTCTCGCTCTCGTCCAGCAAATGCCCTCATGTGCAGTAAGTACTCCAAATGAGCCGAGAAGAGGCCAACTGGAAAAAAAAATAAAATCAATCCTGATGAGAAGAAAAACTCTAGCAAACGTGTTTGGTCCAAGCAGTTGCGGCTTCAGGGGCCACGGCGGGAAATATCGACATCGCTGCTAGTTGTACCAATACTACTGCCACGGCGGGTATTGAGGAGTGTGCTACTACGACATGTACTCTTCGAGAGCAGTTGAGTATGAAAAAAATTTCTCCTTTTCCTTTCCCCCCCTCTCGACCCCATGCTAACAAAACATCTTCTGCTTCCTCCTTATTTTCCCAGAAGCCAAAAATCTCACAGAAACACTCTGTGAACGCCCCCCACACTCCGCACCGACATATTCCATCGCCAGCATCGTCGGCGGCGGATTTGTTCTCGTGGCATATTTCATGCGAGTAGCTTCCAAAATCTATTTTCCTTGTCAAAAGGGAGCGAGGATCGATAATGATTTTTGGTGGGATGATGCTACGATTACGATTGCTTTTTTGCTCATTATCCCTATTACGGCTCTCTCGAATGTATGTGAGTAGAATTGATGCCCTCCCTTTTTTCTTTTTTTTTGAAGCTTTGAAGCTGTCGCTTGGAAGAGAAAAGGAGTGTTTTTGGGGGAAAGGGAAATGCTGACTGAAGATTTTTTGTTTCTTGTTATTTCTGTTGCGCAAGTGACCCAATTAGGAATTGGAAGAGATGTTTGGACTTTGACTCCCGAGAATATCGAAAAAGCTTTAAAGGTGAGTGAGTGAGTAAAGAAGAAGAAGAAGTTTCAACACTTTCCCTCCCTCTTTTTCTTTTTTTTTTTCTTTCTCTGACCGCTGAACGCAACAGATGTACTACGTCGACGAAATCCTCTACATGCTGGTAATGCCCATCATCAAAATCGCCATTTTATGCACCTATCTCCGCATCTTCACCAACATCAAATTCAAACGACTCGTCTACGGCACCATTGGCTTAAACGTAGCCTACGCGATTGCTTTTTCCCTCATTACGATTTTTCAATGCACGCCTGTCAAGAATGTATGTTTGACCCCCCCCCTATACTGACTTATTCATTTATCTGTGTTGTTACTAATTTGTTTTTCTTTGGGGGGCTCGCACAGGCATGGGAAAACTGGGATAAAAGTCTTCCGGGTCGATGCAACAATATTAATGCGCAATCTTGGGCTTCTGCCGGTTGGAATATTGTTCTGGATCTGGTGGTGGTGATTCTTCCGATGCCGATGCTTTGGAGGATGAATTTGAATCCGAGAAAGAAGTTTTTGGTGATGCTCATGTTTGGTACGTTTTACTTGCCTCGCAACAACAACAGAGGAGTTATTTGAACTGATTTTTTTACAGGCGTGGGATTCTTCGTCACATTCGTCTCAATCCTCCGCCTCCGACTCCTAGTCAAATTCGGCGAATCAAAAAACATCTCCTGTACGTTCCCCCCCTCCCCTTTTTTCTCCTCCCCAAAACTCACAACACCACCCAGACGACTACAAACAATTCGGCTACTGGACCGTCATAGAAATCGACACCGCCCTCGTCTGCGCCTGCATGCCGGGAATCCGCAATCTGATCCGCCGCGCATTTCCCCGACTCATGGGGCAATCGATGGGAGGAACCAGCGCGCTCGGAACTCCCATCCATGGCCTCTCGGGACGCACTGTTGTCGGCAGTGGAGTGGATAAAAATGGGACGGAAGTTTTTGTGAGACCGAGACATAGTGATGATGGGAATTTTATTCCGTTGGAAAATGTTAGTGAGAGGTGTTTGAATGAGATGGGGCAGCAGCATGAGAGGCGGCATCAGAGGCATGATTCTGATGCTGGAGAGGAGGAGGAAGAAGATGTTGGTCACGGAGAGGCTGTTGTGGATCGTAGTATGAATCATGCGAGGAATTTCTCGAGACCCGTGTCGCCGCCTGAGTCGGCTTGGCAGGAGTGGAATGGAGAGAAAGGGGGACGTGTGGTTCCGCATTCACCGGCTTAACAAGAAAAGAAAAAAGAAAGGGGGAGGGCTATAGGGAGGTGGGAAATGTTTTTTTCTTCTCTCTCTCATTCTCTATGCGGCGGCGGCAATACATTTACACGGAGAGGTAATGCTAGATATATATTATAACGATTTATACAAGGAGATACATTTTAACTGTTTTACGGTTCTGTTTTGAGGGAAAAAGACGGATGATGATGATGAACACCTTCGAAATACAACTGCAACTCCACATCCTTCTTCCACCGTAATGACGAGTGACGATAATAACAATGACAATTCCAATCACCAATCACCATCAAAAAAAGAAAATCCAAAACAATTCCCCCTCTCCAAAAAATCTCCGTCGGTCCATACCCATGAAAACAGTCCTTGCCCAGCCGCTTCCCATCCACTCCACTCCGCACCGCACGAAAAAAAAAAATCCGGTCCCAAAAGCCACCATCTCAACGACGGCGTCGCACTAAAAAAAGGCTTGGTGAACAGGTTCCCATCCGTACTGTATATGTACAAAGTCTACATACACACTGCAGGGGAGTCGTAATAAAATAACACACCTGCTTATTTTCTGGGGTAACTCCGTATATACACACATATAATTCTACCGATATGATTCCCAGAAATTCGCCGAGAAGACTTCTGTTTTACCCCCCTACTGCCCCCTACCCCCTACCACTCCACCAGCCCCCTGGGTCATTCAGATGTTTTATCTCTCTTTCTTTCTTTCTTTCTTTCTCTCTCTCTTAGCTTTACACGCCGTCGAGACACTAGGGATGAGACGGAGTACATGCAGTAGACTAGAAGGATGCAGCGAGCGAGGCCAAAGCAAGGAACAAGAAACAAAAAAGATACTGGGAAGAAATATCCTGTTTTTTTTCTCTGTCTAGTCTGATTGATTAAATCATTGTTGTGCACACGCAATCCGCAATCTGGCTGCTGGCGGGATCTTCGTGCATGGATTTTACTTATAATCATATTAAATTATGTCTGAGATCCGTATTGCACTACTGTATGCACACCATCCACGTTCTTTGTTTCACGTACACGTTGTGTGTGGATACATAGTGTCGAGACTATCGATGCTTCATCATCATCATCATCACCAGTCAGGGGTAAGATTGAGAGAGAGTGAGAGGATCGTTCACAATGGTTCGGATGTGTGGACATACATGTACATACCTAGCAAGCGACTTTTCTTAGCGCTCTACTACTTTACATACCTTACCCTTAGTCTCTGTAACCGAGCGAGCCGAGTGTGCCAGCCATACATCTTTCTCGAGAAAGCGTCTCGTCAGGAGTGAAGACGACGACGACGACGACGGTGGTGGTAGTGGTGGTTCATCAGGACGATGTTGTTCATCAATTCCTTCTTTGCAGTGGTTCTGTCACTCGTAGCAACGTCTACGGATGCAGCTCCTTCAAGCCATGCTTCATTCCATAACCGTCACCAGCAACACAAACGAGCCATCAACGAAACCAGCTACGAATATGTCATTGTCGGATCCGGACCAGGAGGAGGACCTCTGGCAGCACGATTGGCCATTGCTGGCCATAGTGTCCTGCTCATCGAAGCCGGAGGCGACTATGGAGACAATTACAACATGTCCGTTCCAACCTGGAGTCTGAAAGCTGCAGAGGACGACCTGATCAAGTGGGATTACTTTGTCACGCATTATGCAGATGTGGAGCGACAGAAACGGGATTCCAAAATGGTTTATCGAAGAAGTGATGGAGGATTGTATACTGGACGAGAACCCCCCGTGGACGCTGAGCCCCTGGGAATCTTGTATCCGAGAACGGGGACGCTGGGAGGATGTGCGGAGCATAATGCCATGATTACGACTTATCCGTATCGAAGTGATTGGACTACCATTCAGGAACTCACTGGTGATGACTCCTGGGCCCCTGATCAGATGCGATTGCATTTTCAGAGGTTGGAGAAGGCTCAGTATCCTGTGGGCTCTGGACATGGCGAGGATGGTTGGCTTTGTACCAGCTTGACTAACCTGGGCTTGGTCTTGCAAGACTTTAAGATTCTCTCCATTGTCATCTCAGCTACTTCGGCCATGGGAGGAGTATGTATACTCCTTTTTTTTGGTTTTTTCCATGATACCACCTCCTCCCCGATATGACTCGAGAGTCTGCTGACATGTTCTCCCCAAAAGGGCCTTTTGAGCACTCTACTCAACACCGTCACCAGTCTGGGTAATGCCCTTCTCTCAGATTTGAACAACGACGACCGAGACCGAGACCAAAAGACCGACGTCTACCAAATCCCACTCGCCATTGACGCCGAAACATCCAAACGAAGTAGTCCACGCGGCTTCATTCTCGAAACCGCCAACGCCGTGAATGCAGATGGCACTCGCAAATACCACCTCGACATCGCCCTCCACACCCTCGCCACCAAAATCCGCTTTGACCAATCCGGCAGCACGCCCCGAGCCATCGGAGTCGAATACCTCTCGGGCGAACGCCTCTACGCCGCAGACCCTTACCCTTCAAGCGAAAACGGCTCATCCGGCTACATCGCCGCGAGCAAAGAAGTCATCATTTCCGCCGGAACCTTCAACACTCCTCAACTACTCAAACTGAGCGGAATAGGCCCTTCCGCCGAACTCCAACGCTTCGGAATCCCCATTATCAAAGATCTTCCTGGCGTAGGAAGCAACATGCAAGACCGCTACGAAGTCGCCACCGTCTACGAAACCGAAGACAAAGACCGCTTCCAAGTCTCCAGCAGATGTACTTTTCAATACAACGGCCAACCAGACCCTTGTCTGGACGAATGGCTCGCAGGATCCGACGTCGCTTCTCGAGGCCCCTATACCACGAGCGGGGCAGCCGTCGGCGTAGTCCTCAAATCTTCTGCAGCGGCCTCGAGTGAAGATCCTGATTTGTTTATTATTGGAACACCGGGAGTGTTTAATGGATTTTATCCTGGATTCGCGTACGATAGTGTGATATCAGCGAATAAATGGTCTTGGTTAGCGTTAAAAGCGCATTCGCATAATTCTGCGGGGAAGGTTACGCTGAAATCGGCGAATCCGAGAGATGTGCCACTGATTGATTTTGCGTATTTGGATGAAGGAAGTGTTGGGTATGAGAAGGATTTGCAAGCGTTGTATGAAGGATTGTTATGGGGAAGAGAGGCGTTTGAGAAAGTGAATCCTCTTGCTGGCGGGTTTGTGGAAGTTTTTCCTGGCGAGAAATTGCAGAGTGAGGAGGAATTGAAGCAGTATGCCATGGATGAGGCTTGGGGACATCATGCGTGTTGCACGGCGGCGATTGGTGCCGAGGGAGATCCCATGGCTGTGTTGGATGGGAATTTCAAGGTGAGAGGCGTGCAAGGGTTGAGGGTGGTGGATGCTTCGATTTTCCCTAAAATTCCGGGGACGTTTATTGCGTTGCCGACGTATATGGTTAGTGAGAAGGCTGTGGAGGCGATTCTTAGCGGACGGTAGAAGAGAAAAGGGGGAGACGTAGGAGGTAGATCAAGAAAGTCTTGTTGGCTGAAATCAGACAGTGCTAAAGTGCGGAGTACATGTAGTCTGCTGTTTCATATATATATATTCTGTGTAACCGAGTTAGAAAATTCGTCACTATTAAAGAACGACGTTCTTCTTGTCCTTAGTGATCGACTCTCGCTTGTAATTATAGTAATAACAAGGCGCAGTTCTGCTACTATATTATTCTAATAACCTTGGAAAAGGCGATTCTTCATAAACGACAATACCTGTAATGATCAACAAAGTGACGTTACTACTATACAGAATTGAGTTTGAAAAAAAATGAAGTCTTGGCGCATTTTCCATCCTCTCCTCTCCTTTCCTCTCTACTCCTTTTCATCAACACCAACCATCATCACATCCCCTAAATCTCCCTTTTCATGCACATATATCGCATCAACCGTGGGAAGTCGTCCTGACTGCCGAAGACTCTCACTCCACGATTGAACATGTTCATCAGCGTCAGTGATAGATCTAGGGCCACCAAGTCCATCATCAGACTTTTTCCTCTGCTGCTGGGAATCATGCCTCACTCGACTTGGTGGTCAGAGTCATTCGAGATAGATGAGCAAGCTGCCTTATGGTTTTCAGATCTGGTCTTGAAGCTTTCACTTTCAGGTTTCTAGAGGCTATTCCTTTTGTTGAGAAAAAAAAAGAAAAAAAGAAAAAAAGAAAAAAAGAAAAAAAGAGAAGAAAATCAATGGTTGAGTATGATGCAATGGCCATCGTTATACAGCACAGCACAGATGAGCAGTCAGATGGGTATATTCACCAGCATTGAACGACAGTGACAACTGAGGATTCCAGAAATCCCTTGCATGCTCACCCGTGGAGAGCATTTGAAGATACATCTCGTAGCCCGAGTGGCTTTTCCACTCACTCACTCACACTATGGTGTGTGGCCGTTTACTTGTCATGGACTTGACAATATTACTACAATACAAAACACCAGACTGAACAGTATCCATCACCTCATGGCAAACGCATTCCGCGGCAAAGGCTTCGACGCGCTCAACCATTGGTATGTTCATTTTGTTGTTCATTCCAGTCATCCTTGGCTCTTTTTTCCCAGAACTCCTCTCGCCCTCGCCATGTGTTTTGCTCCCCACAGCACCGGCTTCCTAACCACAGTCCCTCTTTTTCCGCGTCACATAAATCAGAGACAAAACACGAAATCTCTTTCACACAGGAGAAATACGACAAACAAAACAAAAAGAAAAACGTCCATCTGCGAGCAACGAAACCTCCAATACCATGCGCCTGAATGGCGTCGCCACGTGGCTCTTTGCCATGTTGGTCTTCCCAGCTATGCTAGTCCTGGGTCAGGTCATCACAATCACGGAATATCCCAGTTCGTGTAAAGCGACGTACACGACTGCCATCACCTACACGGCCAACTCGAGTGGCTCGCGTACATCGACCGTGGTGCAGTCGACCATCACCGTCAAGCCCACGCCAATGACCGACGACGCGATCAACGGAGGCACAGGATTCGTGATTGAGATTCAGCGGGCGGGAGAAATCTACAAAGTAGCCAAAAGACAAGCCGCTGCCACCACCACGAGATCGTTTGTCGGAATTGATGGTTACATGACTTTTGATATTAGTCAAGCTGTCGTGTATGAGATTACCAATGGAGAAATCTCTGTCCTCAGGGGCGGTCAGGGACAAGTCACTGCCGATACTACCGATCTCAATGTGGTATTTGCTGCGTCGACGACTCTCAAGTCCATTCGCACCAAATTCTATTCTGGAAATCTCCGCTTGAATTGGAACAATACAGCTTTCGCGGGCGGTGCAGCTGGCTTCTTCCTCGACGACGAGGGAGACAGGTCGAGGCTCATGGTGCATCTAAATGGCGTAGTTGATGAGTCTTGGATTCCGGTCAACTTTGCCATTGGGCCAGCACCAGAAATCTCCGCCTCGTCGACGATTGCAACTCCCACTGCCACTTCGTCTGCCAGTCCTAGCGCCTCCGCGACTAGCAATGTTGATCCGGGCGGAGTCTGCGGCGGAACAGCCCTGACGGATTGCTATGGAGCCGACGACGGTAGCTGTTGCAGTCAATATGGGTACTGTGGCTCGGGTCCGGCATACTGTGGTATAGGATGCCAGCCGGGCTTTGGCACATGCGATACGGTAGACACCAGTGTTGTTCTCTCCTCCTCCTCCTCCTACGTGCAAGTGCCTACTACGATTGGCTCTTCTCTGACCTTCACATCGGTTCTGGTCACGGCTACGTACCCTCCGGTATACGCATCTTCAAGCGGGATCTCGCCCCCTATATACGGCGGCTCTTCTTCCAGCGCTGTCGTGCCGCCTATCTCGAGTGCAAGCCTCCCTCCATCTGGATCTTCTTCGCCCGCAGCCTCATCTACCGTCGTGCTCTCAGTCCCGCCAATCTTCTTCTCGAGTGCGATCGTGTCCTCGGCATCCAGCTCTCCAAGTGCAGTCCTCCCTCCATCTTATGGATCTTCTCCACCCGCAGCCTCATCCACCGTTGTACTCTCCGTTCCGCCAATCGTCTTCTCGAGCAGCAGCGCTGGCTCGAGCTCCATTACCGCGCCACCACCAGCATTGATTTCTACATCAACGAGCTTGATTCTCTTCCCCTTTGGCAGCATCAATTATACCAGCACTAGCATTATTGCAATCACTGTCTCACCCGTCGTCAGCACTTCATCTCTCTCTACACAGTCAACACCAATCCTATCCAGCTCGGCTACGCGAACTACTTCGTCCAGTCTGGTTCAGACAGGATCTACTGTGGCGCCCCTTTCCTCGACGGTATCGACCGTAACAGCATCAAGCGTTTCGTCTGCACGTCCCGTCGTATCGTCGAGTGGTGTTTTGGCACCATCCTATCCTTCAAGTGCATCTTTCAGCTTACTCTCGTCTTCTTCTTCTTCGAGAAGCAGTGTTGCGTCGAGCCTTTCTTCTGTGCTCTCGAGTGCATCTTCCAATGCGGCATCTGCAATCAGCAGCGCTCGACCGAGTACATCTTCGAGCAGCAGCTCTAGATTGTTCACATCGTCGATCAGCAGCGTTCGATCTACCACCACCTCCTCCAGCACTGCAGTAATCTCTGCTCCTCCCAGCTATTTACCGCCAGCAATCACAACAACTACCACGACGACTACAAGCAGCAGGCAATCATCCTCCTCCTCTTCCTCCTCTTCCAGCACTACGGCAAACTCGGCCCCTCCCAGCGCAAGGACAACAACGACTACAACAACGACCACCAGCAGCAGGCAAACCTCCTCCTCCTCCTCTCGTTCCTCGTCCTCCTCCTCCAGCACTGCAATCTCCGCCCCTCCAAGCTATCCATCGCCAGCAAGAACAACAACAACAACAACAACCACAACAACTACCAGCAGCAGCAGCAGACAATCCTCCTCCTCCTCCCGTTCCTCCTCCCGTTCCTCCTCCCGCACCTCCTCCATCTCCATCTCCCTCGCAACAACCTGTCCCACAAACGTCCTCCCCAACCCCCAATTCACCGCAACATCCCCCTCTCGCCCCTCTCCGTGGCTAATTCTCCCCACCCCCACCCCCTGCGACTTCGGCGACCCCGAAGGCTGGCCCATCGACGATTCCTACTGCGCCATAACCCTCCCCTCCACCTCCCCTCCTTTGAGTTATTACAACCGAGAATTCACAACCTCCTACGCCTCCACAAACGGCATCCTCTCCTTTCTCGAAGGTTCAGTGCAATTCGAAAATTCCCGCCTTCCATCCCCGAATCTTCCGACGTTTGCTCTCGCGCCGTTTTGGGATGATACGGCTATTTTTGGAAATGTGTCGGATCGGGAAGGGATTTATTATGCGAATGATGAGAGGGGGGTTTTGTGGGAGTTTTATTTGAGTCGGCCGTTTGCTGCGGGTGATGGAGGAGGGGATCAGGGGGAGGTGAGATTTCATTATGTGGTGAATTATGAGTTTGAACGGCCGGGGGTTTTTGTTGTTGAGTGGTTGGATGTTGATGATGGACATGCGGATTTGGGGGGGAGGGCGAGTGTGGGGATGCAGGGGGGTGAGTTTTTCCTCTTTTCTTGACTTTCTATTGTTTTTTTTTTTTTTTCAGATGGAAATTCTGGACATCTAACTAACATATGTCAATTTACAGCCGACTCCAATGATGCCGTTCTAGGTTTCCAATTCTCGTACATGACCAAATCGATTTATACGGGTTTGGTCATGACGTGTGATTCGAATGCGAATATCTGTACCACGTGTACGAAGCAGGGTACTGCTGGGCAAGCGCCGACCTATTAGTGAATGATGGAGAGAAAAGAGAGAAGGAGAGCGAGGAGAAAGAGAAATGTTGCAAATTCGTGTACTTGGAGCCTTGGGAGTTTTTATAATAGATAACATGGCAGAATTTTCAAGGTCTTGGTAAACACAGATGATGCATTGACTACTGATCAAGAATCCATCGTTTCACACAACCTCTTCGAGTCGTTTTGTTCTCCATTTCTTCCCAATTCGTCCTCTGTTCATGGTGTTCTCTCCTCCCGCATAGAACTACACTCGCTTCGTTCTTAAAACCCAAATTTGGCCTTGATGATCCCCCCAGCAGCATTCCTCTTCTGCCGATTCACAAACTTATTCACGTCATTCAACCAATTCCCGCTATTCTGTTCCAATTGCTCCATATTGTCCCCAACAAGTCCCAGCTTCTCCGTCCTCTCTGCAAGTTGTCGCTGCATGTAAGCCCAATACCCCTCGTCCTCCTGTCCCGCATTCGCTGCAGATCTCGAAGAAGAAGAAGAAGCCGACATTCCTGCTTTTCGTCTCTGTTCTTCATCCGCCCGAGCTTGCGCAATCATTCTTTTACTGGGAGGGCGGTCCTGTCCGCCAATGAGGATATCCATGTCGGACGGAGTGAGGTACTGTGTGCCTGTGAGCCATTGTACAGTGGATATGGTTGGCCGAGGCGGGATGAGGCGGTCGGGATTGAAGAGTTTGTCATGTCTTCGAGGAAGAGTCTCACCAGTCCCGAAGACGCTGAGGAGGGCGAGCTCGGAGGGGCCGGTGAAAGCGAAGATGTTGCCAGCGGGTGTGATAGCCGCGCCGCTGAGGCGTTTGATATCAACGCCGGAGCCAGTGTTGTTGAGATTGGTCAGATCGATAGACGCAATTTCACGGAGCGAGGGTAGAGAGTATGCGCGTGCCCTGCCGTCGCCAAAGAGGCCGAGGATGGCGTGGCCGAGATCTTGATAGCGAATCATGCCTGCTGCGTCGCAGAAGTAGCTGTCAAAGGACTTGTGCGCGCCTTTGGACGTGGCAGGCTTGAAGATGTGGACGTTTGTGGCCGTGACTGCGACCAGGGCGCCGTTGACTTTGAGACCATTGCGGAGATTACCCATCACGGTCTGAGTGGCGGATGCTGGCTTGCCTGTGTCAGCACTGATGGGGGCAATGTACATGACTCTCGTGTCACTCAGCGACACGTGCCCTGCGTATTGTGTGGTATAGCGTCCACTGGGATCGGGAACGATTTTGAATGTAGCAAGATTGCCCATGTTCGTGCCAACATGCAGAGCTATGGAGCTGTAATCGTCACCATCCAGGGTCATGATGCTGAAAGCCAATGTCGTAGCCCACTCTGGTTTGGAACTCGCGCTACTAGATCGTCGACGCAGGCTGCCAATTTTGTGACTGACCATGAACTCATGTACCGAGGCTTTGAGTATGATGGCAGGACCGCGCAAGTCGATGAGGATGACACTGCCGCCCTCAAAGGCAGCGGCCGTAAAGCCGACTTCACTTTGACAGACTGCCGTTACTGGGCCATCCTTCTGGTCGATCATGATGTAGGGTCCGAGGCCTTCGGTCAAAGAAGGCTCCATCCGATCTGTAATGTTCACTATGCTTCCAGGCTGGGCCGGCCGCGGTACTGGTGGTTCTCTGCCAGAATTTCTGTTATTGGCCCAGCGGAAGACGATGAGCTCACCACTTCGCAGACCAGCTGCAAGTTCGCCGCTCGCTTGAGCAAATGAGGTGGACATGACTTGGATGCTGTCCCATCTTCCCAGGGCTCGAGCCACATCGACCTGCAGCAACTTCTCATTCTCAATTTCATCGCCATATCCAGGATCCCACATCCTGATGGTACCATCTGCATGCACGGCGTGTAAGATGTTGCGGTCTTCATACCTCCGTAGTTGGCGGGGTTCCTCGGCGCCACCTGTCAGAATAGGTGGACCTTGTTGTCTGCGCTCTGTCAAGCCGAGCCATTTCTCTCGACTCACTTGTGTGGTCTTGATGGAGTGGATGTATGGGTGCACAAAAGTCAAGGATACATGGAGCTGATTAGTCGGACTTATCGGCATGCCAGACGGGAAGGATAATGTCAAGAGCTCTCCCGACGATAACAGCGCAATGATTGCGATGGGATCATGCGCGCCAGCAAAGTGCGGCGATGTTCGTGGGATCAGGCAGTAGTCCACAACCTCAGCTCCTGGCGGCGTCGGGAGGATGCGCTGCCTCTTAGGTGCGTCGAAGTACGTGTGGAAAGTGTCCCATGTGCTAGTGGCATATACGGGTGTGCGACCCATCTCAAACAAGGTCAACCCTTTCGAGGGTGCTTGCGTTGATTGGCCGCCAGCGACCAATATCATGGTGTCTTCGGGATCGTGCCCATTGGCACACCAAGACATGTTGAAGATGGGCTCCTTCACTGCAAATGTGCCTCTATCGCCAATACCTTGAGCTGCACTCGCCCCAGGAGCGGCAACGTTCGTGTCGGTCAACGTTCTGGCCATAAGCATGCGGCCGTCTTTCAGCGTGTCCCAGAAGACCAGGGAGCTGTCTTCGTGAGCAGTCATGATGAAAGTCCCAGTAGGATGCCAGGCAGCATGTGTCAGGTGTGGTCTCCTGACGATGTTGGCGGCAGAAGGATCGCCATCGCCGCCAGGTGCGCCTCGCGGGACTTCATACTGGAAATGCCTCAGTGCTTTGTTGAGCTTAAAGCTGTAGATGACTGCGCCTTGCTTGTAGCCAATCAGGAGAGTGCCAATGTCACGGGGATGAAGCTGTAGGGAGACGACAGATGCTATTCGAGCTTTGGGGTCCACCTCCTGCCATAGATTGGGTATTCGGAAGGGTGCTGGACCTTCTCGATCCATGTCGTACGCCACAACCTCTCCCGACTGCATGCCGAGAAAGGCATAATCCAACATGGGATCCGTGCAGAGCACATTCGCAGCCCCGATGGGAGAATGTGAGCTGATCAACCTCTTCAGCTCGACAGAGTAGACGGATACATCGTGTTTCGAGTCGAGACAGACGAGCTTCTCCGCACAGAACTGCAAGCTTTGGATGCTCGCACCTCGTGCCGGCACAGGCAATACGGATGCAATCCGACCTTGTCCATAGATGTAGATTTGGCCAGGTCCGAATTGAGTGCTCTTTGTTCCGACTGCGAGTAAAGACTGTACGGGGTCATAAGCCAAGGCGGAGACTTGTGAATTCACGCCATATCGAGCGAGATCGTCAACGGCGAACAGATCTGCGTGCAGACCAGCGCTCAGGTCGTTTTGAATGCCTGCCTGCTTGCCTCGGATGAACTGTGCCATGGCGGCAGCGGTGGCTTCACTCGGCTCGGCTGGTCATCGAGGGTTGCGAGTGAAGTGAGGTCCAGTTGATCTTACGAACAGCGAGCGGTTAGTTCAATGTGGGCAATAGTCCGATGTGTAGACAGCAGTCACAGTCACATGCCCGCAGGAGTGAAGTGAGGTGGTCGTCGTCAGTGTTTCTTGGCGTTCTGTTGAATGTCAGTGGAGATGAGTGACATATAGAGGATGTTCCAGGTTTCCAGGCTACGGACAGCGGTAGTGGAGAGTGGGACAATAACAGAGGAACAATGCCACCACTTGTGGCCAAGTGAGTGATTCTATCACGTGATCTCCAGCTGCCCGCCGCCTGCCCGCCACTTCCGCCTGCAGACGCGACTTCTTGTTCGCGTCTTGTCGCGTCTGCTTGCTTTCTCCCTTCACTTCTCTCCTCTCTCTCTCTCATCTCTTCTTGAACAGCAAACATCCACCCGCACTCAGTCCATCAACCCACACTGCCACTTCGCCCTCCCTTCACATCCGTCCATCCATCAGCTATATCCAACACTGCATACCAATACGATAACGATACCTCGCCGCCTACCATGGCCACGGTCTCGATCCTCAACGTGAGCGTGCGCAACAACCCCGCGCCCTTCAATGCTCCATACGAGTTCGAAATCACCTTTGAGTGTCTCGAGCCGCTTCAAAAGGACCTCGAGTGGAAGCTCACTTACGTCGGCTCTGCTACAAGGTGGGTGACCGCCCAGTTCTCTCTCTCACACACATACAGATTCACCACTGACAGACGTCGCACAGCTCCGAACACGACCAAGAGCTCGACAGCCTTCTCGTCGGCCCCATTCCCGTTGGAGTCAACAAGTTCGTCTTCGAAGCCGATGCACCCAAGACCGACCGCATCCCAGGCACCGACATCCTCGGCGTGACTGTCATCCTGCTGAGCTGCTCCTATGACGAACGCGAGTTTGTGCGCGTGGGCTACTATGTGAACAATGAGTACACCGACGCCTCGATGAACGAGGAGCCACCCGCCAAGCCAGAGATTGAGAAGATTCGGCGCAATATCCTCGCCGACAAGCCTCGTGTCACGCGCTTCCAGATCAAGTGGGACTCGGAAGAGAGCGCTCCGAGCGAGTTCCCCCCAGAACAGCCGGATGTCGATAACCAAGAAGATGACGAGGCTGCATATGGCGCCGAGGAGGAACAAGAGGAGGAAGAGGAAGGCTCGGCTGCTGCTGGTGCTCTCGCTGAAGGTGGTGAGGCTCTCGCGACTGCCAAGGTACCTGGGGAGGATGCAGATATGGAAGGCGTGGAAAACAGCAAAGACGACGACGAGGAGTCGAATGCTGGTAGCGAAGTCGACTTGGAAGCGGAGAGTGAAGATGATGAGGATGACGAGGAGGAGGCTGAGGAGGAAGCAGACGCAGAAGATATGGAAATGGACGACGCTCCTCAAGATGCTCAGAGCGGCAACAAGACTGCAGGCGTACAACAGTCGCACCACCAAGCAGAGATGATGGTGCACTAGGACGGCTTCCGGCCCATGTCTGCTATAGCCTAGGTGCTGTCTCCCCCACTGGACCCGCTGCGCAAATTACTCGGACGACTTTATATGTAACATTCTGACTCTTTTGGATGATCGATTGGAGCGACTTTGCGTTGCATGACGATGATGGATAGAAATGAAAGATTCATGAACACATAATACCCATTCGATCTTCTCCCTTTTGTGTCGTGCAAATCAGGTATGAAGGAGAAAAGCGCTCTAGTACCTGTACTTGTACCTCCTATGTCCGAGTTCTGATCTTCTCCTTTCCCCATTGATCTGTGATCAGTATAGGAAGGTTCCACGTTACAGGTACATGTACCTCAGACTCTGACAGAAACTACCTTAGGTATGTCAGGGCCAATTGTGCTCTCTCTCTCTCCCTCTCTCGGACGAAGAGGAGGATACGTTTCTAAAGATAGGAGTACATGTACATGTAATTGAAAAGAATCGAATGTTTGGGCATGTAAGGTAGGTCCTCTTTTCATTCTTGACTGCCGTGGTTACCTGTACCTAAGCTGGCGATCTTATCTTTGTTCTGCTCTGTTTATCTTACCTACATGTAGGTCGTCATGTTCACTAAGCCACTTAAAGTACCGATATTGGCACTTTCCTGACTCCATGTGATTTTCATGCCATCGTTGAGTTGCGTTGGTTTCATGGTCTCTTCTCATTATTGGTGTCTTGCTTTTTTGCTCTTCTTCCGTCGATGGACCAGCAACGTAGAGACGAGACACAACCCAGATGCGCTAGCGATCTAGATTTCCACTGGCTATGCTGCCGGCTTTTGGGGTGGTTCTAGTTCTTGCTAGCAAGGATGCGTTGGGTTGCTGGCTGCGCTGGGGGGCGTGGGCGTTTACCACCAAAACCTGTCGTGTTCGTGGAGGTAGGCTGTCTCCTGTTGATGGGTTCATGGAGTGCCGACCAGGTCCATCATACTCGCGTCGAGTATACCTCTGGGCCGCGTGCGGCTTCTTCACCAATAGGTAATGATCTCGTCTGGATGATGCGGTGAGATTTCTTCCAGAGAGTAGCCAGACCTAGCATTTCAAGATGGGCTTCACTTCCTGAAATGCACCTTCTCTGTTCACATCACATCACTTCACTTCCCCTCCGCGTCCTTTTTGTCCGTATCTCTCCTCTCCAACACCTCATCCACAATGCCCCACTCCTTAGCCTCCTCGGCACTCATAAAGAAATCTCTCTCCATGACCCCCGCAATCTCCTCCAACGTCTTCTCTTTCGTCAAATGCGTCTGATAAATCCGATTCAACTGCTCCCGCACCCTCAAAATCTCCTTGGCATGAATCGCAATATCGGATGCCTGTCCTGAATACCCTCCACTGACCTGATGGACCATAATCCTCGCATGCGGTAAACAATATCTCCGTCCTTTGGCACCACCACAGAGTAGCAAACTGCCCATACTCGCTGCTTGACCGAGACAGATGGTGGTGACGGGCGAGCGGATATATTGCATCGTGTCGTAGATTGCTAGGCCCGCAGTGACGCTTCCTCCCGGGGAGTTGATGTAGAGAGCGATGGGTTTGGAAGGGTTATCGGCTTCGAGGAAGAGGAGTTGGGCTACAATGGACGCGGAGATGGTTTCTTCTACTTCGCCATTGAGGCAGATGATGCGTTCTTTGAGGAGTCGGGAGAAGATGTCCGAGGTGTGCCAGGAACCGTTGGTTTGGTCGGTGACGAAGGGCATGGGCATGGCTAACTTGGTATTGAGGGAGTGTTGTTGTTGTTGGGAAGATGATGAGCTGAGCGTGGGAGGAAAGGGAGGGATGGTGAAGGAACGGCGAGGTTGTTGTTGGAGGAGGACATTGCGATGGCGAAGAATATGTGCTCGTGTGGCGCGGAGGGTGCAGCGGGTGATGTGTTCCATTGTTGATGTGTAGAGTAGAAGTGGAAGCCGAACTAGGTACCTAGGTAGTGTGGAGTGTTGATCGAGATGGAGGTTGGAGCTGCGGAGATAGAGCGGGAAAGACACTCATATCACAGCTTACTTCCATCTTCGCGTTCTTGTTTCCTACAGATACTCAATCCCATGCAACATGTGATGTTCCAGCGGAGACTACCAACTCGACATGCAGCGAGTGCGGTAAGCAAGATCTTGAGCCGGCTAAGTGGCCATCGCAATGTCTCCAGGGCCGTCCCCGAAGGCTCTGTGGGAACCTCCAGGATATCTCCCTCCGAACCCACCACACTCTCCGAAGACGGCATACGAACTCTACGCATCCGTAAACATGGCCACAAACCTCTGCCTATCCCCGAGATCATGGATCCAATCTATCTCCATGCTCGGAACAAGCACAAGCAGCCAAGGCAGGTGATCATCGGATACCGCAGACTTGACGTCGGGCAAGGCAGACATCAAGATAGAGGTAGGGCGTCTTCACAGTCCTTTCGCAATTAAATCTCGTTCTCAACCTCACAACCGCTTTTTAGAAGAAGAAGAGGAGGCAGAAGATGGACCACGCCGAGACGCATCCGACGTTCGTGATCTCAAGCCTATCCAGGATTCTAAAACGATGACTCCGTTCCAGATTAAGCTGCACACCAATCCCTACGCCCGCGCCTTAGCGACAAGCATCCGACAGTGTGTTCTGACTAGAGCTCGACTGCCATCTCACTTCCTTCTTCAGTTTGGCCTGTTCATGCCCCAAGTGGAGGAATCGCCATCATCGCAGCAGAGTGATGATGTCAAGCCGTACTGGAAACTCCTTGCTTATCCCCAACGATCGCCAATGAAACTGCCACTAGGGAGGGTTCGTGCTACGAGGTCGACTGTGGAGGCGCTCGCTTCCAAGCAGAGAAATGGCGGAAGATGGGGAGTTTTGGCATCTCAGAAGGCGAGGGACCGTTGGGCTGTGATGACACCGAGGGCGGGAAGTGGTGGTATTCTTCCGGGCAAGGAGTTTGACTGGGATCCTAATATGAGCGAGGTGGTTCTGCAGAGGTTGAGGGAGGAGGTGGTGACTAAGATGAGGTACGGTCTAGAATGTGGGCTTGTGAAGAAGAGGAGAGATGGAGAAGAGAATGAAGAGGTATTGGCAGTTTTGAAGCTGAAAGGGGGAGTAGAGGAGGTGCACGATCTAGGGGAATCTTCCAGTATGGCTGGTGAGATGGGCACTAGCAACGGTCCGATCGCGGGCTGGATCAAGTACAACTTGACGAAGTTGTTCGAAGCTGACGAGCTGAAAGAATTCATGGATGATGATTTGGACATCGAGATGGATGAGCTCGTGGTTTTTAAGGATCGAACCAACATGAGCTTGCTGCTTGCGTTGGAGCAGCTGCAGAACTACGTTGGCAATTGAAAGCCGACCTGCGGAACCGAAGAGACAGAGAGAACAAGGTCAACGCCAAGATTCATGGTATAGCCCCACTTTCGGTCTCCATGACAACGCCCCAAACAGATCGGCGCTTGTCCCCCTCCACATGTTCTCACGCCACACTCCAGCTTCACTCTCCAAACGGCGTTACAGAAGTGCACACACTCGCGTCGCTTGCTCTATCTCTCGTGAGCTTTGCGAACCTCTGACAGGATTGATTCATTGATATTTCGCACCATGTCTCGAATACTGCAAACACCATGTCCTGCACCCACATCGGCTTTAGACCCATCGCATCGACGTATATCCTCATTTGAACTATTTGGAGACGACACAACGACAAATATTGACTACACCCGCGCTATTGATCAGCCTCTCACTGGAATCAAGCCGCGCAGACGGAGCATGTTGATGGGGCCGGCCAGGAAGAAGACTACGGCGGCACCTGTTACTATCTTTGAGGATGTATCAGAGGAACAAGAGATGTATGTTGAAGGAGGCCAAGATCTCAGGGTATCTGAAAGGGCCGAGCGTCTGGGTAATGGCAGTACGCTGCTGGGCAAGCCTCCAGCGAAGCGGATGCCAGCCGTGGTGGGCAGTGGTATTGGAAGAAGTACAGGGATGGGTGGCTATGGTATGGGTTACAGCAGATCTGAGAGGACTGGAACTGGGTCTGGGAATCGCGGTACTATTGGTGAAGTGAGAAACATAACCGATTTACATTCTGGGGGACCACTTGGAGCACCATACCGGGCTGTGACAAGCAATGCGACCAATTTGCACATGACAAACCGCCATTCCGTTGCTCTCGAAGCCGCACCTTCAACCAAAGTTGGGACAAACAATATGGCAGGCATAGGCTCAACTGTTCGTAAACTGCCTCGACGACAGACTATATTTATACCTGAAGACACTACGATGATGAGCATACATCCGGGACCGAGAGACAACACTAGTCGCATAGACGACTCCTTCCACAATTCCAACCTCGCTGTTAGTCAACCTCAAAATCTCCGGGACCAATGCAACAATGGCGCGCCACATCAGGCACGCAGTACTCTTGGAGCTCCCGCTATGAAGAATATTCAGCGACGACAGTCCATATTCGTGCCGATGCCCGAGCAATCGACTGCGCATAGAGTCCAACCAGAAACAACACATCACAGCAACCGTATCGACGATTCTTTCCAGCTGCCGAGTCTCCCTAGCCCGCAGCCTAAACAGACCCAGAACGACACAGTATTCGCACAGAAGCCATTGCGCAAACCACGGCAGTCTCTACTAGCTCCCCCCAAGCGGCTTCCACTCCGCGAAAGTACATCATCAGAGAACATGCCAGGATGGGACGTTGCTGGAGCCAACACTGGAAAGGAGAATATACCACCAGATGGTCATGTTCTTGTCGAGAAGGGTCTCAAATGTTTGGAGATCAGCGATCAAGCACAACCTCGCAGACGATCCATTCAGCCTCGAGTGCGTTCCAGCCTCTATGGCCCCACTCAGGCCTCGCAGCATCGTCAGAGTGTTGTTCCTCGCCCGCAAGTCTCCGCCTCGAGTACGGTGTCAAATCGGGTGCGGCCTACAGTATCTTTCCAGGAGCCTCTTCAGCAGTCGGGAAACTCAAAGCCTGCTCCTGTCAGTCGGGATGACGAGGTGAAGAGAGTTCGGGAATTCATCGCCAATAAGCGTGTTGAGCAACAGACTGCCAGGCTTCGCCAATATCCTGTTCTTGAGGGAGCATTGTCCGAACCTGCGCTTTACGAGGGGAAATGGCCCAGCTATCGCGAGGATGCGTTGAGTGAAGTGATTAACAGGATCTTTGAAGCTACCTCTTCGGTATCAGCCATGCACGCCTCCACAGCTGAGTTTTCGCTCATGGACCAACTGATCAGCCTGTACAATCGACCCCAAACCACAGTTTTGCATGATCGCATACGAGCCTCGCTTGAGTATGGCGCTCTCGCTTGTCCGCAATCAAGTGTCAGTGAACATCAGCCAAGTAAGGACCGTGGACTCCAGCAGCAACTCCTGGACTTGTGGTTTGAGAGCTACGATTCGAAGCTTTTGATGGCTGCTGCACAGGTCGTCACCGGCCGTCAAATCGCGAGCACGTCGGTCGACCTCCAGTCAGAGGGTCACTTGGGCCGTCAATTCTTCAAGGACTTCTTCATCAATGCTATCGATGTTGATTCCCTCCCGAGTTCCACGGACGTTGAGATTGACCTCCAACGTTGGCGGAAGACCATGCTTCGCAGTGTCATGCTCGTCTGGCTCCTCGATCAAGCCGCCGAAGCACGTCTCACCAACGGAGGTTGTCTGCTCAAATCATCTTCACTCCGAAAATCCAGCGCTGCGATTCTGCAAACACTCGGCGTCTTGATGTTACCTGCTTGCGGAGATATCATGCGAGCCCTGAAACATTTGACGTACGAAGTCTCCTACCATCAAAATCCTCTGGACGAGATTGTCTACCACGTCGAGAATATTGCCGTCGATTTTCGAGATGGTGTCTTTCTCACACGTCTGGTTGAAGTTCTCCTTTACAACAACAACAACAACAACAAGAACAACAACAAGCCAACCAATCCCACACGTCCAGACCCAAACATCCTCGACGACCTAACCCTAGCCTGCTCTACACCTCTCCCCGAGGACGACGACAACAACAACAACAAGAGTACTCTCACTCTCCACCAACAACCCCAAAGACCTCTAACCCAACATCTCAAACTCCCCGCCAACACACCCGTCCACCGCACCTTTAACATCCAACTCGCCCTCGACGCCTTCTTCTCGCACCTCGCCATCCATATCCCTCTTCCTCGAAAAGATGAAGAAGAAGACAACAAAATCGTCAACAACATCCCCGCAGCAATAGCAACAGCAACAGTAGAAGATATCCTTCATGGCCATCGGGAGAAAACTTTGGATTTTCTTGAAAATCTTGTTAGGGGCTTTGGGGGGTTGGATGGTTTGTCGAGTTGATGGTTTGATGGTTTGATGGTTGATATGTGGAGATGGCTGGGTGGTGGTGAGGGTTGGTGGATGAATAGAATGAATGAATAGATGAATGGATGTACCCACATGAAGAGATTTTTTTCAATTTTATATACCAACCAACTTATTCGAACTGATTCGTAAATTTGGAGATTGAAGTTTGTTTTTTGTTAATTATACAAGAGTGGTATGGTATATATGTATGTATGTATCTGTATTTCCACCAGTAAGGTACCTACCATACCTATTTATACATGGACTTTCACGCCCTCCACCACAATTTGAGTTGTTATTCTTCTCTCTCACACACCCGCCTCTTCGGGCTTCACATCCAAATTCCAATCAATGACACCTTCCTCACCATAGCGCTCCTGCAACCACACATTCGCAGCTTTGAAATGTCCACAATCCAAAAACCCTTTATGCGCCGACAGGGGACTTGGATGCACACTTTTGAGCACCAGATGCTTCGTGGCGTTGATTTTTTTACATCGCTCTTGAGCGGGTTTGCCCCAGGCGAGGAAAACCACGCCTCGTGTTCTCCGCTTCGCGACTTCGTCAATCACTTTTTGCGTAAACGACTCCCAGCCCTTTTTCGCGTGGCTGTTGGCTTCGTGGGCGCGGACGGTCAGACAGGTGTTGAGCATGAGGACTCCACGGTCTGCCCACGGCGTGAGCAAACCGCCGTTTTTCGGGGGAGGGACGAAAGATGGATAGTCCTTTTTGAGTGCAATGTACATGTTCTTCAGACTCGGAGGGGCCGGAGTCGGTGGCCGGACTGAAAAGCAGAGTCCATGCGCTTGATTGATGTTGTGATATGGATCCTGGCCCAAAATCACAGCTTTCACACTCTGCAAGGGAGTGTGTCTTGACCTGAGGGTTGAGAGAGGAAGAGAGAGAAAAAAAAAGGTCAGATTCTTGCTTTCTCAGCTGATACGCTGGTTGTAGGGAATGTGCGTGTAGTGCTCATACCAGCTGTAGACGTCTTCGCTGGGCGGAAAGACTTTCTTGCCGGTCTCCACCTCTTTCTTGAGAAATCGCTTGAGGTCGAGGAATTCTTTGCTGGTGACTTCGTCTTTGAGCACGCCGAGCCAGCTGTCGTGGAGGGTTTCGATTTCGAGCTTGAGGAGGCCCTTCTGCTCGTCTGTCAGGCTGGCCATCCAAGCTTCCTTGTTGAACTTGGCGTCGAGGGTGGCGGGCGCGGTGGTTGATGTGCTAGGCTGCGCCGGGTTGGTTGATGATGTCGGGCCATTGGTCTTGGGCTGACCGAAAAAGGCGGTGATGGAGGCATTGGCTTTGGGTTTCTTGACGGCATCCAACGCGGTATCAGCAGCTTTGCGTTTGAGAGCCATGTTGTGGTGGATGAATGGGTGTTGGCGCCTCCAGTGGATGGTAGAAGGTAGGAGGTATGTAAGTGAGGTGGAGGTTGGATGAGACGGGATGAATTGAAGTTCGAGGCGACGACGTGTGGACGCGACGTGACAGAAAGTGGAGCTCGCGTGTCATCCCTGCAGCCTCGGCTAAACATGCATTCTTCAGCAAAGCTTATTTCAAACTCGATTCAAGATTTCAAGGTATAAGGTATGTATATAGAAAGTGATGCATTCTTATTCTCAAGTAGCCAGCTTGCTTATACCTGAGTCTTCCTATCAATAATCCCAACCATCACATGCAAATGATACAATTGCCCCGCTATAAGCAAAGTGTCGTCTTGACACTTCGATATTTGAGGGAAAAAAAACAGCAAAAAACAAAAAAGAAAAAGAAAACCTCCCCTTTTCAGATCTATTTTAAATCTATAGGCATCGTAGTCAAACGCTTCCACCTATGTATAATGTCCCATGATGACAATCTCAATCTGTCTTCTTAAGCTACAAAGGCCGTTCGCTTGTCAATTCCACGACCCACGCCAGCATCCTCCGAGGTACAAACACACGATAGGTCCTTCGAACTATTGGAACGGGAGTCAGCATCATGTATCTCCATATACACTTCACATCTGAGAGAGAGAGAGAGAGAGAGAGGGAGAGAGGGAGAGAGAGAAAAAGACTCCCAGGTCTGTACTTACTTGGCTTTCTGGTAGGCGTATATCCCCCCTCCGAGTAATAAGCATGGAGCGTCGCAGTACTTCGTCTGATTCACGCAAAGTTGTGCATCCTCGGTTTGCACACAACCGAACGCTTTTTGGCCATGGCAAGTTGCCAGGCCCCGAAAGTTGCATTTTCCCCCGGTGATAATGCGCGGAGGGTTGGGGGTTGCTGGTTGGCCGATGTATTTGCTGGCGTCTTTGGTGCTGCAGATACAGGTGTCATCGGGGGACCTGGAAACAACAGCGTTTGATGGTTAGATTTTCTTTCGCTATATCGAGGAGTAAGGTAGAAATGCAAAGGAGACTGCGGTGTAATCATCTATACTTACCTCCATTTTATGTAGGCGTACATGTTAGGACCCACTTGGGAACATGTATCATCACAATCTTGAGTCTTCTCTACACAAAGTTGTCCAGATCCAGAGATTTTAAGGCATCCGTCGGCTGAGCGGGATGTGCAGGCCATCAATGTATTCTGGCTACATTGATCATCGCCCGTGTAATGGTTGTCATCTTGTGCGGAGACGAAAGACGCCAGGACCGCGGCGCCAACGGCGATGAACGTGGAGGTCAACATGGTTGTTGCGCGGTGTGCGTAGTTGGCTTGAAAATCGGTCTGCTTTGGTATTCACACTTTGCCTTTGTTTTGAGAGGTAGTCTGATCGTAAATGAAGTGGGACAATCGGGGCTACCTGTATATATATACCTGTATATATATACCTGTATATATATATATATGCTGCAGCTCTACATCTCGTAACACTGACGTAAAGACGGCCATATCGAGGAACGAGTGTCCAATCTTAGCTTTCCAGGTTCGTGCTGAGTAGTAGGCTTGATGAAGTGTGCCAGGATCCATTATCCTCCGATCGAATATACCATAGCATCCTCCCAGGAAACTCTCGACAACGAACCGTGAAGTGGCACCTGGCCCGGCGCGCGATGAGGTTGAACCATATGCTCCAGGGGTCATGGCTCACAGCCTCATGCTGTTGATGGGGTCACAGCCTCAGGTTTTCTAATATACACTGCATGTCCTCGAGCGATGTTCCTCGTCCAGGTGATGATGAGACCATGCTGGCGGAAGGCTTCGGCAAACATTTTCGCTTCGCAGAACAGACGACATCTGGCTGCCAACCCGTTGAAACGATGGGCTGGAGGAACGAGCGTGGTGAGTATCGTGAAGGCTCGCTACCCACGAAGCATTGTCCAGTCAGGTCGAGCAAAGCTCGAGGAAATCGATCGTTGCCACTGCACATCGGCCTTGCTACTAGCTGCGTGGTTTTGGGAAGCCTTTGGGGGAGAATATACAATGTGATTTTGGTATCGCGACGTTGAATCTCCAGTTGAGAATGCTGTTCAATGAGCTTTTCCAGCCTGTTCGGAGAGCGCGGACAATGCTACATCATGTAGAGGCCTGGAACGATCCTTTTTCTCAGCAGCAGGGCTTCCTGAAGACATGATAGGGTAAGAGGTTTGACTGCCTGACTGACGTGATGTCCTCGTAAAATGGATCAAGAAGTCGGTTACGGCATGTCGCAGGCAAGGTAGAGCATTTCCAGCACGCTCCGTGGCAGTTCATCTCCTTCCAGCTCATCAACGCATCGAGGTCTGTGAATTGGCATGCGTTGGGTGGTACGTGACAGTTACGTGGGTTCAGACCAGAAATAACGTAGAATGTGGCTGTGAGTTGAGCTGGATGAGTGGGCACGAGACAGGCGTAGGGGAGCTCGGAATATGAAACAGATCGATGTCGTTGGTATTGTACTGTATGCCTGCCCTGCACACGAAGGAAGTGCATTCGGCCGAACAATCCCCTATGCCAATGACGTGTGTAGACAGTCGTAGTACAGGTACCGTGTCTGTTCGCGATGAGGCATTCCGACTACACGTGATGGTTATATCGGACAATGTCCGATGTTTAGTGGGGCAGGATGTAAGGAATCTGGTTCCTAATTTTCTGCTCTGCCGCTTGGTATGCCATGTCAGGTAGGCTGAATAAGGGACATGTAGCTGAGGTATGTGGTGATAATGTCGTCCTGGTTGATGAGATTCCGGGAACATTTCGTGCAGGTCATCGCCGGGGCAGATGGACCGGGTGATGCTTGGGGGGATCGTACTGTAGGTATGTACAGCCACTATAGTGGTCTGGCGGAACGGACTCCATTCCATCCCTAGGCGCTGATGGGCACATGATGGTTCGACGGAGTCCAGGAGAATGTCCCGTCGGGTTGGCGCAGAGGGATGGATACCTGAGGTTCGGTATAGGACGGGAGTCAGGTAGGGTGAAAAGTGTCACTGTCACCGACGGGCGTCCACGATGGAGCAAGGGGGTCTCTCATCGGGACACGCCACGGTCCACCCCGCATTCATTACTGAAATAGAGCCACCGCCCGTGGAGCGTCCCTGAGACTAGGGTCCAGGGAAAACTGTACCTAAGCGCCCTAGGAGGTACCTTACCGCCCGTCTGGCAGATCCGCACGCCATCTACCACCTACAGTACCTCCTACCACCTCACCCACCATATCTGCCCTCCTCCACCCCAATATAATTCATCCCACAATTCTCATGGTAAGGAGTGCGCTAGTGACGGCGGAAGAGAGGAGAGGGTGGAATGGAGTCAATGGACAACCCGAAACCTGGCGGGCCGGGGACACGAGCAACCGCTCACTACCTCCACCCTACTACCCTGGTGCGGCAGCAGGGAAACAGGCCAAGAAGAGGCCAAGGAGTAGGTTCAGTAGAACTACCTACCTGAACTAAGGTACCTACAGACTACAGTATACTACTCCTAGAGATCCAAGACACATCCATCTCTTCCGTGTCACTTGGCTTTCTTGAGCCTAGGTAACACCGCGTAGTCCTCGTGTCCTCTACGCTTTCTTCTTGTCGCGTCTCCCCACGCGCTGCCTGGTCCCTCCCAGCAGCAGCAGCAGCAGCATCAGCAGCAGCGGCAGTGACAGCGCCGACCGGCTCGGCCTGCTCACGCGAGCTGCACATCTTATGAACAGGAGGAGCCAATAGGAGGTAGCAGCAGCAGCAGCAGCAGCAGCAGCAAAATGAGAATGCCGGGACGCAACCGACGCGTCCGGCTGCTGGCCATCGCCGCCTGCATCATCACCATCTTCTTCCTGTACGAGCGGAACACATCGAGCTCCTATCTGTCTCCGTCTACCGTTGGAGGCGGATCGGTCTTGCGGAAGCCCGACGACGATCCGCACGCCTATGTGCCACCGCCGGCCAAGGAGCCCGACCGACCCGCTGTCTACACTCCTCCATCACCCGAGCCCGTTGCGGAGGGAGAGGTGGTCAATCCCAATCCCCAGCCAGCGACGAAGCATAAGACGGACAAGACGGAAAAGACGGAAAAGACGGAAAAGACGGACAAGACGGACAAGACGGACAAGACGGACAAGACAGCATCCACGGGCTCCTCCACCGCCACAGTAGACGAGGAAGAGGAGCAAGAGGAGACGCAGCAGCCAGTCGTGAAGGAAAAGGCGAAAGAGAAGCCACTGTTGCCAACCCTTCCACCAACGACATATGATGCAGACGATGCCGAGGACACAGGCAACGGCGCGTACTTGGATTACGTGCCCGAAGATGGAGCAGTAGAGCATGGACCCGTCTTCTATGAGCCTCCACAGAGCTCGCCGATTCCAGTTCACTGGAGTAAGCAGCCCGAGCGCTGGCCCGTTACGTCCACCATTCAGCTTCCGACAGGAACACCGGTCCCCATACCGCGCATCCAGTCCGCGAAGAGGGGTGCTGATGTCAATCGTCTTCGAGCGATCAAAGACGCGGCCAAACACGCCTGGAAAGGCTACAGAGACTTTGGCTGGGGCTTTGACGAGGTTGCTCCTGTGTCTGGCGTGGGCAAGAACAGTTTCAATGGCTGGGGAGCGACCTTGGTGGATTCATTGGACACGCTGTGGATCATGGGTCTCAAGGACGAATTCGAGGATGCAGTCAACCAGACTTCGTACATCGACTTCACCACGTCATCCAGGAACGACATTCCCATGTTCGAAGTCACCATTCGATACCTGGGAGGTTTGGTTGCAGCCTACGACGTGTCTGGCCAGAAGTATCGCGTCTTGCTCGACAAGGCCGTAGAGCTCGCTGAGATCCTGTACAGCGCCTTCGACACGCCCAATCGCATGCCAGAGACGTACTATTACTGGAAACCAACATTCGCGTCGAATGGGCACAGAGCAAGCACACGAGTTGTGCTCGCCGAGCTAGGCACACTGAGCTTGGAGTTCACGAGGTTGGCGCAAATCACCAAGGAGCCCAAGTACTACGACGCAGTTGCCAGAATCACAGACGCTCTCGAGGAATGGCAGAACAAGACGAGGCTGCCGGGCATGTGGCCGATCTCTGTCGATGCGAGCGGATGTGCCAAGCCAGTCGCGATTGCGCCGAGTACCACCTCTAACCAGGTGCCTGTGCCAGGAGGTGACAGTTATATGCTCAGCAGCGAACCTGTTCAGGCTAGTACAGACAGCACGAAGAAGGCAAAGGCAGCTTTGGCCGGCACGAGTAGACATGCGGAAGGCTTTGCTGGAGATTTGAGTGAAGACGTGCCTAACTTGAAGCAAGCGTCGGCAGAACTGGATTCGGAGGGCACTTTCGGAGCAGATGGTGGTCTGAGCAAGCGTCAGCTTGATGTCGGAAGGCAGACCACTGACGGATCTGACTTGGTCGATCCACGCGTGAAGCAAAAGCTCGGCGAAGCTGCCCAGTCATATTCACCTCTCGATCCGGCCGCGAGAAGGAAATCTCCGCCAGCCCAAGAAGAAGAACCCGAGTGTATTCCACAGGGACTCCGCGCGCCCGGCACGACTAGTGCGCAGACGTTCACCATGGGTGGACAGAGTGACAGCGTGTACGAATATCTACCTAAAGAGTATCTACTCCTCGGTGGACACCTCGACCAGTATAAGACGATGTACTTGAACAGTATGAAGCCCACTATCGAGAAATTGATGTTTCGTCCGATGACTCCAGGCGATCTGGACATTCTCATCTCTGGAGAAGTCACGATTCAGAATAACTACACCACGGGCGAATGGTATGAGACTCACACCCCCAAGGCCGAGCATCTTACATGTTTCATTGGTGGCATGTTGGCAATGGGCGGCAAGATTTTCAGTCTGCCAGAGCATGTAGAGATTGGGAGAAAGCTGACAGACGGCTGTATCTGGAGTTACAACTCCACCACCACGGGAATTATGCCCGAATCATTCTTTGCTACCCCGTGTAATAGCACGACAGAGTGCCAGTGGAATGAAACCGAGTGGCACGACTCGCTGGACCCATACAAGATGTATCGAGAAGGGCAACGCGCCAATTGGGCCGAGAAATACGGCGAGCAGGCGCTGCTGACATGGAAGCCATCTACACCTGAGCCCTACAGGCCTGGAAAGAATGCACTAGCAAGAAATCGCCTCCCAGAAGACTTGGTATATGCCGATGATGGTCACCCGACAATCAATACCCAAGGCCGCCATATGGACCAAGCCAAGGGCGCCGCAGCCGGTGTCTCGAAGCCGGCCCTGGACAGTGCGGTCCAGCCGAAACAAAGAAGTGACTTTGACGATCTACACAAGAGGCAGTTTGACGAGGAAGCAGAGCCAGCTGCACCTATGCCACAAGTAATGCCAACGAAGTCGTTTCCGACACAAGAGGACGAGTCTCTCGTCAAGTCCTCGTTGACCGAGCTTGCCGACGACAGCGCAGATGTCTCGCCGCCTGCGCCAATGAGCGCGCCTACAGCTCTGGATGACGACGAAGACCCAGCCATGCCCATTTACACGCCCGCTCCGCCACCTACTCACGAAGAGTATGTTCGACAAAAGATTGAAGACGAGAGACTCCCTCCCGGCTTCGCAAAGTACGACAGCAAGAAGTACATTCTCCGACCGGAAGCCATCGAATCCGTCTTTTACATGTATCGCATCACAGGCGAGCAACACTGGAGAGATGCCGGATGGGAGATGTTCAAGGCCGTGGAAGCGCACACGCGAGCAGAGTTTGGGCACTCGGCCATTGATGACATCTCCAAAGCGCATCCCGAGCATGTGAATGGTATGGAGTCGTTTTGGATTGCGGAGACTCTCAAGTACTTTTATCTCTTATTCGACGAGGAGGATAAGTGGAGTTTGGATGACTGGGTGCTTAATACCGAGGCGCATTTTTTCAGGCGGCCCAAGTCATGAGAGATGGAGGGAGAGAAAAAATGGATTGACGTGTATGAGTAGATACCTAGTAAGAGAAGAGCAGGTCCGTTGAATAGGTAGGTTGGGATGTCATGATACCCAGAGGAAAGAGGAAGAAAAGAGTCGGGAAGGAAAGAAAGAAAGAGAAGGACAAAAGGGAAAGACGAAAAAAGATCCCTTTTTGTTTCCCCTTTTTTTAACTTCAATTGTTCTTTTTTTGCAATTTAGATACTTCAACCCTTCTGCACGGTCTACCTTGAGTACCGTACTGTACCGTATCTGTAAGTAGCTTACCTACCTAGCATAGCGATCGGAGTTTTTGGTTTGTTTTTTTCTACCTTCTAGGTAGGTATTTATTCTACGTATGTAATCTTCTCTCAGGTATAGTATACAACTTTGTATTAAATAAATAAGTGTTTTGAGAAAGTTTTCTTTGAAGATACTTCCTTATCTATACCGTTTTACATTTTTTTTTCTTCTTATGTATAGGATAGGTAGTATGGAAACGTTTATGTGGATATAGTTCTAGACTGAATTTTTTTATTTCCCTCGGAGCGCCTGGCGGCGTTGATCGCTAGAGATTTTGAAAAATGTTTGTGCTTTGGAGGGACGGAAAGAATAGATGAGGTGCGATGGGAATTGTCCTTGTCCGGGGTATAAGGAAGGTGTGGTTGAGAGAAATCTGTGGAGAGAGGTTAGGGAGGTGAAGGAGGGAGAGGGGTTGAAGATTTTGGAAATTGAGGAGTTTTGTTTTGAGTCATTAAGGAGGTTGGAGATTTTTTCATGGATTAGATGTTGGGATGGGATGGACTATACATGTACCGAGGTACTTTGGCTAGAATAGAAAGTAGTGTATCCGAGTTGGAATTGCTGCTGCTGCTTATCGTGAGAGTGGCTATTTGAGCATGTGTTGAGCAATGGATGGACTTGAGAGGTCAAGGCCATCCTCACCCGAACGATCTCGCTGGGATAGAGACTTGTGCCACCTCAGGCCAAGCAGTTGCAAGACGTGGGCAGTGGCATCTCCCACGCGAGGGGATCCACATTCCAGTCTTTATCGATCTTTGTCTGGACCAGGTGAATGCCTATGTTTCTTGAGTCGTAAGTGCTTTGTTCGCTTTGTTCTCGGAGCATCTGGGACCCCACTTTGTGGTCTAAACAAGCCCTCTTCCGGTGTTCGTAGCAGGTATTCCGGTCTATGGTGATACTGCTAGCCAGCTCGTGACATTACCTCGACCACGTCTCTCGTCAAATGGCGTATCAAAATCTCAACCAGCCCCAAAGAGGCCATCTTCGACAACGATCTCAGACGTCTCTCGAGACAGGGACCACTTCGCCCGTCTCACCCCGTGGCAATAGCGACTGGGTTGATCCTTTTGGCGAAAACACCCAACACAAGCGCCATATATACCAACTCTGGTTGATACTTCGATATCTGGTCCTCAAAATTGTGATACCTTTCGCAATAGTCCTCGTCGCTCTGAACTATAGCGATGTATACTCGCGCGGCACAAGTGGATCGTTTGGTGACGTGCAGTTGTCGTATGGGAATGATGTGAGATATGGGAGCTTAGATCGAAAATATGATTTCTTGTGGCAGGATGATATCGCTCCAGAACTCGGAATTGTTCGACTGCCGAAGGATATGAGTTTGGGACCAGCAGATGAGACGGAGTTAGGCATGATCGGAATGTGAGTACACAGCTTGTAATATGTCAATAGCGCGGTCGCTGATGGAGGAATTGCTAGGTATCACGGCCTACACTGTTTAGGAACGATGCGAATGGCGTTGCAGCGGGCGCATTATGGAGGGCATATTGGTCTTGATCAGACGGAAGAGTCGCAGCTCGCACCTTGTTTCTGGTACCTGCGACAAGCGTTGCTCTGCTACGCCGATGGCACGGTGGAGCTGCCAAGATTCTATAATGGGACGCTCGGGATGGAGAGCATTTCTGGAGTGACTGATGTTCGGCAATGTCGATCAGCAGATAAATTGCGGAAGCTGGAGCATACATATGGTGCGAGAATGAGCTAGAGGAGTCATCGCATAGTGGGAATCGTTGGACGAGAATGAAGATGGAAAGTTGTCGAAGAGGTAATCTAACTATACGAGAGACAGAAGAGGAGAGTGATAGAGCCAAGCCGCGCTAAAGACGGACCGCCACGGGATTTCCCTTTTGACTTTCGACTTCGCGGGTACGACCCATCATACCACGTATTTCTCAGCACTACACCACTTCCCGTGGACCTCATCTCATCGCGGTAAGTTTCTCCCTTCGCCAACCTTTGTCCCATACCACATGGCACTTCACGACCTCACGCCGATGGCGACATGGTCGTGTATACCACACTCGGGAGATCACGAGTTGCACTGCCTCCAGCTCACTCACCAGCTTCTACCGTAAGTCCATTCCAGCTGACGCCATGAACAGTACCGCACAGGATAGCACAGCACAGCACCAGCACCGCTGGAGAAACGTCTGGCGCTCTCCCATACGCAGCACAGGCACAGAAGACGCCGGTCCTACTGTGGGCGACGACGACACTCGGTGTCGACGATGCCGGCCATGCTCGACGACCCGACGGCGCCCGCGATCTATCGCATCTCGGGTCAGCAGCCGTTTCCCGAGCCCTTTGGTGCACTCCCGCATGAGATCTCGCCCAAGCAGGTGACACTCCGCGACAGGACCACAATTGCTACCCTTGTTCCGTTCTCGTCACCAAATCAGGTGCCTCCACACTTGACTGCCTATCTGTGCGAGCTCTTGAACCGCGAAATCGAAAAAGGTGACACGTACCCCATGATTGATGGTATGGCGCTATCTTCCTTCGCGGCTTACTGGTTTGCCAATTTCGGCGCCATCATGGTCGTCGGCGACATCTCCACGCCAGAAGAGATAACACACATGGAGGAGCAGGGTGTGGACTGGGCCAAGCTCTGCTTGGGAAGCTTCTACGTCAAACCAAACTACCCAGGTCGGAGCAGTCACATCTGCAATGGTGGCTTTCTCGTCACTGATGGAGCTCGAAATCGTGGCGTTGGCCGGCTCATGGGAGAAGTCTATCTTGAGTGGGCTCCCAAACTCGGCTACACGTACTCCGTTTTCAACCTTGTGTACGAGACCAATCTGGCATCTCTGCGCATTTGGGATGCTCTTGGCTTTAAGAGAATTGGGAGAGTCAAAGGCGCCGGAAATCTCAAGAGCTACCCAGGAACAATGGTAGACGCCATCATCTTTGGCCGAGAGCTGGGGGGCGAGAATGAAGAGTATCAAAGCGAGGAGCGCTTCGATAAGATTCGATACTATCTCAAGTCGGGCGCCTACCCAGCCGGCTCAGACCGTGCTGAGAAATCGAGACTGCGGTCTGCTGCAACTCACTACAGATTGATCCCTGGCAATGGAGAAGAGGACAAGCTCATGCTGAAGGGGAAAGAAGTGGTCTCTGATCCGCACAAGCAGTACGAAATCGCCCGCGCGATGCATGCCCAGACACATGGCGGCATCAACAAGACCACTGCTGGTATTGCAGAGAAGTATCATTGGGTGCGCATCAAGGAGACTGTCAGTGCTGCAATACGAAACTGTGCCGAATGCAAAGAGTCCTTGACACCCAAACATGCAGGCGCCATTTCTCCTTCCACTGGTGGTGCTAGTGCTCGTCGTGGTCCGTTAGCTGGCCCCAAAAAGAGCACTCCTGTTGTGGCACGTCAAATCGTGCCTGTCAGTCCGGATGTAGGTCTGACTAATACAATCACCGGTCCACCATCAAGCGAGTCCAGTCAACAGGCACAGCACATGGTACATAGTTCGCAGCGTGACAATCAGCAAGTGCACCAGCAATTGGACCAAGAGCTTCTTCAGCATGCAGTACCAACTGCTAGAATGGGCGGCATAGTGGATTATCAAGATGGTTCCAGCGCCGACTATGGTGACACTGGGCCTGTTGATCCTCAGCTGATGTGGCAGACTGGACATGACGATCAGTCTATGCAGATTGATAGTGATGACAAGACTGGTAACACCGAAGACGATGGCGAATCTCACCTCCGAGAAGTGCTTGGTGCGCACGCCATGGCAGGTGAGATTCAGTCATTCTTAGGAGAGGCAGCACAACGACAGGAAAACCGCTAGGAGGAGTTTGACTATAGTGACGGCGATGCCCATATGAGTGCATTCTTCCAGAACACCATGGATGCTTGGGAGACACTAAATTAGCAGGAGGAAAACGCGATGATGCTGGCAATCGCGATCCAAGGTACAATGCGGCCTCTTCAACAAGCCAGGGGCATCAGGTGATACCGCCTTGCAAGACAGGTGTAACTGCACAACTCAACGTCGGTTTCAAGATTCGCGCACTGGCAGAACCAATAGCGACAGTACATATGTGGTCGCCGAAGAATGGCGAACGAGTCTCAAGTGCATAGAGGAGATTCCAATGACAAATTGTTGTAAAAAGCGGCCCTAGATAATGGTGGGTACAGCCCTACTCTACCTTCACTTCACATCAACATCAACATCATGAGTGAACGAACAACTTCCAGCTTTCAAAGCACACTCTCGTTTCACTGTCGCACCTACTTTTTCCTTGGCATGTCTACTGGCTTTGATAAGATACCTGATTGAATGCACTTCCTGAGTCACAACTCGACATGGATCAATTACAACGACCGCGGAAAAAAAAAGGAAAAAATTGAAGTCCTAGCTCTCATAGCGCCCTGCTAACTCTTCAGACATCCTACCTGATGGATAGAAAGAACCAAAAGAGTCGACAAAAATCTGCCAGCCTGCCAGCCAGCCTAAGCGAACCAGCCAAGAATCTTGTCTCGGGCAGTTATTAGTTCTCTTTGACAACACGCACGAGTCATTGCAGTATACATATACTTTCGTGCTAGCTATGTAGCTAAGGTAGGCAATTCTGTTTACATACCTACCTCCTACATATGCTGACCATTAGTAGAATATCACGTTGCATTAGCGCGCGTGGATGCGCAGGTTCCGGTCTCATCCATGAAGTACAAGACTATTGGAAGTCATGTACTTTCGAACAAAGAAGTGTCTTAGGTTATGCTGTATATGGTTACTAGGAGGTAGTAGGTGGCGTCGTAGGAAGAGCTGCTGAATTGCTGAATACGAGGTGGGTGGGTTTTTTTAGGTAACTTCTGTCTGCTATGCCTAGTATGTATGGCCTTTGATGTCCTCGTGAAGAAGAATCTCCATCCTTTCACTATTTCTACATCTGCGCGCCACGATGCTGTTACCCAAAGCCTGGTTCCTCCTCGCCAGCCTAGGCTCCGCAGCTGTCGCACAAAGTATCAACAAGACTGCAATTCGGCAGACATGCGATGCTATTGAAGCGCAGTGTTCCGATGCCAGCAAGGTCATGACTTTTCGAGGTATCGGGTACTTTGAGGCTATAGAACATTGGATCAAATCTTCCGAGCAAGAACCTGTTTGCGTGGTGCAGCCAGCCTCCGCGGAAGACTTGTCCGTCGCAGTCAGTCTTTCCCCTACACACCCCCATCCATTATCCCAAATGTCCACGTGTGACTCACGTTTTATGCCCAGATTCGCTTGATCGGACAAAACCGCGTCCCATTCGCAGTGCAAAGTGGAGGACATACATCCAATCCGGGCTTCTCCAGCACCAAAGGGGTACACATTTCGCTTTCCAAGTTGAACGAAGTGACACTTTCTTCCGATGGAACGACTGCGCGGGTCGGAGCCGGAAATCGATGGTCGAATGTGTACAAGAAGCTTGAAGGCAGCGGAAGGAATGTTGTGGGCGGACGGGTAAGTGGGCAATTAATTCCCGCGGTTTCTCTCCTCCGTATTGACTAATCTTCGTGGCGCCTTCTTCAGGTTCCAGGTCCTGGGGTCGGAGGCTTCACGACCGGCGGTGGCTACTCCTGGAAGACCAATATGTACGGGCTCACAGTTGATACTATCAAGAGCTACACGCTCGTCTTGCCCAATGGTACCATCACGACCGTGGACGATTCGACACCAGATCTCTTCTTCGCGCTTCGAGGAGGTCTCAACCGCTTCGGGGTCGTTGCTCATGTCGATCTCTTCACCCACGCACAGGTCCCTATGATCTATGGTGGAACGAGGATATATGCTGGCGACGAGGTCGACAAGATCATCAACGCCACCGCGGACTTCGTAGCAACGAATCGAGACCCCAAGGCGACAGTCATCACCTCTGTTCTGGGAAAGACGGCGACCACGCAGTTTTTTTATGATGGGCCTTCCAAGCCAGCAAGTTTCGCCGTGTTTGATGGAATCGACACGCTTCTCGTGGATACGGTCAAGACGCAGAAGTTTTCGGAATTCGTGTCTTCTATTCCGAGTAGTCTGAGGGACGTAACGAACGTCCGCGGGACTTGGGAGACGTTTTCGACGACGGGGGCTTCACTCACATTTTTGCGGGCGCTCCAGAAAGAAGGCAAGGTGCGTGACTCGGCGCGAGGTTGATGGGGGTGGGGAAATCGAGTACTGACCTTCCCTTTATAATACTACAGCGAGTGAGCAAGCTGCCCAGAGCGCACACGGGAATCAATTTTGCAGTCGATGCATACATCCCGGGCCTCTATGGCTCCCACGCTGTCCCGAATGCTGCATACCCACACGCTGAGTCGCAGTTTCCGGTAAGCATATGGCATGGCATACCTTTTTGCCGTTCCCCCGTCCCTCTCGTACTGTATGTACCTGCGGACACTGACGCTGGGCTTCTGGCCAACAGGTTCTCCTCGACCTGGCCTGGGCATTTTCCAAGGACGACCAATACTGGCATACTCAGCTCCGTCAGTCCCGGGACACGCTGATCGAGGTGGCCCGGTCCGAAGGACTGCTCCACCCGATTGCCTACTCCAACTATGCCGCTGCCGACACATCGGCCGAGAAGCTGTACGGTAGTGCAGGGGCAGCGCGACTGGCGAGCATTCGAAACGCGGTGGATCCCCATAGAGTAATGGATTTGACGGGGGGATATCAAGTGTGAGAGGGTGAGAGGGTGATTGAGGGTGTAAGAGGAAGTGGATGTCAGCCGAGACAAGACTTGAGATGTGGGAGGAGAGTGTGAAACATTGTCGAGCTGAACCAGGAACTTGCAGCGTTCCCGTCCCGTCCCGTGCCGCGCCGCGCCGCTTATTTCTCACTCGGGATTCGGGGATCGGCGGGCAAATACCGCGATCGTGCCTTCCTCAATCAGTCTCATATCGACATCTGGAGCAGGAAGAGCAGCAACAGCAGAGCAGTACCAAGTACCTGGCAATACACCACCTCCTATTACCTTATACCTACTAACCTACCTAACGGTACCTGACATCCATACTAGCACTGATTCCGTTCCCTTCCATTCCCTTCTATCCCCTCCCATCCACATCCATCTCCATTCCAGCAGATACTCATCAGGTGAGAGGCGCCAAGTTTCCACATTTGGCGCCCACGCGTCCCTACTTGGACAGCAGACTCCCCCGCCACCACAGGTTTCAGTCACACTTTCAGTAATGTAAGTAATTAAGGTAGCAACCTAGTAAGAAAGTCTGCACTACAGGTACATACTTCAGACAGCCTCACATCAGCCACCGCGAGGTACCTCCACCTGAGAGCATGACCCGCACTCCGAAGACCACATCCGGACGGACCCGCCAAGAGTCTCAGTTGCTTGCGCGTGGAACCATCACCTCCCCCTTGGTGGAATGCAGCCGTCGCCCGAAAGGCAGCGTGGCCTGGGCAAGCAAGGCTTAACCTGCAACCTCCTTCATCCCTCTACCAACCGCGTCATCACCATCGTCCTGCGATATGCCACTCCCACTTCTGCCTCTTTCTCCCACTATCCTCCCCCTCCTCCTCCTCCTCCTCCTCCCACCATCATCCCGTCATGGCCGACTCTCATTTTGAGCTGGAGAGTGGGGAGTGGAAGGATGCACCGTAAGTCACCCGCCCCATCACACGTCGCAGCACCTCAAAGCTCACTGCATCTCTCTTACCGTAGGACATTAGCAGATGAACCGAACACACTGGCTGCCGTATCGACCGTCATACGGAACATTGTCCTGCAAGCCTATGTACGAGCGACGCAATCACGAGCCCTCTCCACTCTGATACCCAAGTCCGTGGCCAAATCATGGGAGCAAATCACTCCGGCTTCAGCTCCTAGAACTACTTCCAGGACCGCGTCGTATGATGGACTCCGAGGCTTAGCATGTCTGGTCGTCTTCCACTTCCACTTCCTCTATCCCTACAGCGATAGCATGAAACATGGCTTCGGCAGCAATGCCGAGAACAGATATATTCTGCAGCTACCTATCATCTGTCTCTTACTCCGAGGACGAGCCATGGTCACCCTCTTCTTTGCCATATCGGGTTATGTTCTCAGCTACAACTTTCTCGCCTCTTGCCGAGAGAAGCAGTGGGATAACGCCTTCTCGAGATTGGCCTCGCTGACTTTGAGACGTTGGTTGAGATTATTCTTGCCTGCTACCTTCACTATGATGCTGGTGTGCATCGGAGTGCAGCTGGGATTCTATAGCTCGGCGAGAGAATTACAGTTCAACCCGCTAGCAGCGGGCAAATGGGAAGAACATCCACCTCATTTTCCCGATCTTCGGACTCAAATCAAGGACTTTGCAGGAATGTGGTGGGTGTGGTCGAGTCCATTTCGATGGGATCTCAACTACACGCCTTACGATCCACACACATGGACCATCCCTGTGGAGCTCAGATGCTCGCTGATACTCTTCGTCTTCCTCGTCGGCTCGGCTGGATTAAAGCAGCGATGGCGAACTGGTCTTACTCTGCTCGTAGCGACGTACTGCTTATTCCAGAATCGTTGGGATGTCGCGACCTTCATCGGGGGAGCTCTCGTTGCTGATTTACATCAAGCTGCATTGTATCGCGAAGGTCAGAAAGTGCCGCCGCATGTGGACAGCAGCGCTGTGACTACTGCGCCACCCAAGGGGTCTGCCATCACTACTACGCTTAAATGGCTATTGCTCGCGACATCTCTCTACGTCCTCTCCTTCCCCGACAACCTCTCCAAGAAGACTCCCGGGTATCGATTTTTACGCAGCATCACACCACCCAGCTACCGCGAAGCCCACTTTTTCTGGCATGCCTTTGCCTCCAGCTTTGTCCTGTGGTGTGTGCAAGCCATTCCTCAGATTCGGATGTTTTTGAGCTCTCCGATTCCCCAATATCTCGGAAAGACGTCTTTTGCCCTCTACCTGGTGCATGGACCCCTCTTGCACTCGATTGGATTCAATCTGCAACCGAAAATCTGGGAAGTGACGGGGAGCGACACGATGGTGCCCTGGTGCGCAGGACTGTTTGTGGGGTGGTTGGTCATGTTTCCCCTGTCGATGATGACAGCATATGTGTTTTACAGATTTGTCGATATACCACTCGTGCGGCTCGCCAGGTATATTGAGAGCTTGGCGAGGGATGACACGGCATTTCGGAAGCCCCGTGCGGAAGACGAGAAGGGTCCCAGCGCGCAGACATGACGATGATTGATGTGTGTGCATCCAGCTTAATATGTAACCTGGAAATGGCTTACTGGTTATTCGCCAGCATAGACGTGATTACTGCATATAGATTCGATTGCACTCTGTTGCAGAAGCACCAACGACGACACCGACCAAGATGCATACGTGTAACTACCCACATGGAGGTACCTCCCTTTACATGGCCCCCACTTTGCTGAGCCGGTGTATCTCACCAACACTCTGCACTTCATCATGCCCTACAACAGGACCACGCTATCGCACCAGTCTTGCACGAGATAAGGCAGAGGGTACATGTAGTGAACACATGCGTATACCTTCGTGCCTGCTATAGAATTGCAGAGTAGGTGGTCAGGATACAATAGCCTGAACCAGCTACAGTATGTGAAGAGGAAGTGCCGAGTCCATTGCGCGCCCTCCTTGGGCCGTCGCCTAACTAACTACCTGGCACCTCCTAATGTACTAGTTCATAGGAGGTAGCATATCCGCCTAGCCTAGATACCGTACCGTATTGTACCGTATATGATCCCAGGTAGGCACCCATGGACCCCGGTATATGGGAAACGTTTCCCGTTGCGCTGGTTTCATGATGGTTTCCAGAAACTCATGGAATAGGTCAGTAGGGTACAATTATATGTATCACTCAGGTAGGCGAGAGAAGACACTCTTCTCCGTATATATGTGTCGTGTGTCTTCTAGGAAGAAACAGACATTGGGTCGTGCGATGGAGGAGGTGATGTACCGTACAGTGTACACGTGCCCGCCCGGCTGTTGCTGGTTCGCTTCTCTCGTTTTGATGTTAGGTCGTGACAGACATGGATGGCCCGTTGCAACATGAGCATTGAGCGGTGCCTCGGCCTGATTTTCATTGAGAGTACTGCCGAAATCACTTTTTTTTTCCCCGTACGCGGTGCAAGTGGAATACATTACTATTTATACCACCTACATAGTACGTACGCACAAGGTACAAGTATTAATCAGAATAATGCACATACTGCATAAGGTATTGCATGATTACCTACAACCACAGTGATCGACACCCAGGTGCGTGGTACCGGTAGTGTAGGTTCATCGTCCCGCTGCAAGAGGCTTTAAATGGTGACCTTTCGCTTCTTTGCCGCTCTATGACGAATGGAATAATTCCATGGCACTCTCGTTCAATTTGATCCTGTGATTCCTGTCCTGGATACCTGGTCGGTCACTCACTCTCTCTCTCTCCTAGGAGGTACGAGGTAGCACTTGTCACTTATCAAGCAGACGGGACTCATTAGATCTGTATAGGCGCACCGCTGGGTTGGGCAGCTATCGTTCGCCTATATAATTTTCGGCAAAAAGGTAGTCTGATCAACCGGTGCTCTCTCACTGCTACTGTACAGCCAGCCTCCCGCCTATCTCCACCGACCTAGCTACCTACTACCGACCTAGGTAGCTACTACCGATCGACCGACCGATCCACGCACACTCGTACACTACCACACTACTACACTACTACACTACTGCTGCTACTACTACTGCTACGACCTCATCTGACCAACTACTACTGTACATATTTATCCGCCCGCCGGCCTTCTTGCGGAGAAAAGGATTTGCACGCCAGCAGACCGTTGCGCCGCTTCCCGTCCCCGTTGTCCCAGTTCGTTTCGAACTTTGCATGCGACCTCGTAATCATGCTCATAATAACAATCCCTAACAACCATACCCGATCTTAATCCTCATCTGGAAACTATACGCCCACCCGCCCGTCACGCCCCCGCCCGCAGAGAACGCGACTCGATTTTTTTCTCGACAGACAGACGTGTCGTTTCTAATCCAACTCCTCCCACGACCAACTGCCGCTGTGTGACGCACGCACGTACGACGAGGGAGACGATAGCGAGCGACGACGACGACGAGGACAAGAAGCATTGGAAGGACAAGAGAAGGAGAGTTGTACTGGTTGACTGCTTGTGTGTGTGTGGACAGACGGGAGCCCCAAGATTGGCTACCTGCACCGCATACACTATTATTGATTTTGCACCACTACACACTGCAGTGGCTGCTACATACTGCACACCGCACACTGCACACTGCACGCCCGCTGCAGCAACGTTCCTTACCCGCCCGCCGCGCCGATTTTCATACCGATACATACCTACCATACTCGACCACAGCCTGCCTGCGCTGCGTGTTTGTTGTGCAACATCCCAGCAAAATACCACCTAAAGAAGACAGATCGCGCGCCTTCTGCATACCCAATTAACCCACCCACTCACTCACCCAACCACCTGTGAACTTCCTCGTATCTTCCAGTCCTCGACGAGCGATCCACCCACGCGACCCTCGGCCCGCGATCGGCCCCCGTTGCAACCATCACATTGATCGCATTGTCTCTTGTGGCCCGACATGGCAGAGGACGCGAGCAAGATATCCATTACCATCTGTGGTGATGGTGGGTGCGGAAAGTCTTCCATCACACTGCGTCTGGTTCGCAGTCTGTGGACGCATGAGTGCGTATCTCCCCTCTTCTACCTATACCTTACTACGATACCTCCACTATACCACCCATCCTGGTCTGTCTGCAGCAGCAGCAGGAGCGGGCAGCTTTCAGAGAACTAACGCGCTAGTTTGATGCAATGCAGGTACGATCCGACCATCGAAGACTCGTACTCGGTCACGCGAAACATTGACGGGACCACCTTCTCCTTGGCAATCACAGACACCGCCGGCCAAGAAGAATACCGCAGTCTGTGGTCGTCGTCCAACCTGCACTCCGATGCCTTCCTGCTCGTTTACGACATCACTCAGCAATCCTCGTTGCGCTCGCTCGAATGGTTCAACGAGCTCATTGAGCAAGAGCGCGAACGACGCATGGAGCGAGGAAAAGTGCTGCCCGTCTGCATTGTCGCCGGTAACAAGTGTGATTTGCAAGGGATACGGCAAGTCGGTGCCACCGAAGGTCTGAACTGGGCACGAAGTCGAGGATACGGCTTCATGGAGACCAGTGCGCGAGAAATGGTCAACATTGAGGAGACATTTGCTCGTAAGTATCGTGGTCTTGTAATCGGATCCGATTGGATCGATGGCCTTCCCACTCGGAGCCCGTGCTGACTGTGCTCGTAGTTCTGGTCCGACGGGTGGTAGGCGCGCGGAAGCAACACTTGGAAGGCATGACACCCAACTTGCCATCGTCCACCTCACGAACAAGGCCATTAGAACCACTTTCGGCGATTAGCAACAACACCACCCACAATACCAATAACACCAATACCAACAACACCAATACCAACAACAACAACACCACCACCACCAACAACAACATCAATAACAACTACAGCGAAAAGGCCCTGCCACCTGAGCCGCGCCAATCTCGCCAGTATCCACAATGGGAACCCGGCGAGGAACTAGGTCGAAAGCGCTGGTGGCACGCGTTCAACTCTCTCAAGTGTTGGTGACGATAGTTGACCACCATTTTCTGGCATATTCACAAGCCAGCTAACGATTTCCCTATCCCTTAATAGAGAAGAAGGAGCAGAAGAAAGAAGAGAAGCAATTCTCTATTCTGCGCAAAATCTGATCTCCCGGGACGGTACAAGACGGCACTCTCGGAATGATCTACCTCTGTTCGCGTACGAGCGCTTTCTTATTGATTTCCCCATCGGATGCAACTGCATGGGCACGGATGGCACTTGGCGTGCATATATTTCAACATTTGTGAATTGGGCTCCGTGGAGTCTGGGAGGAGTTGCGCCATACCCCTGTATTCATATATTATCACATATATCACGACATCAATAATGACTTTCGAGCCTCACTGCACGTGCAGATGAGCTGCTAAACATGGCATGGTGAACATGCGCTCGTGGGGCGATGCAGTAGTGACAGACTGACAGTGTCGAATGGCCGCCGGCTGCAACCTCTGTTGCTTCTGCTCTCGTCCATGGAACGAGGGCGACGTCGAGGCATGTCGCCTTCTCTAACCAACTCCTGGCTGATGATGGGAGCGCGCGCTTCGGACATTGTGCGTCGCATCATTGGTATGTGTCCCATGTTCACCATTATTCACTAGGCAGCACTAATTCCTCGTTAATTGGCAACCGACGAGTCCGCTGGCGGCGGTATTTGCAGGCATGTAGACAGGGCCAGGGCCTGACTGCGAAACCCCGGCAATATCGCGTGTCGAGTCCGCTATACTTTGGTGATGAAACACCGATCCGACTCGATAACCTTGCTCACCTTCTGTGTTCAGCTGAAATCACATTCGCAAGACACTGCTCATTATCCTTAGTTCGGTGATGGCACTCTCCAGTTCCCCGGACAGCACTGGCCATTGGTGAACAGTGACGGTCACGGTGGCGTGTTGCATATTGCATCTCCACCTGCATATGAGTATTGAAACGACTCGCTGGACAGAAACCCTGGTGCGCGAGACATTCACTTCGCAAACACCAGGCTGCAAAGACTGGACGCAACAGGATTCGGGCCAAATCAACGTGCCAAAAAGCACGCGACGTTTGAGATGCCCCTCTTGCGCCGTTCAATTGGCCCGTTGAGGCTCGCGCAATGTGACAAGCTCATTAATCCCACGAGCTCGCACGTCTCCCTATTAAAAAAGCAATACTTATAGGATGGACTCCTTCGTCGAAGCGGCCTATATTGGGAGTCGGTGATTTTCCTTATTCCCACGACTTCGGACGAGACCATCCTTCGGTTCAGGTGCTGGACACCTGCCCACTGTTTCAGAGCACATTTATCTCAGCTGCATCACACTCCTTCTGTGCCACTGCTACGTATACACACACTCTCTCTCACACACTTTTGGCTGCAGCCTCAGAACGGAACGTTTAGACGATCGAGCTGTCCGGAATGGCTTCCTCCCGAAACTCTCACAAACGTGGCGTGCTCTCCTCGTTGATCACAGCCGCGCTTCTCTTCTCGACATATGTCTGCGCTGGACCAGCGCTCAAGGGGCGGCAGCTCAAGCACAGTCACCTACACGCTGCTGTGGACCTGCCCAAGAGAAGCGGCGGCGGCGGCGCTCAATTATCGGTACCAGGCCACGTGACTCAAGCAGGTTTCAGGACTGTTGGCTATTATGTGAAGTGGGTGCTGTTCTTTCCATAGCCCTCGACTTCCGCTGACCCTCTCTCTCTTTCGCGCTCTCTCTCTAGCTGGGCCATCTATGGCCGTAATTGGGGACCTCAGAACATCCAATCAGACCAGCTCACCCACCTACTATACGCCTTCGCTGGCATTGACAACAAAACCGGAGAAGCCACCTTGACCGATCCATTTGCAGATGTCCAGAAGCAATGGCCTGGCGACAATACTACAGATAACAGCACAGACAACCTGTATGGCAACCTCAAGCAGATCTACCTACACAAGAAAAAACATCGCAACTTCAAAACTCTCCTCTCCATCGGCGGCTGGTCCCTCCGAACATACTTTGCTCCGGCCCTAGACAACGAAACCGGCCGCAAGAATTTCGCCAAAACCAGCGTCCAGTTGCTGAAAGATCTGGGCTTCGATGGTTTGGATATCGATTGGGAGTACCCCAATACCACCAAACAAGCGCAAGACCTCGTAGACACATGCAAGGAATTCCGAATGGAACTCGACAACTATTCCAAAAGTCTCAACAGTACTCCCCACTTCCTCCTTACCCTCGCCGTCCCCGCCGGGCCGGATCACTTTCCCTACTTTGACATGCCCGGTCTTGCTCCCTATGTCGACCTCGTCCATCTCATGGGTTACGACTACCAGGGCAGTTACTTTTCCAACTTCTCGGGCCATCAGGCGAATATTTACAAGAGTGAGGATAACCCCAAAAGTACCGACTTCAGTACCCAAGATGCCATGGACTACTATCTGAATACCGGACATTGGGATCCGCACAAGCTCACGCTGGGAATGCCGCTGTACGGACGCGCATTCGCAAACACCACGGGACCCGGCCAAAAATTCGACAATGCGACGGATGGAAGCTGGGAAAATGCCATTTGGGACTACAAAGCTCTCGCAGGCAACTCTTCCTTTGGAGAAATCCACCACGATGAACACATCGGAGCGAGCTGGTCTTTTAACCAATCCAATGGCTACATGGTCTCCTATGACACTCCCGACATTGCCCAGCAAAAGGCTTCGTATATTGATCAATTGGGCCTCGGAGGCGCCATGTGGTGGGAAATTTCGGCCGATACTCCTGTCAATGGCAGTACGAGTTTGATTCGCACTGTGACGGATCATTTGAGGAGGTGTGGAGGGTTGGAAATGTGTGGTAATGTTTTGGATTATCCGATGAGTAAGTATCGGAATTTGAGAGCGGGTATGCCCGGGCAGTGATGGAGTGTACTTGTGTCTGTCTGTCTGTCAGTGTCTGTCAGGATGGTTGGTGGTGGGTAGGCGCGGTGGCAAGAAGTGAAGAATACAAGTGTATTTATATGTTCGGTGGTGAATCCGGGGGGGGGGACTATTTAGCTATCTAAGGCTAAGGAGCCCGGAGATTGATGGCGGTTTTATCATCGGGCATCGTATGCATGCACATAAGACGAACGAATTGATGTCCTGTATGTTTGCTATTGATTAAACAAGTGTACCTAGTAGGTTTGGCTTTTCTGCATGCTGGCATTACTTATTTATTGCTCTTTCTCTCTCTCTCCTTCTCCGACCCTTCAATCTCAATATCAATATCAATATCAATATAAATAAGAGTAAGCAGTAAAAAAAGAGCATATACAAGCAGCTGTTGTTTGCGCCAAGCAGCTGCTATCATAAACAAAAAAGTCACCATACACATTTTTGCTATGGGCAAAAATAAAAAAAGAATAATATTATTCATCAATCAATCACTGGGTATCGAGGTTCGCAAATTTGAGAGAGGAAAAAAATAAAAAAAGCACAACTCTTTCTCTCGCGACTTTTTCAAAAAAGGATTTCCACCGCCCTCCCAAACTGGACGGCCACTCATCCCTGCGGTGGCCTCAGCCTGTTCCAGTCCCTCCCTGTGCACAATGTGGAATGTCTGATCAGATCAAAATGTCTTCATCGCAAATGTCCATCGATACTTCCACCCAAGTTTCGCGCAGTATGCCACTCGTCCTGAAGACTGAGAACCTCGACTCTCATCCTCATGCGTCATGCGCCATGCGCCATGATGCCACACGGTATGTTGCCGTCATTGGCACAATTAAAGCCTGTTGAGAGAGATTCATGGGGCGCATTGACTAAGCTCCCCTCCTGATCGCTCGTGGACAGATCTTGTGGCGAGATGCGGTATCGTTGGCCGAATCGTAGCCGGGCTTCTCTCCCGAACTTTTCCATGATTCTGAGCTTCACCATGGCTGAAGCGCTCCTCATAGTTGCAGCAGTACAGCGTCTGGCTGATGGGAGCCTCCAATCGAGGCATCTCGTGCATGGTGTCAGTCATCCATGTGTGCGAATGATGCGTGCAGATTTAGATCCAAGGCGACAGTGTCGAGGCGATGATGACAACACATTTCTGTGGAAAAGCGTGTCACGACACCCAACTCCGTACCACCGTGGACCCCCATCAATCCGGTTCGATACCTTCATCTATCTTTCCCGGTACACCCACTGCACCTTCCATGGTCGCAGCAAAGCCTTCCGGGCCTTGCTGCGGCCGATGCGTCGTCTTGTTGGGCGACTCCCTCGACGTGCCATCGGCATGGGCAGCGTGTGCCCCATCGGAGGGACTTGGTTCAGTCTTGGTGAGATTGTGTCGCGGCGATGCAGAGGCCTTGCTCGCCTTGTCGCTCTGTGCAGACTGGACGCTGTGTTGAGACGGCGTACGAGGAGACACACGGCCGTTCTGTTCGTGCACCTGTCAGCAACGCTCAGCTTTTTGGTAGGGAGAGAGGGCAAAGGAGACGATGGACTTACGAGTTTCGCCCAACGAAGACCACAGCTATTGCACAGATCTCTCTGGCCGCTGGGTCCCCTTCTCCATTCCGGAGTGACGCGAGTGTGACAGTTGGCACAATCTTTTTGCTGGTTACCGGCACCTTTTCTCCGCTTCCGCTTCTTCTTGGCCGCAATGAGTGATTGGACCTCTTCCGCGAGCATGCGGTTGCGTTTCTCGAGTTGGCGGATCTCATACTGCCACGATGAAGACTTGGTGGTCTTGAGCTCGTCAAATAGATTGTCGTCCGAAGCCAATGTCTGGTCTTGATGTCCAATCAACAGGCCATTTGCGCCAGAGTACGTGGTGGCGGACTCGTTCGTAGTACGGTACATGTTAGCAGAGCCATGCGAATTAGGCGTATCATTACCATCTCGCAGTGCGGCACTGGTCTGCAGCAGACCCATCGAGTGCGACGATTCCGAAGAGTCCTTTTTCGTGGTTATGGGAGGTCGACCGCTGGTGTTACCTCGCGAGAACTTGATCAATCTGGTTTGTGCCACGATAAAAGTCGGTTTCTGGCCCTCGACAGCATCACCCGGGTAGAGTGTGGTGTATGCCGACAACACTTGGCCCCTTCGATTGATCATCTCGTGTTTGACAGATGCCTTCTTGCCTGTCCGTGCATGTTCGAGGATTCTGCCAAACTCGGTCTTGGATTCGGTTCGCATGAGCGACTGGATGCTGACTCCAACAAGCTCGTCCGGTTGTCGGTCGAGCAATTGCCTCACGTTAGACGACACGAACAAAAACATTCCCGATGTGGACATCTTCGTCCACAGCTCGTGTTCGCCAATGCCACCGGAAATGCCAATCTCATTCTTGCTGAGAGCATAGACCGGTCGTTCGCGGCCCACCATGATGATCGACTTGCGGCCTTTGCCTTGTTCCGTATGCAGCGAACCGTGCCCTTCGAACCACATGTACCCACTGAGCTTGCGGCGTATGCGGAAGACCACATTGACGGAAGCTCCAGTGGAGGTATCCTTGAGTTCTCTCGTCACCGGCACAATATCGCTAGGATGACAGACAGAGCTGAGTGCGGTGCCGATGATCTCGCTGGGCTCATACTCGAGCACGCGCAGTGCTGAAGGTGAGATCCATTGAAAGAGCCCCTTGAGTGACAGCACATGCACGACATCGTCCGTGTTCTCGAGCAGTACCTTGTCCCACATGCGCTTAGCGTACTCGGACTCACCACTGCCAATGGTGCTGAGAATGGCCGACACGTCGTCGCGGGGCACCGTCTGTCCCGTCTCTGCTTTCATGGAAGGATCCGGCGCATTCATGACATACCGAGGCATGGTCATGCCGCGTTGATAGTTGATCGAATACGATCCGTCTACTTGACATGTCAGTGAGATTGAAAATTGAAAACGACGAGCCCAATGCGGCGGAGGGAGGGTGCAAGTGCCCCAGGTCAGAGGTTCGGACGTACCTGGATTTTTGTTCGTCACCGCATTCGGCTGTTCCACAAGATCGACCTGGAAACCAACGAAGAACTTCACTTGGTCAGAGTCCCATGTGATGGGGATCATGGTGAGTAGGTTCATAAATGGTTGACCTCCCCTCCGGTAGTTGATGAGCGAGATCTGGGCTTCTCGCCGCAGATTGACCATGTTTCTCAGGTACAGCACAGAGTCATCATCCACATACTTCCGCCTGATGCCAGGCACCACGTTGCCGTCGGGTGATTGCAGGAATCGACAATTGCGGCCCAGAATCATATGTTTCGTGTAGCCTGTCAAGCGTTCGAAGTTCTCGGAGCAGTAGACAATGGGAAAGTCGTCCTTTTCAGCGTCACACACCACAAAGGCGCATGACAGATCGACCGATCCGATGTTGAGCTCGGGGTTGGGCCGCGTCGCAACCCGCATCTATCACACGTTAGCTGGGGAACATGACCAGGGTGTGAATGGAGGGGGAGGGGACCCACCAAAACGCCGAGCATATCAAATCCGGTCGAAGAGTACGCATTCTTATAGACAGACTGCATATGAGGCTTGCCGACCATGGTCGACGGCCACCCTCCTTTGGGCATTTCCCATGGAAAATTCTGGTTGTTGGGATTGTAATTTTGGGCCTTGACAGGCACGGGTCCGTTGACGCCGTCAAGCTGGCGGTTCATCCCGCGATCTTCACTCGAGCCTGGAATGGGATGCTGAGGCTGTCCTGCGAAACCAGCATTGCTACCCGTGTTGGACGTGTGGGACAACGAACTTTGTAAAGGCGGCCGGGAGGAGTGCACAGATACCGCCGCGCTCATCGGCGACGCCCCATGTGGAGACGAGCCATGGGCAGGGCTACCGAGATGATCTGGAACCTGCAGACTTTGCGTTCGCGACAATTGTCGACCAGCTGCGGGCTGAGGGGCGGCCAGAGTACCATATTGGGAGTGCTGGCCACTGCCGCCTCCAGGATCATGAGAGGATAATCGCCCTGATTGTGGCGTCACTCCGCCTTGCTGCTGCTGCTGTTGTTGCTGCTGCTGTTGAGAGGGATGAATGGGGGAGCTGAAGTTGGATGTATTGAACTGTGATTGGTTGTAAAGATTCATATGCATCGGGTCCTGACTCAAGGCGGAGCTGAGACCATTGGCATCGACCCCATAGTCGTCGATATTCATGGTCATGCTATTATCAATGTACGGACTGGCCTGCATGGCACTCATATCGATTGTCGCGGAAGCGTGGGCCGGAGAGGTGTCCATGGCAGAATTGGGAGCCATCATCGAAGTGTAGTTCTGCTGGCCATTTTGAAAGCTGGTATCGAGCGACACTTCTCCACCGGACAGCCGCCGACTGGTTTGCGTCCTTCGTGGTTGCTGGCTGCTGGCAGCAGGCGTAACGGCTCCCGAAGCAAATCCAGTGCCATCCATGCCTCCGCTAGGGTCATACTGGAAGCTGTTCATGGATGCTGCGGGCGAGTTCGCGCCATAGTCCATCATCGATATGCGGCGCATGTCGGGGGTCAGATGGTGCGGACTGGCGTTGTAATTCTGGGCCATGGGCATACTCTGCCGTCGTATCATCTTTGCATTCTGACTGACAATGTCGTCCAGTGTCTGGCCGCCCACCATGCCGCCCGCCATTGCACCCATACCATCTGTGCCCATCATCTGCATGACATTCGTTGCGCCGTCATCGTGGTGCTGGTCCGCACTGTAACCGCCATTGTAGCTCCCGTAGCCGTTCATGGTGAGGGGATAGTAGTGGTGGTGGTGGCGGCGGTGGTGGTGACGGCGGTGAGGGTGGTGGTGGTGGTGGTGTGGGTGCTGATACTGGCGTTGCTCGCAATGGCAATAGAATCGGTCAGAAGTATGCAGGCGTCAATGCGGACGGTGAGTGGTATGCGATTTGCCTATGCTCTATCCGCCCGCCGTCCTGTCTGCAGCGCCTTCGCGGCCACAATGCCGCCGCGGAAGGAGTGTTGCAGCGTGCGACGCCAGCTTGAACTGCGTGCGCGCGCAGCTGGGGTTCGATGGTGCCTGTGCCCGAGCCGTCCTGTTCTGTACTGCGCGAAGTGGCGCGGTACTGGAAGTGGAGGACGTGATGTGATGATACCACCGGTTTCCCAGGAACTCGGATCGGGGTAGAACGGCGCGCGCACGTGGGCTGCACTCCGCAGACTCCTTGCCTTCCACTGCCTGTCCTCGCTCGCTACTGATGATATCGTACACCGTCGTCCTCGTCGTCGTCGTCGTCGTCGTCACCAAGACGACCTTCTTGGCAAGCGGGTAGGGTGCCGGGCGCCGGGGGCCGTATGTTGCGGGGGGGCCGTATATCTTGGGGATGTTTCGCCGTCGTCGTCGCCGTGGTGGTGAATAAACTCGCTACTCGCAAGGGGAGTGCGCCGTGGCGGTCCGGTTGAGGTAAAAATGGAGGTGGTGAGGGCGGCGGCGGTGATGGTGATGGTGGTGGTGGTGGTGTTGGTGGTGGTGTTGGAGGAGGAGGAGGAGGACGAGGAGACGTTGCTGCCGCTCAAAGACGGTCTTGGACAAGAGCTGTGGGACGGTGGAGAGCAGAGCAGAGCAATAGGTTAGAGCATGCATGCATGCACCGCCGCTAGTCAAGTGCCTTCTCTGGGCAGCCACCAGGGCAGCTAAAGTCTGCTAGCTTGCCTGCTCGTACACACTCCTGCGTTGCTCACGACTCTGCGCGCCACTCGCTCCCTCGCTCGCCGACGACGACTGATGATGATGATGATGATGATGATGACAGCGGCGGCAGCGCAGCGCAGCCTGGGTCCGGTCCTTCGTGCACTGCGACTCCTCTCGGTATGGGTAATGGATGGATATACGAATAGCACAGCACAGCACACAGTACAGTAGGTACGAGCGCGGGCGAAGAAGCAGGTCCCAGGCGTGTAGATGTAACGACAGTGCTACCGTCCGCACGTGCTCGGCGTCACGTCAGCGGCCTATAGTGGCAGCGTGTATGAGTACATGTACTTATATACATGACCGCAGGCTGTTGCAGACAGCACATGGATGGGTTCCGTTGTGTGAAACGCAGCACAACAGCAGCAGCAAAGCAACGACACGGGCAACAGGGCGACAGGGCGACAGGGCGACAGGGCAACAGGGCGACGGAGCGTAGGGCCAGGGTGCAGGTGGACCGAAGCTGTGGAAGAGTCAAACAGCGAACCTAAAAAGCCTCTTTCTGCAGCGCACGAGGTCAGCAGCATTGGAGGTAGGTGCAGAGTGTGCAATGCCCCCATTCCTGACCTCTCTCACCCTCTCTCACCCTCTCTCGAGGAGGTACTTGTAAGTGCCCGGTGACGGTCAGGTACCTTTCACATCTCACATCACCATCCCCGACGGCTGATCCCAAGGTGAGTACAGGAGGTACTTCCTTCATCATATACCCTAGTAACCCTACTACCTCCTACAGGTACAGTGGCGGTATCTAGGCTTCGGATGGAAAAGGTAGCTCGAGCAGCTTGCCATCACACAGTTCACACAGTTCACACAACGGCCGCATTGGGCAGCTCGACCGGGCGACCGAGATGCTCCATGGTGTTGGAAACGACGGGAGAGTGTGAGAGGCACGAGAAGCGCACTTAGTCATTGATGACGCTGGTCGTACCAACAACCGCCACATGCCACGGTCCACGGTCCACGGTCCACCCACAGTCCCACACACCCACCACATACACACAGCTACACAGATAATAATAATAAGGTAGCTGTAGCCTGTAGGAGGTAGGCTACTACAGGCTACCACCGACATGAGACCTGCACTCGGGACACGTGTGCCGTCGGCAAGGCTGGCCTGGCGGACGACGTCCGAGCCAGGCGCTGCTAGGCTGGCCCTCTCGCTATTGGCATAGTTGACGAGGCGGCGGCCTCGGGATGCAGCCAGCCTCCCGCGCAATGATGGTGGGAGCCAATAGGCGAGCGTTGCATCCCAGCATCCGGGATAGCATGTCCAATGATCCCAAAATGATCTGCGCAGGCGTCTCTGTGGGAAAGTGTCCAGTCATTCACACTCACTCTCAGCATTCAAAAACTCTCACAGAAAAACCGACAGATGCTTGGCATGCACGTATGACCATCTCTCTGTGGAGTCTGTGGATGATAATACCTCCTACATGTACCTCCCGTCCTAATAATAATAATCATCATCATAACATCTCACACACGACTCGTGGGAAATTGTCGGGCGGGAACACCTCATATACATACAGTAGACATTGTCATGTTCTGGACCGCTAGGTATGCTTCCATTACCTCACGTGTGTGTACCTGTAGCTGCTGTAGCATTACATACAAGTATGATTCTTCGCCCCACACCACGACTTACATGTACCTACCTACCTTACCTGACCTACCTTACCTTACAATAACTTATTACATACCTGATATATGAAATTCCCCTTCCGCCCCGGAACCGCGGGCGGGCCAAACGGAAAGACAAAGACGAAAAAAACACGGCAGCAGAGTATTCGGCATATCAGTCTGGACCTGGACCTAGACCTCTACCTTTTACTCAAGATAGATACCTTACCTATCAGGTATCTACCTATCTCCCTATCTATCTATCCACAGTAGGTAGGTTCATATGTTATGTCCGGTAAGGTAAGGTAAGGTAAGGTAAGGTAAGGTAAAGTAGTTATCACCATCCCAGAACCAATATTTCCTAATCCTCCTCCTCCTCGTCCTCCTCCAAAAAAGAAAAGATTGTGAATTGTGATGAATGTTTCATCTTTATTCTTGTAGGTTGTTACCTAGGTAGGTAACCTTTTGAAATATTTTGTAGGTAAGGTAAGGTAAGGTACCCTACTTGCTTGGTCTCTTGCTTTCTTGCTTGCTTGACACCCAACTGCGGAATACAGGCACAAAAAGGTATCTTAGGTAACCTAGGTAAGGTATGTAGGTAGGTATGTATGTATGTATATCGGAAAGTTTCCAAGAAAAAAAAAGACAGGAGAAGATTTTATGTTTGTGATTAGGATAAGATAGGGAGTAAAGTGTCTATCTACCTTATCGAGTTACCTTTTTGCAGAAAATCTAATCATTGATTTTATGTTTTTTTTCTCGAGGAGGAGGAGGAGGAGGAGAAACGACGGGATTGGACGGACTTTTCATTACAAGCAAGCAAGCAGGAAAACGGGAAGGAAGAAAGAAAGTCAATTGTAGTTCTTATCACGGTGATTCAATAAAGTGTGAAGAGATCTATAGTAAAGGAATATATTGACTAGAGGTAGGTAGGTAGCTAGAGGTAGAGGAACAGGTAAGGTACATAGGTATTGGCAGAGCCCGATGATCCGGGGTTGGGGTTTACATGTTTCTATGTAAGGTATGTATGTATCTATTGGATGCACACTGAGGTACCTGACCTAGGTATCTTATCTTACCTCACTGCACAAACTCCAGAAACGGGACATGGTGCACCTCCAATTCCTTGACGCCATCTGCGAACAAATGGACATTGTCTTTGAAGATGCTCGTTTCCCTAGACGCAAAGATTCGTCAGTGTCCGGTGAATTAGAAAAAAGGGCAAAAAAAAAGAAAAAAAAACATACCGAAAAGCCATATGCTTCTCCACACTCTCCCACCCCAACACCAAAACCACAGCAGTACCACTCACACCCTCCGTACTAAGTGATTTGACATCACTCTCATGCGAAACTCCCGCCGCAGCACCCCAAAACCCATCAATTTCCTTCCCCGCAGCATTCACAATATCCCTAAATTTCAACACATTCGCTTCCGGGGTCGTAGCAGTAGAAGAAGGGTCAAAGTAAAAAGTCGCAACTTCCGTCACAGGGGCAGATGCAGTAGCTTTGGTGAATGTGTCCGAGGGCTCAAAGTCGACGTGGAGCATGCCTGCGGGTCCGGAGACGACGGAGAGGACGTGCGCGAGAAAAGGTTGGTATTCTTCCGTTTTCATAAAGGTTTGGTGGGCTGTGATGTTGTCCCATGCTGTATTATGATGATGATGGTTAGTATTGCAGAGCTTGGAAGTTTGTTTCGTTCCGGTTGAGGAGAAAAAATAAAGATTTAAAGAAGAAATAAATAAATAAAAGGAAACTTTGCCGGGACCCGCGATTGGGCTTTTGGTGATTGTCGTCGGGGTTGTTTGTTTGGTATGTATGTGTTGCCGCACCGCAGTGGCTGGGAAAAGGGAAAAACACCGAACTCAATTGCGAATAGGAGAGAGTATGTAGGTAGGTGGCTGGCTCGCAGCTATTGTTTGAGGGGAGAGAATTAAAAAAAAAGAAAAAAAGAAAAAACCTAAACTTACTCACGAACAACTGAAAAAAATCGGGTTTCTCAATCTGCATTCCAAACTGAATCTGTTGCACACCAGGCGTCACCTTCAACTTATCCCCAATAGCCTTTACAACTTTTGCAGCCTCATTCTGCGCATCTCCAATATTCGAGCCCGCCTTGAGCTGGCACTGGAAGATCTCCGTAGTAGGCATTTTCTCCAAAAAAAAAATTGTTCAAGAAAAAAGTGTAATAATGGATTTGTTGCTTTTGGTGGAAGGATGCGGGAAGTTTGGTCTTTCGAGTCAGGTCAGGCCAAGGCAGGATCCGTTGCGGCTGTTTGAGAGAGCAGTCTGGGAGTAAGTGCCTGTTTGAGGTTTGTGAGCTTGAGCTTGTTGAGCAGGTGAAACGATATCACACGCTTGTGGATGGGGAGGAGCAGGAGATGATGATGATGATGTAGGTGTCAAACAAAAAGTCAGTCGTGCACATAACAACCTAATATAGTATATGCCTTTTGGCCTAGGAGGTATGTGTGGTAAGATACCAGGTATTGTTGATTTCTAATTGCCCCACGATAGCTCGAGTTGGACAGCGGCTACTTGTTCATCAGGTGATGTATTTCCACTCTGAGGGGGTTTAAGGCTGGTCTGGATTGTATTTTGCCTGAGATATACCGTAGAGGCAGTGAGCCTCCAAGGGCGTCGATAGGTACAAGTAATGTAGTATGATGTCATGTGATGTAACAAGAAATGTTTGAACCACACACTACACTATCGCCCAATTGAGCAGTGATGAACAGTACTACATGTACCTGAATTAATAAATTACATGTAGTATTATTCACTTACCTCCTTGTATCAAAGGCAGGCAGAGGGAATGAGTTATCGACAAACAAAAACAGAGCCGAACAGTACCTAGGCACGCTGGAGGCAGGATACTCATTCTATCTCACACAACATACAAGCAGCATATGTATGTGCACATAGCTATCGAAGCAGAGTCTGTGTGCATAGTGCCCCATCAATCACCTTCAGCTTCACAACGTTAAGCCTCCAAACTCCTCCTCGATATCATGTGCGTGCGTGACACCCTCAGTTGGGCGATGGCTTTGGCCCCCGACATTGGCACCGCACTCTGGACACAGGGCGAGCTGCATGGGCATGCCGCACTCACCCACAGTGAAGGGATGGCCATTGACGCAGCGATACCAGTGTCCGGTACCGCTGAACTCCTTGCTCATCGCTGTGACGACCATCCTCATTTCCGTGCTCGATATGCCGTCCCTCAGCATTCTACCGACCTCGTTAGCTTCCTCGATGAGGTCGTGCATCGGATTCGCCTGCCCTTCCCGGATCAGGTCGGGGCGTTCCCGTCGCATACGATCTCGCTGAGCCCTGCGCTTCTCGGCCTGCTGGTCGCAGGTCTTCATCGCGGCCTCCAAGTGTTCGGTCGCGCTCAGCCTCAGTGTGTCCATGCGATGCTGCCATCCCGGTTCCTCCGCCTCGTCCTTGTTGCCGAGGACACCACACTCAATGGCTGCGAATTTGGCCCAAAGAACTTGCGCCTCCGCCCTCTGGCGAACGTTCTGGCTCTCGTCCGCGTTGGTGATTAACTCCTCGCACATTACCCGGATCGCTGTAAGGTCCAATTGCAGGGTTCCTTGTGTAGCTGCGGGAGTCTTGTCGTGGACGCTGATGACATCGCCAAAGAGAATGAGATAGCTGCGAATCAGCAAGTTTGCAGCCTGCAAGTGCTCGCGCATCTGGAGCTCTTCGCTGCTGAACTGGAACTTGGCGATGAAGTCGGAGGTGCTTTGACGACGCGCTATCTCGACCAGATCGTGCACTCGCTGGTACGGCTGCTCCTCCTTGCTCAGCTTCTTCACAAAGTGGCAGATCTCTTCAATAAGCGCATGTATCTTGCGATAGCGCTTCGTCGTCTTCAACTGCTTGACCGCCTTGATCTGCGTCGTGACAGACCCGTGTAACTCGATGACTTGGCACGGCTTGCGCGGGAATTCCAGCGAGTCTTTCAATTCACCATCGATGTCGGCCAAGCGATTAGCCAGTTTCTGATGCTTCTGATGCGACCAAGCAGTGAGCTTCTTTGCGCTCTCGTCAAGCAAAGCTCGCCTAACGATACGGCCATAGCGGGCGAGACTGCGCAATGAGCCGCGGCATTCTGGGCAGGGCTTCGATTCGTTGAGAGAGAAGGGCTCAGCTGAATCCTTCAGTCCGATGTAAGCTCTGGTCAGTGGGTCGATTTCATAGTGCTCGTACATGCCCATAGTCCCATCGAGGGAGTCGATGGTGAAGACATGTCCGCACGGCGTGAAGATGCAGGGGTCTTCGTCAAGGTCAACGTCCTTGTACGAAGTGAGCATGAGCAAGTCAGCCTGCATCTCTTTAACGTGGTCACTGCCGTGTTCCTGGCAGAACTTCGTGTCCGGGCAGTCTTCTCCGCAAACTGAGGGGCATCGGCAGCCGCAAGACAGAGTCTTGTCGCATCGCTTGGAGCACGGGATCCAAGTGCATGGAGCAGCGCATGGCATGGGGCAAGTCTCCGTGTGAGGGCATTGCAGCCCAGAGCTGCATTGTTCCTCCAAGCAAGGACTGCAGAACTCGGAGCAGAATTTACCGCACTGGGCGTGAGAGCAACGAGTTTCACACCTCGCGAGGCAGAGTGGGCATGGCTCTCCATCGTGGCAGGGGAAACAGCATCGATGATTGCACGTATTGTATCCACGATCACACTTCTGCTTGCATTTTCCATGGTCGGTCTTGCTGACTTTGCCGTCGTTGCGAGTCTCGCACTGGTGGCAAGCGTTTTGGCAAAGATGTCCACAAGCCAAGAGTTCACCGCAAGTAGCGAAGCAGCGGAACGCATTGTGATCGACGTCGATGTAGCAAGCGACGGTGATCTCGTGATGACATCCTGGGACCTTCTTTTTCACCAGCTCCTCGCACGTGATCACAGATGGATCCTGATACTGATAGCATGGCAAAGTGGTTTTCTCATGGCCACAAGCAAGCGTTATTTCGATGTTCCCAATGGAAACGTTGCAGTACCGATCACATGTATCACCGCAGGGCTTTGGGCAAAGATGCTCACATCCCTGCTTGAGCCTCGTGCAAGGTTTCATGCAGTAGACGGCTTGATGGAGCATGTCGGAGTGGCATTTCGCAACGCATGCGTGCCCACAATCCAGCTGTTTCTCGCAAAGGAGATTGCATCCTGCTTCAGGCGACAGACGCGCAAAATCGGCGGGGTTTTGAACGAGCATTGGTGTGTCTTGATGCCTAGGACAGCAGAGTTCCAAAGCTTCGCCTATATTGCCCTCGCTGCGAAAAATTTCAATGACATCGTGCCACATGGGAACGCTTTCCATAGTTTCGGCGTTGCCGATGATGTACATCCCATGTTGCGCCCGAGAAAGCAGTACGTTGATCCTGTTGGGCGTCTTCAGGAAGCCGGGACGGTTTTCAGCGTTGCTCCGCACAAGTGATACGATGACGACCTTGGCCTCTTCACCTTGAAAGTTGTCGATCGTGGCGAGGCGAAGGGCTTGATTCAGAGATCCTTTGGCTGCAGTGTTTGGAGCCAGAGCTGATGGTGCAAGGGAGGCCTCTTCAGAATCCGCACCTTCTTTCTCAAGCTCATCAATGTCTTTGTCATTCAGCATGAGGGTGTATGTTGTGCCGAACTTCATTCTGAATTTCCTTAATTGGCCGAGGTAGGGCGTGATGACGGCGATATCATCTGTATGGTAAGTACCTTGCTGGGCCAGATGTTTGACGAGAGCCGCAATCATTTCTACTTCATACGCGTTGGTCCGCGAAGTTGACTGCCCATTGGAGGTGTTGTCCTCAAGCTGCTCGTGGCGCATCCAAAATAATCGATGGCGCATACCGACAACCCCAGGATATGAGGAGACCGATGGATCGTCTTGCAAGTTTGGGTATTGTGTCTGGCGGACGAGTTGCGAGACTGACGGGTGCATGCGTCGCTGCACCTCCAAAGTGCAAAATGGTAGTGGTTGGGCCAGCAGATCTTGCGGTTGGACTAGTCGCTCAAAAAGCGAGACGTCGAGTGCATACTGGCCACCATTGTGGCTCTCTATTGACAAGTCGAAATTTTGTACTTGTGGGCGAAGTTGCTGGTGGTCGCCGATGAGTATGCAATGCTCGATCGACGGTAATATGGCGGTCAGCATGTGAGCTTCAAGGACTTCGCCAGCCTCCTCACAAACTAACACTTTCGGGTCGACTCCTTGGAGTAGCTCGAGATTACGAGCTAGACCACTAGTCGTAATGCCGATGATATTTGCTTGACGCAGGACACGAAGCTTCAGCTCTGTCCTGATTAAATTGAGCTTCTCTTTGGACTCGTCACACGCCGAAAAGGCATGACGAAGCTTCTCATGGAGTTCATCTTTCATCTCGACGACCCATGAATTGAACATCGTCCTGCGTTCGGCAACACTCATCAGGTTGAGATGGACATCGCGCAGCTCTGTGATCGAACGTGGGCGCCACGGACTATGGAGACCAGCCTTGAGCCAGACATCGAGGATTTCACTTCGTTGGTGCCTCACTAGAGAGAAGCCATCTTCATCGATGTTGCCAAACAATCGCTGATAGTGAGTCTGGTGGTTGTGGAGAAGGTGGAGTTCCACAGCCTCTTGGCTCCCAACGGAACGGAATGTCTCGAGCAGCTTGCTGATCTCTGCTGACTCCTCCTTCACCTTTTGGCTCAGCTCCCGATATTGAGACTTTTCTGTCTTAGTCTGAACGAGACGCTGGGAGAGTACCTTGAGATTCACGTCTTGTAGTCTCTCCGACTTGGAGCGGCCACCGATGCGCACAATCTCCGATACTCCGTCATCGACCAAGCGCTCGAGAATGGCATCCAGTGCATGATTGGTCTGCGTGCAGATGAGGATCGGACCGATGCAAGTCTTTTCCTTGTTGGCCAGCAAGATTCGAATTAACTGCGTTCCACAGTAAGATTTCCCTGTCCCTGGCGGCCCCTGAATAGCAGCCAAAGAGCGTGCAAGAGCGGAGATCACTGCGAGGGCCTGACCTGGGTCGAGAGTGGACTTTTGAGCCAGCTGGGCCGCCGTAACCACGATGTTGTCATCAAGCGAGAAGTACAACGCCTGGTTGTCAGAAGTAATACTCGAGAGATCATACTTGAAGCCGGGCTGAGTAGCATATGTAGGAGGCTGCACTTCCACCTCCCGATCTGGATTCTGTGGCGTCGAGGTTGGAGCCAGGATGTACGAGAACGGCATATCCAGGCTCTTACTGATGCGTTGCATGGCTTGCAAAGTGGGCTCAAAAGAAGGCAAAAGCACCCCGGGAAATTCGACGATTGACAGCTGAGCAAATGCTGTATTCCCGAGGGCTTCCGACAAGACGCTATGCGTATCGGACTGCTTAACGGGTCTGACCACGATATAGGCATGTTCGAAGTCGGATGCCAGATCGAATTCTTTCTGTAGCTTGGTGGGCTTCGGCCCTTGTGGAGCAACGACAAAAAAGGTCGCGGAGCCCTCTGAGCTGAGAAGACAGATGAGGGCTTCTGGGCCCAGTCTCTTGGAGGATTCCCACCACTCTTTTCGGGCGTCTTTGGACTGTTGGTTGTTGGCTTCGGGGCGTGCAAAGCGCATTGCAATCTGAATGCCGTGCTGCTCTTCAAAGGCGATGGAAACGATGTACACGTTCTCGTACACATAGGTACGTGCACCCGGACGCCTGGGTTCACTGGAGCCGAACTGACGTTCAGGATGCTGGAGCCTCTCGAGTTCGAGCTTCGCAGCATCTCGAAGCTGGCCGACGGTGTCTTCCCGCAACAGGCGGAAGTGACGATCCACCAGACCCAGGATGCCACCAAAGTGCCATTCCCGCGGATCTGCAATAGGAAGATATTCGTTACGGGCGTTCTGGATTTCTTCCAAGGTGGGCAGAATGGAGATTTGGTCAATATTCACATAGTCATTGTCATGTCTGCGACCTTCTTCTGAAAGCTCACCAGGCAGCTCCCGTGCAAGCTGGAAAGTCGCACGGGCGCCAGTAGGCCGTTGAGTGTCTTGGCGATCCGGCAGTGCTTGACCGATACCGAGTCGCTGCTGTAACCTGTCGAGATCCTTTCTTACTTTGTGCATAGCGAAGGTAGTGTTTTCTGGAAGACCGTCCAAAATCGCAGCAAAGGTCTCTACGATGGGAACCAAACCGGGATTGGCATGAGCGAGCGTGTTGACCTCGACTAGCTTTGAGAGGACCGCAAGAGTGAGTTCGAAGGCTTCAAACATGCCCTCATCAACTTCTCTTTCGCTAGAGCTGGCGTCCAAACTACCAGAGTTGGACAAATGCGCCGCAAGCGTGGCGAAGAGCACAATGACGCGATGGTCACTGCCATCGCCCGTGTAGATGATGTTGTAGACAGTGGTGACCTTGGCCCTCAGTAGAACAGAGGAGGTGACATTGGGATGAGTGAAGATCTTGAAGAAAGGCATGAGCTGGGCTTTCAGGACACGCGTGAGCTGACCCGGGGTGAAAGAGTCGAAAGGCTGCTGGAGGAGCTCATCGATGCGTAACATTCCGCCGGGGCTGGTGAGAAGTGTGACCATCTCTTGCATGGCTCCCACTTCGCCAGAGGCAAGCTCAAGCGCCTGCTGAAAGAATTTGCCGAGTGCAGGACCTAGCGAGCGGAAAGCAGTGGTCTGTCTAGGAATTTGCCAGCGAAAGTCCCTCAATCGTGCTTCTGAGGTGTCTGGTGTGTTGTCTCCTACGCCTGTCGCGCCGTTCGCGATTTTGAGATGGTCAATATCTTCGCGATCGTGAGAAAAGGTACAGGCCTGGCCTCTATAGCATTTCCCTTTGATGAAGTGTTGGCATGCTTTACGCTTGAAGTTCGGGTCGACGACATGGGCAAAGGTGCACTGGGCTCCTTTGGTGCATTTGCCCATCTGAAAGAACATGCATGGCCTGCGGCATGTCAGTGAGAGCAAATGAAGCAAAGCCGCGAAGTGGACTGACCGCATGCCGGGCGCCATACTGGCTGACAGCCGGCTGTGCTTCGCGCGGCGAGTTGACTGCCGCAACAGCGGAAGGTGGTGGAAGGTGGTGGGTGGTGCGCGTGCGGTGGCGCAGGTGTATGCGGTGTCGTGCTATGAGTGGGAAAAGAAATGAACTCGAGCGGAAGCAAACAAGCTTAGGGTGACTCATGCAGGGTGCCAAACCTAAGGTGCAGTGAAGTGCAAACGGCGAGTGTTAGTGACGCACAAATCAAACGTCAACCTGCAGCGGACAGCAGAAGAAAGGAGCGTAGACTCACATATGGAAGGGACGAGAATTGGTTCGAACGCATAGCGAGCGGCCTTCAAAGTTAGGTCTATGCGGCCACACAACGGATGACAGTCTCTTCGCCTAAGGTCTTACTGATCTTTGCATTTTCACTGACCTTCATCTCCATAATTGAACAGGCCACGCCGTTGTGCTCGACGCTGTTATGTATAGACTTCGTCGCTCGATATATTGGGTGTGAACATCCCAGAAATGCTATCTAGATGCTTCTCCGCATGGTCCCAGAGGGCCTGAGGTCGTTTGAATTTCCTGATGCGATGTTCGTACCTAAGCCGTCCGTCTCCTAGACAGAAGAGGCATTGTAAACGATTGCACTTCATCGGAAATTTCGGCTGGTTCTTGGTGTGCTCTGGTAGCGGATGTAGCGAATCAAAGGATTTCGAGTTGCAGACTTGGACTGCGCCATTCTTCGGCTCAAACCTCGAGCACATGTCTGCCATCATTTGGATAGCTTCCAACGTGTAGACAAAGACACAGGTATCCCACCACCCGTGAGCTCCGCCAACTTAGCTCGTTCAGGGGCTGGGATAGGTTTTGGCATGCTTATTGTAGGGCTGGTGTGCAGTTTCTGCTCTTTGTTTAATTGTGCCTCGATCAGAATATCTTCTTTCCCCACAAAGTACTTCTGACGGAGCTCCGCTTGTATTTGTGCCCGGTAAAACTGCTTCTTAGCCCGTTGCTTTCGCTTGGCCTCTGTACTCTTCTTGACGAAGTGCATCGGACTTGAGCGCCTTCCGGACACTCCTATATTTTGTTCTGATAGATTGGCATTCAGATGGCGGTTAGCGCTCATCGAGTTCAGCCTACGCAACATGGCATCGTCTGTGTCCTGGCCGCTGACCAGATTTGCAACATCCAAGGCGATGTTCTGGTCCTGGTAGTGCATTCTGTAAGTCCGACTCTCGAGGTGTCGTCGACAGTGCAGCTACAGAGGGCCAAGTTTCAAGGATATTAGTAATCACGCTGCCGTGCCCCAACTCTACCTCCGAGGTAGGAACAAAGGAGAAACTGGAGACACCGACATCGCAGCGTGGCGGGGCTATACCAACAGCGACTCGAAGAGACGACAACACCCACAGCCAACTGACTCAGGTAGAAATGTCCTCTTCACCAGAAACCAGTAATCATGCCACCACCCGCGAGGCACTGCTCAAAGCCTCCACACCCCCCAGCAAACACCTCTTTAGCACCCTCATCACCGCCAACCACATCCTCCACCACCACAATGTCGTCGACGCATACGGCCACATTTCCGTCCGCAACCCCCAAAACCCCAACACCTTCTTCATGTCCAAATCCCTCGCCCCCGCTCTCATCTCGTCCCGCGCAGACATTGAAGAATACCACGTGTCCGACGCCTCACCCGTAAATCCCAATGCCCCCAAGGGCTACCAAGAACGTTTCATCCATTCGGAAATCTACAAACGCTACTCCGACGTCCACAGTGTCGTGCACGCGCACAATGAAGCCGTTTTACCCTTCAGCATTGGCAGCGTGCCTTTGAAACCCGTCTATCATATGGCCGGCGTCATAGGCACACATGTTCCCGTGTTTGAGATTTCAAACCACTACAAACCATCCGATCATCTGCATTCTTTTCTGGTGAATAACGAACATCTCGGAGCGGGCTTAGCAGCAGGATTTCACCCGACGACGTCGCAGTTTGCAAAAGTCGGCGGCCTGATTAAGAATTATATCACTGCTGCTGCTTCTTCACCGCCGGCGGAGCCTGCGTTTCCGCCTTGTCCTGTGGTACTAATGCGAGGACATGGGTTTACGAATGTGGGTGCAACGATTGAAGACGCGGTATTCCGGGCAATTTTTACGTGTAAGAATGCGCAGATTCAGGCAACGAGTCTGTTGATGCAGAGCACGTTTAATCTGGGAGCCATTGCGAGGCAGTTTGGAGCTAAGCAGGAGAGTACTGAGCAGGCTCCGCAAGAGGGAATCAAGTTCTTGAGTGAGCGAGAGGCGGGAGATAGTTGGACGCAGATGCAGGGGACTGTAGAGAGGCCTTGGGGGTTGTGGTGTGAAGAGGTGAGGAGTGTGGGTTTATATCGAAATGAGGTGAGAGATGGGAGTGAATCATGATGAAAAGTACCAGTAGAGTGAAAGACCAAAAAGCAATGTATTCATCAAATCTTCTTTCTGGGCTGACACTCACCCTCCAAGACCTACCTTTCAACAGCAGCCACGATATGAGTAGACGCCTCCCTTGCGACCTTCTCATGTGAACTGGTTCATATGCTCACCGAAGTTCACAGCTCGAAAAAACCAGCTCGAATTTATAGAAAGAAAATCACTCCTCACTCCGTCTAGTACTTCGTTTCGTTTCGTTCTTGTCTTTTTTCTTTTTTTTTCTTTTGTGTTTTTCTTTTTATACCTGGTATTTATATCATTCCAAGTCCTTAGAAGTACATGTAGGTAGTAGGTTTACATAATCACCTAGGTAAGTGAAGACGACCGAAGCGACGTAGTTCGGACCCCTGTCTGTACTCTGAACAAGTTTAGTACCTGTCGAAGTAAATATATAGGTACCTAAGGTACCTGTAGGTACATTACCTTACCTTACCTGAGGTATGATATGCCCGGTCTTGCTTCCGTAGGTATCATTTATTCATTCATTCCCGTTTGTGACATGTATGAGTTTAGCGCTTTCTTGGAGACGACTTGCACACGAGAGCCAAGGTCAAATTCCGGAAGGGACACAGCCCGAACAAGGCCGTCATAAAAGTTAGTAGGTACAGGTAGGTGTTTTTTCGTGGCTACCGGACCTTACTTTACATTATGTACAGTACAATCCTCTGAACCCGGCCATGCGACCTTCCGTCGAGGTCACGATCGGATGGATTCAGCAGCTAAGGGGAAGATATTTTCAGCCTTGCGAAATGTTCCCGGCCGGACACAGACACACACACGCGCACACGCACACGCACACTTTGGGGGTATCTTTGACCGACGAGCACAAGAGGTGCGCATGTATTGGACCTGCCGGCCGGGACCCATTTTTCAAACCAAGCGCCATCGCCATGAATAGCAACGTCAGCCAGCAGTCCTGTCGCTGTTTACCAGCTCGTCTTTTTTGCCCATGTATCCAGTTTCGTTGAGAGCCACCCGTACTTCTAATGAAATCCAGCACCGCACTGAATGGTCGGCCCTCTCGTAAAGCGCCATGAAGCTGACAACTCCCCTGCCTGGAGCACACAAAGGGTCAGTAAACCTCTGCTTCGATGTCCCCTCGCGTCCAGGCACCTGAAAGGCATGCCCCCGCTTCTCATGATTCTTCTTGCACTCGAATGAAGTATGCCTTGGCCAGCTCGTAGGCAGACCAGCAGATAGCCGTAGAAGGCGCAGCAGTCACAACACGTGCCTTCATACCCCTGACGAAGCCATTCAGACCCTCTCTTCTCCAAATGATCTTCGCAGCTGGCACTAGACCTTTGCAGCTTCGGATTTCGGCGTCTGTAGAACTCCCTCTCGTCTGCAGCAGCGTCTTGATCACGTCCAGAGGCGTTGTAGCTGCTGCGGCGAACCCTCCTGCGATACCTCCTGCTGCACAGTGCGTTAGCGGGTCGTATCCTGGTGCGCGCCTCTTGGCGAAAACTTTGGTGAGCGACTCGTAAGCGGTGAATTGCAGGGCGGTGAAAGGTACGGTCATGGCGAGTGTGGTTGGGTAAGAGACGTAAAAAGCTCGTAGTCCCTCGGCTCGCCAGACCTGGCGTGCGCAGTCGAGGATGGATCGGTAGGTCGAGCCGTGGAGCTGCATGCGCTGCTTAATCACATCAAAGGGGTTCATAAAGGCATCGCTGGCAATTGTCGCGCAGGCGCCACTGGAGGCTATGCAGCTGAAGTGTCAGTAGCAGCACGCACGTCCGCATGTGTGAGGCAGATGGGGCGGGATAGGATGACATACCTGCGGCGACGGGATGGTGTCCAGACGCGTTACCGCCCATTGCTTGCTTCACCACCTCGTAGGTGGCGAAGTAGACTGCATGTGCAGGTCCTGTAGGCCAGTCAGATTTTGTCTCTCTCATGTGTGTTGTCCCTCATGTATATTGCGTGCGCACCTGCTCCCACGACCACGGATGAGACTCCTCGCCACAGCGCCAGGCCCCCCTCAGCTCTCGATATTGTCGCAATGGCATTCCCAATACCAGTGTATATCGCGGCGGGCGATGGGTTGACGACTTGCATCCGCGTCTGTTCCAGTCATTAGCGTCTCGTCGTGCGCGTCCGCCGAGTGCAGGCACAAGCATACCTTCAGCAGGTCGATCGGATACATGACCGAGTGTTCCTATCGCCTCTCGTCAGCTGCCTCGTATCCCTTCTGACTGCCCATTTGGCTCTCATTCTACACTCACAGCAATGCCCGCGAATGCGCCGGCGGCCATGTTGGCCGCCAGCGAGAAATTGGGCGGCAGAGACTCATAACTGCCAATCTGTTAGAGAACCGGCCGTCTGTCTCCTCGACTGATGTACTCGTGTGTAGAGGGAGGGAGTTTGGCATACTCGTATTCGTCCGCCTCTTCCAGTATCAGCTTGTCATGCGCCGCCATGGATTGGCGCGTTCTGTCGATTATCGTCTCCACGATTGCAGTCGATGTCGTGGGCGAGCCCGACATTCAAAAGGGCGGGACGATGGGAATCAAAGCGAGTCTGTTATCAGATGGGTAATTTGATCTGATAGCTCCGGAGCCTCGGAAGTCGTAGTCCAGAATTTGGGCGGTGCGCAGAAAACAAACAACAATGCGATGCTTGCTCGATTCAGTCTGTCGATGTGCGTATCTCTCCCAGGACAAAGAAGGGTAGCGGAAGGTGGAGCGAGGAAGTGCGCGTAGACGAAGATGTCACTTCGAAGGTGGTGATGAGGGCTGGGAGAATGGGTCTGAAGTAAAGTTTGTAACTATCTTTCTTCTGGCCTGCTCTGGAGTCTGGGCAAAAGAACAGCCGCGGTGAAGCATGGATAGTTCTAGCGCTCATCACCATCGTAGGTGGCTTTGCTTTTTATCAGGTACAGTCCGTACATGTATCTAACCTTCTACTGACATACCTAACCTCCCGTACTCGACTGTCCGCACTGCACTTCCTGGCTTTGGGAACGCCGGAAGACTGTGACCGTTCCTCTTCTCCGCTGTCCAACTGGTCATACGTGTAGCCAAGCACGGTCAAAAATTATTGATGTGAGCATCTCCGAGAGGATCTGACTAGGTGGCTCCACTAGACTGGGTAGCTATTCCCGCGATGTCGGAGTTGTGCGCTAAAGCAGTCCTCGCTGATCTATACTCGGACGGGGATAGGGAGTCGGTGCCGTGTCGAATAACCAGATTGGTGTGTGTGTTGCGCCCCTACAGCTCTATACCTAGGAGGTACCTAGGTAGTATGGCAGCTGTGAGCGAAGGAAGGGAGGAGAAGAGCAAATATGATCTATTGTACAAGTTCTGAAGACTGTATATGGGGGATAAGTATATAAGTTCTTTCGACAGATACATTTACTTACCTGGTACGCATCGAGCCTCTCAAGAGTTATAGTAGGTACAGCACCTGTTAGTCGTGCCTTTGCTCTATAGTATAGAGGTAAAGAGCCATATATAGAAGGGCCCCTAGGAGTATAGAAAATCTGTTACGAATACGAGGAAGTCTTTGCCGAGTGCTATACAGTTACTTCGCTGCCTGCTTTAGGCTTCACAGCAGCCTGTAGAGGTTTTATATCCAAGGTATATATACCTAGTCGCCCTATGGCCAATATAAGCAAAAGCTACTCGCTCCTGGTTTCTTCACGATCGCACCTAGCCGCTGGTTGTAAAGTATTATTCGACCTCTCCGACAGCATAGGGATTCAAAGTGTCATACTCTGGAACATGTACTATACCTTAACTGCCTGTCTTTGTGAATCAGATAAGCTCGTGAAAGGGCGGCGCCGGCACGCGGCCTCTCAAGTCTTCTGACAACGCATCGTACTGATCACAGGCTCCAGCTATTATCGCCTGTAACGTTTGCCATCAACATCTGTTTCTTCCTCCAGAACAGACACCTTTTCTTCTTCTTCCTGTCCCAATTGCGAGGTGGAGTCTGTATCGATCGCATCTAATTTTATCGGGAGACGCCAGCCGAACGGGACCAGGATTGGCACGTCCCACCACCAAAACACACGTCATTCAAAGCCAACAACTGCCTGTGCTATGTTCTGCTCTGCTACCTAGAAGTACCAAGGTATACTGATGACAGCAGCGCCATCGCACGTGTCGTCTCTGAAACGAACACGCAAACACCATGATGCGAAAGGCACCCGCGAACTCGATGCAGAAGACGTACGATGAGTGCTATCTGATCTGCTCCACAGCCATTTACTTCGAGGGCCAGGTGCGTAGTGGTAGCAGCCATGAGGCTGCGCTAGCCGTGTTCTGTTTACCAGACAACTGATGACGGCGAGTGCAGAACAACGAGGCAGAGGCATTGCGCGCCTGGCGCAATGCGCTCGATCAGATCTACTACCACAATGCCTACAAGATGCCTTCCAACTATAGTCCAAAGAGCGAGACGGAAAGGGCGTTGGCCGACTCCCTCAAGGCCATGGAGGTGCAGTGCAAAGAGCGAGTGGACTTGCTGGAGGCCTTGAAGAAGAGCAGACTGGAGGCCGCAAAGGCGGACAAGGAGGCACAGGCTGCGGGCGTGGCAGGTCCCAGTCACGGGAGTCTTTTCCGCAGTCGGGAGTCTCTGGAAAGAACTACCACCACGGGCACCAACTCCAATGGACAAGGCACGACTTGGCTGGGAAACAACACGGTTCCTCCAGCGACGTATGCAAGCATCCCGCGACCTCCACCAACGCCCGAGCGAAGACCGCCCGTCCAGCCTGCACGACCTTCGTACACGACCAAGAAGAGCAGTCATGCAAAAGATAGTCCGCGTAACATGAGTCTGCAGTCTCCAGCTGCAGCAAGCCCGCTCGTGACACCTTCTGCAAACGCGAGCAGCAGTGATCGGCCTCGGGATAGGACGCCGAGTCCCGAGAAGAAGAACGGCATGCTGAAGACACTGCGATCTGGCAACGCCAAGGAAAGCAGGTCGTCCTCGTCGAAGATGACAACTACGCTGCGAAGTCGTCCTCAGCCCGCTGCAGCGAGTGCGGCTGCTCTGAGCTGGACAAAGCCAGCCCAGCAAAACACGAATGCTACAGGACCCAGCAAATCGATCACCACGTGGGATCCCTTGACACGGACTCTTGTTCGTGGAAACTCTTCGCAACAAGATGCTCATAAAGCCTCGGACAATTCATACGTACACCCGCCAAGCCCTTCCGACTTTCAACATGGAGGCACCTCGAACCCGTTTGCCAACTTTGACTCAAGCAACGAAGTCATTGCCAGCATGCCGCCTCCACCGCCTCCCCACAGAATCACTCCGCCCACCCCAGCTAGTGAACCCCCAGCCACGCCGAGCAGCATGGCAGATATGCCGCCGACATCACTCTCTTATATGAAGGAGTACCCGAACAACCCACCTATAGCTAAGAGAGCACCGCCTCCGATCCCTTCGAAGCCAAGTGACGGGCGATCAGCCTCGGATGGGGCGGCCTCAAGAAAAGCCCATCGCATCATCGAGTCTAGTCAAGCTGCGACGATTCCGCGAAAAGCAGTCGGTAGGGCTACTGCGACCATTGAACGGCAGAAATTAGATAGTGTTCAGGCGCAGCTCAGCAGTCGCGCTCGACAGGATTCTCGAGCTGGACCTGCTGGTTATCTCAGCAGCAGTCCTGATGCCGTACCGAAACGCAATGCAACCAAGAAGAAGATTGAAGGCAGGACAGTTCCGGCGCGGGCCATGACACCGCCCACCACAGATGATGCCGAGGGCGATTCTGATAACCCTGGAACACCAAGCGAGAAAGATGCGTTTGAAGCCCGCGTCAAACAGATCATGAAGAAGCTGCCCAAGGGCGTTGACGAGGCTGCCGCAAAGCAGATATTCAACGAGATTGTTATACAAGGAGACGAAGTTCATTGGGACGATGTGGCGGGACTGGAGATTGCTAAATCTGCTCTGAAGGAGACTGTGGTATACCCATTCTTGCGTCCGGATCTGTTTATGGGCCTTCGAGAACCCGCGCGCGGCATGCTTCTGTTTGGACCCCCTGGTACTGGCAAAACCATGTTAGCTCGAGCAGTGGCGACAGAGAGCAAGAGTATATTCTTCGCCATTTCAGCTAGTAGCTTGACCAGCAAGTTTCTCGGCGAGTCGGAAAAATTAGTTCGAGCCTTGTTTGTGTTAGCAAAAGAGCTGGCTCCCTCGATCATCTTCGTGGACGAGATTGATTCGCTGCTGGGGTCTAGAGGTGGTAGCAGTGAGCATGAGGCCACCCGAAGGATCAAGACGGAGTTCCTGATTCAATGGAGTGATCTACAGAAGGCCGCTGCGGGAAGAGAGACAACCGATGGTGATGCCTCTCGCGTGCTGGTCCTCGCTGCTACCAACTTGCCGTGGGCGATTGACGAAGCCGCGCGGCGACGATTTGTGCGACGAGCATATATTCCACTTCCGGAAGGTTGGGTGCGGGAGAAGCAGCTTCGCACATTGCTCGCCGCTCAAAAGCACAACTTGCGAGACGGAGATTTGCAAGTGTTGGTTGCACTCACTGACGGATTTTCGGGATCGGATATTACGGCACTTGCAAAGGATGCCGCTATGGGTCCTTTGCGTTCCTTGGGCGAGAAATTGTTGCACATGTCACCCGAAGACATTCGACCGATTGGGATGCAGGATTTCGAAGCATCTCTCGTGAACATTCGTCCTTCAGTCAGCAAGCAGGGACTGAAGGAGTTTGAGGACTGGGCGAGGGAGTTTGGTGAGAGGGGAGGATAGATGGTGCTTGCTATCAGACCCTAAGTCTCTTGGGTATACATAGTGGTACTGTGCTTCCCACCCCCCCATCTTGCCCATGACGCAGATGGGAAGCACTAAGTGGGCATGGACGGCGGTATAGGGAGCATCGGTACACATCAGGAGGCGTGGAAGCAAGACGGCCACGAGCGTGGAGCGATAGGACGGCAGCGCTTTGTATGATTGAACTTGACTACATTGAGATACCACGATGAATTTGGGAAACGAGTTAGCAGCTCGACGAGGGCAACAGTCTGATGTCCTTGGTCGGTGTCTTTGTTCCATATATGCTTGGCGATAGTGGGTGGAACAAGACGGTGAGGTGCTGTGCAACTTTGTAGCGTAGGGTACCTTGAGGTTGTTTGCCACTGGGGAGGGGCCATTCTCTTGGCTGTCGTGCAAGGAGGATCCCCATCAGGCTATTCCTAGGTCACGTAAGGTATCTACCGACCTCTTGGCTCTTCCAAGATAGTCTGCACACTCGCAGGTCAAACAAGTGACGAGAGAGCGACAGGGGGGAGGGGAGTCGGAAGTCTGCCGATTCGGCATTTTCCCTTGCCTACCTGACCTACCTCATGTACTTGTACCTTACCTATACCTATATGTATATGCTAACGCGCGCCTGGCCTTACACACACACAAGAGATGGTAGTACGTGGACAGTTACAGGGAAGAAGGTCTCTGGTGTCTCTCCATACACGCCTCACATATAGGTTTTTTTTTAAGTATGCGCCACAGATGTTACATCGTCACATGCCCAGACGGCGACAAGAAGTGGTTCCCAGTTTGATCTGGTTTGAGACAGGTATTTAGACTTTCTTCTTCTCATTGTTTTGACCAAGTCCTTCGCGCCAACTGGTCTACCTGAAGTTGTCTTTTTGCAAACTGGCGTTAAGCATGACCTACTGCCATCCTTATCTCCGTAAGTGGCTGAACATTCCGTGGAGTCGTGGACGGCACGGGCTACCTTAATCGAGCCGTAGCCGACTAATCCCCTGGTTTGGCAGAAGCACCTACCGATCCAACCTGCCTCCTGGAAGTCAGGTAGTAGGTAGGTATCCAATCGACAAGTCCTTGGCCCGTAGGAGGTGGGAAAAGGGAGGGAAAGGAAGAGGCATTTCACTTTCACTCCACTCCAGGAGGATTGCCGTCTATTCCGTGGTTCGTGCAAGACACCCCGAGAGACTCGGCACGATACTTTATCCACTTCTTCTTGGTACTCCGCAATACATTACGAATACTACAAGTACTGGTACTGGTACTGGCTGAGCGCGACAGACATCAGCCTACCTGCTACTGACCTCCCTACTTTGCTGCCTACCTATCTATCAATACCTACCTGCGTGCGCAAACCACATACCGTACACCGGATACTCTTTGCTGGTGCAATTCTGCCCTCGGAGATATCACACGGATTTCATACGAAGAGATGCATTTCTTCTCCTTCTCCCTTCCGACCTCGCTGGTTGCGACCATTCTCGCCATCGCAACTGCGCCGTCTGAATGTCGATCCATTATTCCTTCTCAAAGAAGTTCCAGACTTCTCTTCGACGAATCCAACTATCAGCAACAGCAACAGCGACAACAGCAAGAACAGAAACAGCAGCTATTAAAGATCGACAGTCTATCATCGTCGCCAGAATACACCCTAGAGCCACAGCACGTTACAGCAACAGGACAGCACTTCGACGTGCAAGAGAATTCCATAGGAGTGCTCTTTACTCGCCCGACCAACATCGCTACCGACGCGCGTGCAGTAGCCTATCAAATAGAGACATTGCATCTATGGTTGCCTCTAGGAAAGAAAGTTTTTACTCGTTCGTATTGCCCTATCCATATTGCTGCCTACCTTGTGCTGGTTATTGATTTCAAATGGTTTTTCTTTCTAGGCGACTCACCATTATTACCCTTACATCCTCTCTCAGCGAGAATCACTACCCTGATCACTTCTACTCCTGAGCCGGCTGCGCCTCAGCAGATTGAGAAGATCGAATGTTGTCTTTATGGGGCGAGTTCGGGCTCGGATGCGGAGGAGGAGGATAGCTCGAAGGTGAGGTTCTCTTGGAAGGATAACTTGGTGTACTTTCCTCCCTCTCGAAAGGAAATTGAAAGTTATGAGTGTTATGTTCGTCCGTAGTTGAGTTGTGGTTATTCAGGCCCTCAAGTTCCCGTAGGATAGCGCAGAATCCTCTAAGAATCGTCCAAGCACATCTGTCTCTACGCGTCTCTCGGTATATAGCTTGCAGCGGGTCTCTACGTGGTCATCTTCCTATATGTTTTGCGAGTTAGAAGACGTTTGTTTGAATGGCTACCCTCTTTCTATGAGATAGTCATTATTGTCAAGTGTGTTGGGAGATGAACATAATAGACTCGTTTTTCAGGTTGTTGTGTAAGGTAGGTCCATACGGAAAGCTGAGGCGGCTCTTCCCGTCCGATGCATCGTTGGCGCCGACAGGACAGGACAGCACCATTGAGCCTCCCTCCCACTTGCGCACTCCTCCATCGACAACACCACCCACTCCCTCTGTCTCTCCTCCATAACGTCCTCTCCTCTCGGCCTCGAAATGGAGGAAGCCGGTCACATCGCAGCCCAAGCGCTGACAGGCAACCACACCGAAGAAGACTCATACCACCCGCGCGATGCCGTCGGAAGCACCATCAAAGCCACGCTGACGACGGGAACCGGTGGAGCGTTCGTGTCCGCCATACAAAACACTTTGACGAAGCAGAATGTGGGCGCTTGGGGAGTTTTCACAAGGACGGGGGGCACGGTGGCCACTTTTGGTGGGTGACAAAACAGAGAATGAATGAGCTTGGTTCTTGGGGAAAGAGGGAATTCTGTGCTGATACTAGTGGGTAAATATAGCTGCCATGGGAGGAGCCTACGAATTCTTCAAATCCGCCTCGGCAAATTTGAGACAGAAGGAAGATACATACAATTATGCCATTGGAGGTGCTTTTGCGGGCGCCATGCTGGGGTTGAGATGTACGTTTCTTTCTTCTTGCCTTCCTTTCTTCCGAAAATACAGACCAAGAGGGTGAAAATAGCAAGATGGGATGATTACTGATTGGTGTGATGAGTGTGATACAGTCCGTTCTGCGCCTGCAGTTCTTGGCTACGGTACAGCTACTGCTGTGATCATAGCTGCTTTCCAATACACCGGAGGTCACATGTTGGGCGCAGCTCTTGATCCAGACGTTGATGAGGTTGCGAGGAAAGAGTATATGCGAAAGAACAGGAGAAGGGATATCGGAGAGATTGTCAATGAGCTGGGCGAGGGAAGAGGTAAGCTTTCTTCCTTAAGGAGTGGCACAATGGGCGGATAGAACTAATTGATATGATGTGCAGGTATCGTCGCCCCAGGCTATGCCGAGCGGAGAGCGGCACGTCTGAAGGAGGCTTATGGCATTGATGTCGTACATTCACCCACAGTTCCGGGTCAATCGCAATGAGCGAGCCCTGCGATCAACGGAAACCGCCAAAAAGCTGAGCTCGGTAGCACTCAGACGAACGTGTATATATATACTCACAAACGCAGATTCTCACTTGTGCAAAGATAATGTCAAGATCGGTGAGCACCTGCACAACTCAGTTAATAACTACGGGAGCGGGAGATCGACATGATTCCAGAGATACATTCGGCCCCGCCCAGCACTCCTCAGCAGTCACTGTCGCTTTGCGCTCCTGATCTGAAGCTCTGCTTGTTGACACCCGCATCAGACATGCGAATAGACAAGCCTCCAAATCACATCGCAAGCCTGGTCCTGTCAACAGCAAACTATCTATACCAGTAGTCAAGCGCCCCATATCACCATTCGACTATGTATGGGCACTACCCAGATCAACTCTGCGCTTCAGACTACCTTTTGTACATGACACCAGCGCTACCTAAGGTATTCTTTGGTCTGATTGTATACATCTGCTGTGGTCCCATTAGATTTAAGAATTATGAGACATTCGGATTCTTAGCAGCAGACATTAATGACCTGTAACCAGGCAGTGAAAGTCGCCTCGGAGCTATCTGACTACATATCATCATTCTATTTGTATGTATGTATGCATTATATTTATGTTGATACTATCTATGCATGCATCCATTCAGCCATTCATTCATTCCTTCATTCCTTACTTGCTCTTTCTCTTCCTCTTTCCCTCCATCCCTGCTCATCATTTAACATTAACCATTTCCACTCCGTACAGGTTCCTCACCTCAACTGTAAACACCCCAAATTAACTCCACTTCCTTCCTTCAATGCGCCACATAAAATCCCATATCCGTACTCAAATCAAAATAACATTTACACGGTCCTCCCCAAACTTGATCCCAATTATCTTTCGAATTCCCATACAGCGTCTCGTGAGCATCTTCCAAATAGGCATTCATCTGCCCTTTGACGCATGTCCACGTACTGCCGTGCGCGAGGTATACTTTTCCGCTGCCGTTGGGACCTCGGAAGACGACTTGTTCTTGCCAGTAGCGGAAGGCGACGAGTTGGGCTGGAGATGGGTGGGTGGGTTAGCGAGGGGGTTTGTTTGGGTGGAGCTAGGGGTGGGGCTTTTGTTGATTGAGGGGGGAGAGAGGAGGGTGACTTACTTCCATCTTCACCGTACCAGTGGCCTTGTTTGTGGAAGCCGTCGTTTTTCAAGGTTACGCCGACGTCAAGTCTGTAGGGGAAATCTCAGCATGGGAGGAGGAGGAGGAGGTGGATGGATGGATGGGTTGATGGATGAGAGGTCAGGTAGGTAGGATACTAACCGAATACAATTCTCATATCTATATCCACAAATCTCGTGCTTCCACCCTTTCTTATACTTGGGACACGAGTGGGACATGCAGTATCCCGCGTCGTCAATGACATTTTGCGGTGGGTCTTGACCTCCTGGAGTCACCCATTTCTTGCCGCAGGGTGGTAGATCTCGTTTCTCCAATTGACGCAGTTGGAGGTCCGCCTCGGTCACGTAGGCGTCTCGTGGTGTTATGCCAACTACTGTACCGGGTACAGCGGCGGAGTGTACGCTGGTTGCTGCGATGCTCATGCAGAGCGCTACAACTTGAAGAAGCTGCATGGTGGAGGGCGGGATGGGGCTTGGATTGGTGGGAGGTGGAACGTATCAATGGCGAGAGGTCTTCTGTGTGGTATTAATATGTCGATGATGGAAAGAAGGATGGTTTCTATGCTCGACAGAACAGGACAATTGTGTCGCTTTATATGTCCTCTCGGTCGTATACTATGATCGATCTGGCATTCGTATATCGTACGGCACTCGGCGAGAAAGATGGAGAGATAGAGAGAGAAGGGGAAAAATAGCATCGCATAGATCCATTGCATTCGATCACAAGACTACACTGCATAGCCACCAGTCCGAACCAGGATGTCATGTCAACCAAACTGGTTTCCACCGACACGTTTGTAGCAGAGTGTATAGAGGCTGACAGACGACTTACTTTCATGTACACCGACTGGAGGCTATTACTGGAATCGGCAGCAGTGCACACGACCGTATTGGGGAAGTTAGTTCTCGACCCCTGGCGCATTGAGCAAGGAGTAGGTGGAAGGATGTTCGAATACCTGAGGCAGAAGAGAGGACATTTGATGGGATATCGTCGGATATGGATGTCCTCCTCCTGTATGAGCAAGGTCATCAGTCATGTCCGAGGGAGATCATACGGGACTTCGTGTTATCGTTCGTTCTCGTAGATGATGGTCGTCTTGGCGTATATATCGGATAGGTATGTATTGCAAGTGAGGTGCTTATTGTATTGTACATGACCTGATGTCGATGATGGATGACTAAGTCAAGGCACGTATCAAAACGAACACAGCCTCACGAGGTACCAGCGTGACCAGCCATGACGTGACGGGACATCCCTGTCACAACCATTGTTGCCTTACTGTACCTGACATGACCAGACTTTACTTGGCAAACAACACCTTTTCCCAAGACAAATTTAGCGAACATGGCTGAAGCAGCAGCTGTTGGAGGTGTCATCGCCTACGAAGTCGCCGAAACTACCGTACAAGTCGGTGCGGCCGGTTATGCAGTCGCCAAACCTACACTGCCTCTCAAAGCAAGCTTCGTCCAGATCGCAACAGCTACCGACGATGACACCAGGTATGCTCGTATTGCAATATAATTCATCATGGGGGACATGCTGGATACATAGGTACACCACGCTCATCACATCCTCCACAGGCTCTCGGTCGTACGCTCGGACCACTCACTCACAGTGGTCAAGAACAAAGCATATATCTTCGGGGGCGAAACTGGCGCGGGAAAACTGGCAAGCAACGACATCCATGCGGTGACGGTAGATCGGCCATCAGAGGCAAAGTCGCAGTACGAGCCAGAGTATTCAGTCTTGCCTGCGGTACCTGATGTCGAAGGCCAGGCTGTTCCCAAGGCGAGGACGAGGCATGCGGCGACACACTTCAATATCTGCGTAGCTGTCTTTGGAGGTACCGATCAAGACGGAACGCTGGTCGATGAGGAGCCCATCATTTGGTTATATGTGACAGGCAAGTCGGCCTGGGAGAGTCTCCAGTCCGAAAAAGGCCCTACTCCGGTGCAGAGAAGTGGTGCCAGACTCTTTGAACTCAACAACAACTTGGTGCTGTATGGAGGCGTGGATGGTCATGGAGAAGCTCTGCACGATGTCTGGCACTTCTCCTACGCACAAAAGACGTGGTCGCAGTTACCGAGTGCACCTGTCAATACGAGGAATGCTGCTCTCGTGGATGGCGTGCTGTACCTGATCGCCGGCACAGATAACATGAGCAGCGATGTACACTCACTCCATCTTCATCCAAACGAAAAAGCCGAAGCAACTCTCCACGTCAATGCAGACAAGGAGACAGCATGGAGCACCGTCTCCTTTCCCACGAACCCTCTTGCTCCAGGACCTCGACCTCGCATTGGCGGCGGAACCCTGCCCATCAGCACAGGTTATGGCCGCAATTATCTGCTGTACTTCTTCGGCGCCCGGCAGACTCCAAATACGACAGAAGCGATGACTCCAGAAGACACCGACGATCCATCACAATGGAGCGATACGTGGACCTATCAGATCCCTTCCAGCAGTGCAGAAGTGAAGCCCGCGTTCAGCATATCGGAAGCAATCAAGCCTGCGAGAATTAAGGATGCCATTCGTGAAAAACTGGGATTCAGCTCAGGAGAGAAGAGCTGGGCTGAAGTCGAGGTACAGCCACCAGGAGACTTGGTGGTTGGGACAGGAAAGATCCATCCCGGTCCTCGTGCATTCTTTGGGTATGATGTTATGCCGGATGGACACGGTATCGTTGTGTGGGGCGGTTTGAATGCAAAGGGCGAGCGCGAGGGAGATGGCTGGATCATCAGGTTCTCGTGATGGGGGCCCGTGAATACCTATATCGACAGAACTTCACAGAACTGCCTCGTGACGAGGGAGGAGAATGTTAGAAACTCCTGCAGTGTACCAGTAGCTCATATCTTAAGACCTCACATCAATGATCTCACCGTGGGTTGCCATGGTGAGTGAATACAACGCTGTTCCAGCCAGATGAAGTCATGTTCGCGAATGACATGTCGAAACACGGTCGTAACACCAAAGATTTGTGAGATCAAATAAGGTTTATAGTAGTGCCGACGGCTCACTGGGTCGTTCTCATGATCCCGGCTGATTTATGTCTCGAACACCAAACGCCAGGCCAGTTCATCTCTCCCAGTCGTTGTTGCGACCAGCCACCCGCACGAATCGATACATCTCAAACCATCCTTACCACAGTCGTCGCTACTCACCACCACATCGGACGCGCACGACCGCACAACATCTCTACCTCGGCGCACATGCCACGCCGACTTGCAGGGAGGAGACTTGGTGTGACGGGAAGCGAGTGAGAAGAGCAAGCGAGAACCCCCGTCGACGACTCGTAGTCTCCACGGACTTGCTCGCTGTGCGATACCGATCCGCATGCAGCAAATGGAGACTCTTCCTGCTTCTGCCGCTGTCGCCGGACCCAGCAGCGAAGCTTCGACGCCCTTGGCATATGAGGAAGACGTGCGACATGGAGGTGGTGGAGGAGGAGGTGGAGGAGGAACAAGTCACTGTGCCATCACTGCTTCCCAAGTGTTCAAGCCCGCGAGCAGCGGCAGCAACAGCATGTCGCCCCTCGCCATGGCCGGCGCTTCTCCCGATTCGGGTACCCCCAAGGACATGAAGAGTATTGGCTCGCGCTTCCACGAGGACTGCCACGAGACCGATATGCCCAGTCCTCGTCTGCGCTCCAGTCGGCTGTACAAGGGCAAGGGCAAGGAGGCTGTGGCTATTGAAAAGCCCAAGAAGAAGCCTCTGAAGCTGCTGGATCTGCCGCTGGACATCCTTAAGGATATCATTAAAGAAGTCACACATACAAACGACCTCACTTCGCTCGCGCTGTGTCACAGTGCTCTTCACGACCTCACGACTCCGCACATCTACTCACGTTTCGATATCGTCTGGCCAGACAGCAGCGCGCAGTCCGAGCACAGATCTGGGGTCGATGCGCTCACGTACGGACTCGCGACTCTGGTCATGGCGGAGGAGGTGTTTGGCGAAGCGCCCGATCAACGGCAGCATGCGCAGAACAACAGATACAGCAAGACCGAGGGAAAGGCGACAGAGACGGCCATACGGAAACGACGAGGCAACCACTACGCGCATTTCACGAAGAAGTTCTCGCTCGGGAATGGCCCGGCAGATTGGGTCCAAGAGTACCTGATCACGAAAGAGGGTGGGAAGATGCTTGGAACGTTGGTGGCATTGGCAGTGGCGCGTATGCGGTCGCTCGAGACATTCATTTGGGATATGCCTACTGGGATCCTGCGAGACGTGTGGCTCGCGCTTTCATCATTAGGAGATCGTGCTACAGAGCGAAGCCCGTGCAAACTGGAAAAGGTGTGGGTTAGGTGGCACAACAACTCCCTCAGCCCTGCGGCCGAAGCGAGCCCCATCCCTCCTCCACCGCCCACCATCGGTATGAATACCATGCACACATCGCACTTCCATGCGACCATCCCGGGTCCCGTCCCCGTGCCTCAGATGCACCCTGCTGCGCTCGACCGAGTAGAGCATCCCAACTTTTCAGTGTTGCCCGCACTCAAGAGTTTGAGTGTCCTCGATATCGATGAGCTGCAATATCTGGACGAAATGGCGGTGCTCATAGGCAAGTCCTTGGACAAGCTTCGAGAGCTCCGTGTGGGAATCGCGAGACACGCCATGACAAAAGATTGGGTCACGGTATGGGAAGGCGATCAGCTGCGGCAGGTGGATCCAGATTATCCCACCGCAGGCTCTCTGACCATTGGCGAAAAGCGGCTGGGAGGTGTCATGGGCACTCTCACTGGATTCGTGTGTGACATGCGAAAACCGAAGATCGTGTTACCAGAAAGAAGGCGGCACAGTCGTGGATCGAGCAGGGCCAGCGCGATCGTCCCAGAGTCTCCTATCTCTGCTTCTGCAGAAAGCACCACTATCGCTCAGACCATGGGTGTGTCGAGCTTGCAAGATGTCATGTCAGCAGCAGTGCCAGCAGAGGAGACGGCCCCCGCAGTCTCCTACCCATCATCGTCGACACCACTCACCACCCCCAGCGCATCGCTCGAAAGCGAGCTGGAAATCGGCAGTGACCCTGCAATCGAGACGGCGCTGCAAGCCGTCGCAACAACGACAACAACAGCAACAGCACCACCCGTGAGCACTCCTCTAGCGACCCACGATGTAGTCACTCTCGACTCTCTGGATGACCTCCAAGAGCCATGGCTTGACAATGTGCTTCGACTGGACAGCTTGGAGCTCGAGCGCGTGCCCATCTCGGTCCCAGTGCTACAGAAAGCTATCAACTGGACCACGTTGACTTCGTTGACACTGCTATACTGTCCGAACCACGAACAGCTGTGGAAAACGCTTCGCAAACAGTTTGCGCCTATACCCAAATCACCGGTATACCCGACGCCTCGACGAACATCGACCATGTCGTCGAAGAAAGCCAGCAAACCTGCACCGGCAGATGCAGACATGCAATACCAACTCCGCCTCAAGAAAATACACACCAACACGGTCTCGCCGGCGCTCATCAGTTTTCTCAAAGAGACTCTCGCACCGAACAGTCTGGAAGTGCTTTTCTTACAGGAAGCCCGTAGCTATAACTCGCCTGTACAAGTCGAGGCAATCCACCGTGGTCCCTTGCGAAGACATCGGAACAGCTTGCAGAAAATCCTGATTGACAGCTCAGAGAAGGGCGCGGATGGTCTGCCGACCAACTCTAACCGATGGAGACGATGGATCTTACCTCGCGAGATCCTCGCATTCGTGTGCAGCGGCAGAATGCCTGCTCTCCGCGAGCTCGGCATGGCAATTGATTATCGCGATTGGCACTTTTTCTTACAACACCTACCGAGTGTGCCGCAACTCCGGTCACTATATCTTCCATTCTTGGCGAATCATGTATCTGGTCCGAATGTGGACGCGCGAGAACTGGCACTACAAGTGGTCGATATTGTGGCGCTCCGATCGGAGGTCGAGCTGTGTTACATGGGAATTGCGAATAAATGCTTTGAGATTCTGGAAACGCGAGATGGCGACAAGGGAAAGAACGAGTCGCATCTGGGCGTGTATGGGTCTGGCGGGACCATTGATGCGGAGCAGCAGGCTTCGGAGGCAGAGGATGACGAGGACGTGGACGATGAAGCGGACGACGACGACGACGTGGACCATCTGGATGCCGAAGAGGCAGCCGATACGGAGAGTGATGGCGAGGAAAGTGAAGATGACACGGATTCGGAAGCCGATGGGGTCGAGTTTGGGAGACATGCGGCGAAGTTGAGATTGAGGGAGATTTTATTTTACGATGACAAGGTTGCGATTTTCAAGGTTCGGCATGGAAGGTTGTAGATGTACCAGAGGCGGCGTATGAGTGACGGTAAGGAGAAGCAGAAGATGATTCCCCAGGATCGAGTCGATAGGGTAGGATAGGTTACATGGGCGGTGAGGTTGTGGCAGTCACAAGCAACAGTATGGGCTGACGAGCATCGGCTATACAGTGTACCTCCTAATGACCTCATATTCTGTGCTGGGCCAGGCCAGTCTCCAGACTTGAATCACAATCCACAGACACGCCCCGGCACCGAAGAAGCTCGAGCGCCCAGACGCGACCAAATGGCATAGTTAAGCTCCATTCGCTACGCTTTAGCACTCTACTAGCATAGACACTCTACCATCGCTTCGGAGAGAATGGGCTCAAATGGATACTTGATACTTCCTTCTGCCGTATGTGCTGCTGCTGTAAAGGCTTCTCTCTTCTCTCTTCTCATCACATCAGAGATTAATAGAGAAAGCACGGAGAAGTAGGCCAAATTCATTCTACGAGCGATGCTTTTAGGTAGGTAAGGAGTGTCGACACAGTCACTTTACGGAACTATTACTAGCCCTAAGGTAAGTGAAACCAGCTGTAGCGCCCTAGGAGGTAGCTACCTCCTACGCCTTATTGCAAGAAAATAAAAATCTATACCTGTAGATACACTCTAGGAGGGAGGTAGGAGGTAGGAGATGTTCTACAATACCTTAAGGTTGTCTATATACCTGCTTCTATTTGCTAAATAGGTAGGCCTTTCTTTGGTTGTAGTATATAAATACTACGGCTCTAGTATTCTTCTTTCTTCTTCTTGCTTATGTCTTATAGTGAATTCATTATATATTTTCTGTATATATATTACTCTAATACTCTTGTTAATGTTGCTATTCCCTTTACCCTCCTTCTACCCTTCGGTACAATATTCTTAGAGTCTATGTCTTCTTCTCTATTACAGCAGCACGGGGAGGATGATAACAAAACCGAACCCGTCATCTCGCAGCATAAGCAGCACCTATCATCTAGCTACAATACGCCCCTCCAACGAGTCTAAGGGCAGCAGCAGCAGCGCCCTCGCTACCATCAACAACAATATCCAAGACCTTATCATTATCTCCGCCCTCGTTATTAAAGGAAGACTATCAACTACGAAATCTTCAACTCCGTACGACGAGTTGGCAGAAACCTGCCGACCGACCGGCCGACCGATCTCTCATCCTGTCTTGCAACCATTATATCATGAATACCATTGGATGGAATACATATATATATATACCTACCTAGGTACGTAGATATATCCTATCCCCAGACTACAATAACAAAGTACAGCTTATCTATCAGGTACGTACCGTATACACAACCAAACCAAACCAAACACAAATCAAAATCAATGACCAATTCCTATCACTCAAATCCAAACCTATCCAATCCCAATCCTTCACTCCCAAAAGTCCCTATCCTCCTAGTTAATAGCTTGCTTACCTTCTTCCCTTACCGAGTAAAAAAAAGAAAGAATCGAACGGGCCTGCGGGCAACTTTCCAAGATATGCCGAAGGGCGAAGGCGACGCATGCTTCAACTTTATTATGGGGTTTTTTTGTCCTTGTCATGCATACCTTACGGTACATACATACGATCATTTGTCTCTCTCTCTCTTACAGCAGAGTAAGAAATCACGTGGATGAATCATACGATTGTTGTTGTTGTTGTGTTGGCGGGAGATAGTATAAAGTTTGGACATGGGTGATGATAGGGCGCGGCGGGCGTTTTGTGATGTGTTGGTTGGTTGGAGGGGGATGGATATGGATGAGTGAATGAGGGATGCCGATAGAGGGGGTTTTCTGTTTGGCTGATATGGATATGATATGACCTGTGATAGCAAGAGAGGAAAAGAAGGGAATGGGAGGAGGAGGAAAGTAATAATTGAATGGTGGACGTGTAGTCGGGATATACTCACCTTACTTTACCTACTTGCGTGGTGTGTTGGTGGTGCGAGATCGACTTCATCTTGATCGTTACTATCTTCACTACCCTACTAGGATACCTATCTACTTGTTGCTTACTTATTACTTGTGAATCGGAGAACTTACTCCTACTCCTCCCTCTCTCCTACTACTACTCCTATACCGCCCCATCTTCAACTCGATTCCACCTACTCAACTGAATCGACTCTCAACCTCTTAGGACATGGCCCTCCTCTCCCCTACTACCTTCACCTCCCTCCCCCTCCCACTCATCCTCACCCCCCTCATCCTCATCCTCCTCACATACATCCTCCTCTTCCGCCTCCCCAAATTCCTCTCCAGACTGCACACATGGCGAAAATACCTCCGATCCCACCGCCAATTCAGCCTCGAAGCAGGTCAAGGAAAATTTCAATTTCTTCAAGATCCTTTTTCGCAAGCGCCAAATTATTGGTTGTTGCATCATCAAGCTGTTAAATATGTTTTTAGTCGGGGGGCCATGTAAGTATTCTATCAATCTCTGTGTGGTTTATTTGTTTGTTATTTGAGGAGGGGAATGTTGATGTTGATGTTGACGTGTTGTATGTGAATAGTCAAGAAACCGATCACCGAGCAGGCTTCGATTGGTTTCATTATGCTGGCTGGGAAATCCCGACCATGGATCCGCGATACAAAGAGACGGTGCGCACGGCAGATCAGACGGTACATGGGAAATTGGCCAAGTCGAAATTGGTGACGTTGTTGCAGACGGCGCAAAGGGTGGGATTTGAGGAGATTGAGAGGTTCAAGGGGGGTGTTTCTTCTTCTTCTTCTTCTTCTTCTTCTTGTTCCCAACAAGAAGGAGGAGAGAAAGATGGTGGAAAGAGCAAAAAAGTCTCCCTCCACAGTCTCATGTACCGACTCGGCTTCAACGTCAACTGCATCAGCATTTTCGGCCCAGATCTCAACCACCACGCCACGAGAATGCTACTGCAAGATTTCACCGAGCAGCAATCGGAATTGTACTGGAGTTTCAACCTTCCTCTCCCCTTGTGGCTGAGCAGTCGGCTGACAGCAGGCTGTCGTCGGACACGCAAAGCTCGACAAGCACTCTTCGACACATTAATGGCGTGGTATCAACGCGGCGGCTTGGAGAGTGCATCGGAGGAGATGAAAGCTATTGTTCGCGTCTTTGAGGCAGCGGGTTCGCCACCGGACGTGGGGAGTAAATTTTTGAATATGATGGTCGTGGCGTTTATGGCGAATACGCCTGAGACGCTGGGGTGGTTGTTTGTATATGTGACGCAGGCACCGGCGCTGTGCAAGGTGATTCGAGAGGAGTGCGATGCGTTGGGGGAAGGAGAGGATTTGGTACAGGTGAATTTCAAAGTCGCCACCCCGCATCTCTACTCGGCCTTTTTCGAGACGTTTCGACAGTGTGTGTTTACGGGGACACCGGCGACGGTCATTAGACCGTGCACGCTTCCGGGGATCGAGGATCATGTCTTTCAGCCGGGCGATATCTTGCACTCCATGGCAGAAGCGTGTGCGATGGATGCCGACGTCTATGGTCCGGATGTCCGATATTGGAAAGGTCACAGATTCGTCGGCGAGGGCGACCAGCTTCTCAAGTATGACTTGACTTTTGGTCTGGGTAGAAGTCGTAAGTGTCGTAGTGTTCCCACCCATGCGGAAAGAGATGTTGCAAGTGTCCTGACCATGAGAAACAGCATGTCCCGGCCGCAACTTTGCCATTGCGGAATTGTGTATGCTCGCCGCGAGGATGTTCCAGACGTTTGATTTCTCGGAACCATCGGTGAACAAACGTCTGTCCTTCTCCGACGGCGACTTTGAGCTGCACGAGCCCGTCAAGGCGGAGACCGTGGACATTATCGATCTCGATGGGCAGATTCGAACGATTCTGTATCCCGGAAATGCATCAGACACTGGCGTTCCCGGTATGACAGCAGCCAATATTCCTGCGAATGACTTTGCCTGTCGATTGACGCCAAGAGTGTAATGTCAGGCGGGAATATGATGAGGTGACAATGGCTCATGGCCCGTGGTGCAAAGTCTTAGTTATTACATCAATTATACAGCAGCTTCACTATCTCTGCCACTTCCTACTCTTCATCACAGTAGTAATGGCATGTCTGATGACAATACCGGCCTTCTCCGTCTCCTTCTTCGTCAGACCAGCAGTAACGCACACCTTCAGAGCCGGCTGAGGTTGCCATTCTTTTTCGAGATCTTTCGGCGCCAGACCGAGAGCGCCGGGCATGGACTTGAGTCGCGTGATGAGTACGCCATTGTTGAGGCACTAGAGCATCGTCAGTATACACAAAAATGGACGCACATGGAGATGGGTCGATTGCATACCTCGTCTACGCAATCCTGCAACAGAGCCTCCTGTTCAGCGCGACTGAGGTTCCGCTCTTGGACATGCTGATCCTTCAACACGAGGAGCATGATTGGGTTTTCTGGTGCACTGGGTGTACGAACCCAATCACTTCGTGGATCAAGCTGTGCACGCATGGCCAGTATGTTTTCCCGAAGCATGGCGATATGTCGTGGATCTTCCTGCAGCATCGTCACCGTCTCGGATGCCGTCGTCGCCAGGAAAGCCGGCAGCGCGGCCGAGAATGTATACGCGGCCGCACTAAGTCGCTGATGTTCCACAATCTCGGTGTTTCCTGCGCAGAAGCCACCGCCACTCGACATGGCTCCTGCGAGACCGCCGATGATCATGTCCACATTGGTAGGGTCCACGTTCTGGTGTTCTGTCACTCCCTTGCCCGTTCGTCCCAGGATACCATATGACCAAGTCTCATCCAAGATGATGCGGAACTTGTACTTGAACTTGAGCTCAATCAGAGTCGGCATGTCCACCATGTCGCCCACATTCTCAAACAAGCCTTCCGTCACAATGAACCTCCTCGTAAGTGGTTTGCCTTGTCCCTGCTTGACGACTCTTTGGAGGACTCGCTCCAAGTCCTCCATATCGTTGTGCTCATACCAGTGTACGGTACTTCTCGAGATTTGTAGCCCTTTTCGGATCGGATAGTTGACTGCCTTGTCTGCCACAATGACATCGCCTCTCTTGCTGAAGGCCGGGATGACGCTGCTGATAGTGGAGAAACTCTGGGCATAAATGATGGCTGCGGGCATTCCGATGTGCGCCGCGATATCTGCCTCGCTCTTCATGTGGACGTCCTGTGTGCCATAGAAGCCCGGCGGAGAGCACGGACCGACACCATAGGTGCGCACGGTAGCGACGGCCTTGCTCATAAGATCCTGATTGCCGGCAAAGTTGTAGTGGTTGTAGCTGGCGAGGTTGGTGACAGTCCTGCCGTTGGCCAGCTTCGCCTTGGGCCCGGCTGGTCCAGTGATGACAGGCGATTTCTCGTTGGTGAGTTTCTCGAATTCCGTCTCCTCGCCCGCCAATGGCTCGGGGGTCCAGTCCTCCACCAACTCGTCGACCTCATCTTCCGTCAGGGGCACGTTCTTTTTCCTCTTGGTGCTGTAGGTTGGCGCCAGCAGATATCGCACGGCGAAGATGAACAGGAACAGCTCGACAGCGCTGCGGACGGGGTCATTCTGGTAGGAAGATCGGATGTAGCGGACCACAATGGCCGAGCCGGGAATTTGCTGCAGGTAGGAGGCGGCGTTGTCGATGAAGGCCAGGGCAGACGAGGGCAAGTCGCCGCCGGAGAGGCTGGCCAGAGTCGCATTCATCAGGAGTAACTGCCTACGCGCGAGGTGGATGCGATGTTGAGGGTTTTCTCAGTGATGGGGTCACCCGCGCATCATGCCCATGCGCTGTCGTCAAATTGGGGGCGGTGACGGGTTGGTATGGTGGTCGTTGCGACTCGGTTGTGTGATGATGGGGGCGTTTGGTTTCTGTCATCCATAGGGTACAGGAGGGTATCGGCACAAACGAGGGCGCACTAACTCGTTAGGGCAGTTTCAGAGGGGATGACTAAGGAGACCAAACGTCGTGTTAACGGAAACAATAATGGCAGTTGAAGTTCTGTATACCTCATTCTCGAAGGCGTACTACAAGGGGACCCGCCTATCATCGACCAGTGTACTGTAACAAAGTTGATGATTACAAGGCAAAGTCTCTGCAGCCTATTCCACGGGTTCTACCTCCTACAACCAACAGCGAGTACCGATTTTGCTGACTAAGGTACTGTTTGAATCGCGAACATGAGGCTCCCGGCCACCTAGTTCCCCTATACGGCAACGCCAAGTCTCACGCGAGGAGAAAGAAGCGAAATAGTCGTGGTCCTGTAGACTGCCCGGTTCGCATTGCATGCCTGAGGTACATTCCATTCCACATGTCCCTACTGTCCATACTGTCGCGATGGTTACGGAACAATACTACATGTACCTCCTAGCAATAGAAGCAAAGAATCTGTTTCCGTCGTATTCGTCATTTGGTGTAATCCCAGGTAGCTCTGGAATCCGAGTCAATTTGATACGACTGTCTGAGTCTGTCTCACAACCAACCAGCTCTCAACCCTAAAACGCCGCGAGCTACTCCACTTTCGGGAACCGAACTAAGAGCGCGCGCGTGCGCGACAACAGCGCGTCTTTCCCGCGTGCTCTACGCCTCATCCTTTGGGTCTCCATCTCACGCTGCACTGCACCAACATCAGATAAAGCCCTCTGTCACATTACGATCGCTATCGAACGCTACTAGCAACACACTCCTACCCTCTTCTGCCCTGCACTCCCGTCGTGCCCACTCATTGCCAGGTTCCTTCGCCTTCCCACGAGCTTTTCACGCGTTCGCGTCACGCACGCGCCTCCATATTAGCGGAAGGGATTTTCCCTCCAATTTTTCCTTTGCGCCGATCCACGGAGCCGCGCACTGCTATTCCCATCCACGCATCTTCCCTCTCCATTCTGTGAAATCGTCCATCAACCATCATCTCCTCCTCGTTTGTTGCGTACATGTCACCAAGGACAGTCCATTCGTGGGTATATATTCCGCCCTTGTGCGCCTTCCAACATAACAGAACACTCGCGCCAGAAAAGCAGAAAAAAAAAGAGTCGCTCGCTAGAGTTTGCAGTAATTGTTGCATGCGGCAATGTTTGTGTGTGTGTGTGTGTGCGTGTGCGTGTGTGTGCGTGCGCCATAAGACTGGATGGTCTTCGGGTGTGCTTCCATGTCTTTGGTCTCGAGCACCATCGTGAATCGTATCATAGCATCTAGCATGAGCTTCGACATAAGAAAACAGTGCACATGAAATTAGGTATGCTCATAAGTCTCCGCCCAGGTCCATTCCCAGAGGGTTACTACGACTGCTGCGAGTCATCGTGGGACTGGTCACAGGTGGCAGGAGCTTATCAAAGTCCAGCTTCCGTCGAGCAGAGGCGCCAGGAGTTCTGCCAGCGACAGGTGTGCGGTTCCATGGCCCTTGAGCAGGTGATGGGGTGACGTTGATGAAATCGCTAAAGTCGAATTTGACGCCAGGCGTGTGTGGCCCAAAGCCGAGAAAGCCATTCCCGGCTGTACCGGGAGTCATGTGTGAAGAGGGGAGAGGTGTGGACTTGCAGGGCGGCGTGGATGGTGGCTGAATGACCGTCTTGGCGGTGGAAGCGCCGACGGCGGGAGAAGGAGATGTAGCAAGATACATGAGGAGATCTGCTCCATCGTCATCCGCCTTTGGCGTGCGTGACCAGGACACTTGATTAATGCTTCTGATGCGCCTCTGTGGGGGAGGTGTCCGTGGTGGTGAAGATGTGATGCGAGTCGAAGCGTTGATGCGGAAGCTGGTGATGGGTAGATCGGCGTCGTCGTCCTCGCTGAATTCGGGAGACGGCGGATCTTCAGCAATAGTAGAGCCTTCGGAGATGAAGGATAGCTGTGATATGTGCGTTCGGTTCGTTGTCGAGGACTGAACGCGGGTGTGCTTGGTGTGCTTAATAGGCGAAGACTCCGGAAGTCCCTCTCGCTTCTTCCATGTAGCTTGACGAGCAGCAGCGCCTCTTGTCCGTCGACCCGTCACTGCGCCTGACACAGGAGGTTGTAGTGACTCTGCAGGTTTGACCCTCTTATGTCTGAAGCTCCCACCAGATCTTGGCAAGTCGTCGGAAAAGAAGGGTTCGGTGATGGGCGACGAAGCCAGGCCATGGCTGGAGTGCAGCCGACTGGAGGTGGTGGAGGCAGTGTCGGAGGCGGTATCGATGCTCGACGCCGGTCGTTTCCTCCTCATACGCTCTTCCACTCGAGGTTCAATGGCATCCAGGCTCAGGTTCTGCCAGCCATTTTGTATCTTGACGTTGGCCAGTGCGAGACGATCCTGCAGCGTCCGGGTCATCTGAGGAGGATTAGGCAGTCAGCTGAACTGTTCTCACTGTGCTGGGAGCGACTGTCGTATGCTCGCTCGCTCACCTTGGAGACCTGCACTCTCCGCAAGACTTTACTCGCAACATCTTCCGGCCGCTCTATCCTCGTGATAGCCGCCATGATGTCCGGCAGCTGATCAGCAGAGGGAGAGGAGTCCTTTCGGACGGCCCGTTCAGGTGGCTCGTTTTGCTGAGGCAGCAATGTCGCTGCACTGTTGTCGAGGCAGCAGATAGGGTGGTGGTACCGTGGTGGTGTGCACTATGTCAGCCGGAAGAGGCGAGTTGTCTGCTGAGCCAGACAAGGAGTTCAGGTATGTGCCAGCAAGTCTGGTTAAGCTCGTGGTGGAAGCAGCCGTACCAGATTCGAGATTCCGTTTTCAGATCGGCGATGGAACGGATTTTGACTTTGCCCGCCGGGGCTGTTATAGCAGACGACAATTATTAAACGACAAAGGTATGCCTCAACTTGGAAGTTGCTGGCGATATGCCAATGTGCCTGCAAGTGCAAAAGGCCGAAAGAATGGTAACAAACACACTGCGCGGTGTAACCAATCGATTGGTCTTCTTCGTTCACATTCTTGGACTCCAGGCCAGATGAGACCTGGCGCCAACATGGAAGCCACACGGCCAACTTCACTTGACATTGGATGCATTAACATTTCGCTTAACACGACGTCAGAAGGTCACGAATCATGTCTCTATCAAGAACGTGCTCGGCCTCCACGGTCCTGCGCAGTAACCACAACAGTAAAACAAAGGAATTGGATTCATCACGCTGACCGACTTTGAGACGGCTCATCTAGATGTTACAGACTGCCTCGACGATGCAAGCTCCCTCCCGAAACGACCACATATTTCGCTGCACTCGCTTGCAATGCCTTGCATAAGAGACGCATCGGCCCAGCCCGGCCGCCGTTTCTCACTCCTCGTTGGTCCGCATGCACGTCGATAAGGCGTCCAGACAATGATGCTCTCCCAGACCACCAGTACTGGTATAAGCGCGCAGTTGATCATCATTGCTGCATCTTGATACTGCGTGGTGGCTGGTGACATCTGCAACTTTCCGATGCGCACACCCGTTGGTATCGTTATCCTCACCCTACCGGCCTGTATGGCAACCGTTGATCCAGCCTTGGCCGAGCGAGATGATCACACAGAACGACGCTATCGAAGGAAGAGTGCAGATTCTGGGCGGCCGAGGACAAGTGAAGATTTGTGATGTTCAAACGACCAGAACTGGGCAACTGTACTGTACTGTGCAGGGCAGAGCAGGGCAGAGCAGAAGAAGGTGCCGGTCGTTGCCGTCGGAGAGTTGCAGGTGCTTTGTGACGACAGCGGGAGGCAATCAATCCTGTACAGCCAGTACAGTAAAAGTACCGAAGATAGCAATGTGTGTGTGTGGAATCGTCGTGACTGTGCAGTCACCAGTGGAGCCCCCGTTCTCCGTCTGTAGCGCGAACTGGAACTAGAAGCAGAGCTAGTTCTAGTTCTACCTGCCACCGTCTGTGGACATCGCTGCTGCCACACCTTGTCTGTCATCTATCACTGTACCGCCGCTCTTGTGTTGCTGACTACCTGACCGACAGACCTTGACCTACTTCCCTCGCTGACTGACACTCGCTTTGTTACCACCACCACCGCCAAATCGTCCTCCACCACCCTTCCCCGTCCTTTTCTTGTTGCCGTGGCCGCCTATTCTGTCGCTATCGCAGCCGAGAGCTTCTCAACAGCCAAACACAAATCCCGTCCCAAACCTACGCATTGACTCCAAGACCTGCGAGCATCATCGCCCTCTCGTCCCGAATAAGTGCCGCCGTAATAGTTGCGATTAGGCGCGGTGTGGTGGTGGTCTGCAGAGCACTCCTGCTGCTCTCCTCCGTGCGACAACATTTCTCACTTGGGCGCAGGAGAAGGGCGCCATGCCATCGTTTCTGAAAGAGCATTTGAGCTTCAGACGGCGCAGCAGACCGTCGATCAGAGACTCTTCCAGCGCACGTGCAAATGCAAGCGCCAGTGCCAGTGCCAGCGCCAGTGTGAGTGCCAGCGGTAGCAGCTCCGAAGCCAGCAACGATGAACCGCACCTCGGACGACCTTCACACGCACTGAGCAAGTCGTCCTCCACACTCAACTCCAACCTGGAAAACAAGCAGTCGCCGCCCACCACGCTGTCGTCGTCGAAATCTAACACGAACTTGTCCGTCTATGGCGTCAATGGCAAAGCACCTCCCGTGCCTCCGCGGCCTCAGATGCCCAGCTCGCAGAGCAACCGCTACAGCATAAGTGTATGCCCCAACAACAATACACAGCACCATCACCCCCACCATCACTACTACTACTGCTACTACTACTACTGTGCAGAGAACAGGAGAGCTCAGCGCTGACCGTGAACGATGCAGGGAATGCCAGTGCAGAACGGGGAACGACCGACACCGTCGACTTCTCCGCTTGCGCCTCGCGTACTATCCGTCTCCGATGGCTCCTGGGTATGTATGCAGCAAATGAGGATATGCAGGCAGGTAGCCGGACAGGAAAGCAGGCTGACGTAGCGTCTGCAGGTTCACCAAAAGGTGCTCCTCATCTTCGGGCAGTGCGCCGAGCCATCACAGCCCATTGACGGCACCATCACCGTCTGCCACCACAACGACAACTTTCCGCCCATCTCGTGGCCCGTGTGCGACTCCCACTTCAAAGTACTGGTCCACCTCCAACCAGGACCCAACCGATTGCGCCTCGACTTCACCTCGCCGAAATTACCTCCTACAAACTCGTCGATCCCCGCTCATTCGTCATGGATCAACATCAACTACCTCCCTCTCAACTCGGCGCCACCGCTGCAGCTATGCATTCTTGTCGCCAAGGACAGCCCGGGAACGTACGACGCAGTGCCAGAGCGTGTGGAAAAAGAAGGCAATAATATACCGACGGCCATCAGGAAGTTCAAAATGGCGGCATATCTGTGGCAAGCCTTCACAGCAGAACAGATGAATCGCAATGGTTTCGGCAGGAGATGCTACAGATATGAAGACGAGTGGCAGCCGGGATCGCTGACGTGGAAAGACATGGAGACCGGGCAAATGCGCAACGAGGCCAAAGTCCACGTTATTCGCCTGGACAAAACGGTCGCTGAGATCCAAGATCTGGAAATTGCGCAGCAATACGAGCCAGCGAAGAAGAAGGGTGATCTATATGGGTATGCCATGGATGCCGTGAGAGAGTATTTTGGACCTCGGCCCGGACAAACACGATATGTCTCGTGCATGTTCCTGGATTCTCACTGGGACAAGCAGATTGGTACCGTTCGAGGACATGCTGCGCTTGGAGGTGGCGACGAGTCGATCAAGCTGGCCATATTTGGATCGCACTGCCTGCAGTCATATCCCGCCCATCTGGAAGAAGTTGTTCCCGCCTTTTCAGACTGCACGAGGACTGATACCAACTACGTGGCTAACGACTGTAATGAGGGAGGCAGCAATTGGGAATCTGCAAACATTGGCATTGGTGCGCACATGCATGAAACTGGCCATCTACTCGGATGTCCTCATCAGGAATCTGGTGTTATGTTGCGCGATTACACCAAGCTCAATCGAACCTTTTTATGCAGAGAGCCGTATTCAACGAGAACGAAACAGCAAGGCCAAAAGCTATGCCTGCCCAAAGACGAATGTACTTGGCACAGGCTTGATACACTACGGTTTCGATACCATCCAACCTTCCAGCTGCCAACTGACCAGGTCATGAATGCGGATAGAAGTGTGCAAGTATGGACTGTCGACAACAATACCGTGCTTGTTACTGCCGCTACTGGTGTGGCATGGATCGAAATCTATCCCGAGGGGGATGAAGTGTGCCATTACTTTGTCGAATATGTGGAACCCAGCAGCGGACCTAGCAGCGCACCCCGGGTGGTAACGTTGACCGAGAAGAGTATCCAGGATCAGCTTCCCAGTGAGAAGCGCAAACGAAAGATCAATCTGAAGGTCTTCAGCTGTGGAGGCGCTGAGCTTGAGGTGAAGGACTTCTCTCGGCTCTGCTCAAAGGAGGCCAGAATCAAGCTGCCAGACGGCAGACCGGGATTCAAAGGCTCGAAACTCGGATTCAGCCAGATGGACGGCTCTAACCCGCAGCAACTCATCCTGGGCAACTTTCACAAACAGGGAAAGTTCGACCAGAAGAAGCTTTTGATGACTATCAAAGTGTATCATGGTGACATGGTGGATGGTTTAGAGTTTTTCTATGAAGATGGAGTGAGTGAGCTCTTTGGAAAGCGAGGCGGCCGACCCGGTGGAAGCGATTTCGCGCTCAACTTTCAGCGTGGAGAGATGCTTTTGGGCTTCTATGTGAGAGCGGGCGCTTGGATTGATGGCCTACAGATTATGACGACTACTGGGCGGCGTAGTGAGATTTATGGAAAGGCGACTGGCGGTTCAGGGTAAGTGTACAGATGCCCACTCTATTCTCATCAGGCTAACATCAGTATCAGACACACGTTGATCCCTCCGCGAGGATACAACATTGCTGGTATCTACGGCAGTTGCGGGCACTGGCTAGACGGATTTGGCCTCATCATATCGAAATGAAGGAACAGCAAGGATTCAGCGGCGACAGACCCGTTTGAGCACACGCCCAGCGGCACAGTCCGCGACATCGAATTGCGAGGGCACCGGCAATTCAGAGCCGGATGGCCCATCGACAGACACATCGCCATTGCTTCTCGGCGAAATTCGCATATACAACCACAACACCTAATTCTGCCGATGGCAGCAGGACTGCATACATGGACATGGCAGGAGATGGGGGTTTCGGCATGACATGTCCCTTGGGGACCGCTGATAGACACATTTGCGTGCCTGAGAGGCGCGACAGGAATAAAGAAATGTATTTGCCTTTTGGGAAGTGCACCCAAGACAGCCTCGGCATAGAGAGGAAATGTCTCTTTTTCTTTTTGGGGGAGGGAGGCACTTTTGAGAATAGGCTAGATCATGACCTTGATTATTTCCCATTCCCTCGGGCGGTTGGGGCAAGGAACCTAGGTTTGCCATAGAGAAATGTAATGGGGAACGTAAACACAAGAAATGCAAGGCCGTCACTTGCCTTTTCCTCGCCTACCTACCTACCTATCTAATCACGTTACCTTAGGATGTGTAAGCCCGTCTCTGAGAGCCCGTCTCTGAGATAGGTCAGTTCATAGGTTCAGTATAGACTCTGTCTGTTGATTGTTGATTGATTGTTTGTTTGTTTGATTGATTGATTGATTGTTTGATTGATTGATTGTTTGATTGATTGATTGATTGATTGATTGATTGATTGATACTCATTGTATGCTTCTGAGTACAAGAGACAAGTATAAGGTATGCTGGGTAATGTATCTGTCTAATCTACCCGTCCTGATACAATCATACATGAAGGTATTGGATGCTCACTCACATTTTTTCTTCTTAGCGATATGTAACAAGCAAGATACATTCGCGACCTCTGCATATTACTCTTACTCTCACTCGCTCTTCAAAAGATGCCTTGGATTCCAATTTCCTCTTTAATCTCCTCGATCCTCTCCTTCTCCACTACACTCTCCAGCACCGTCTCCCACAACTCTTTTCGAATCTTCTTCCTCGCGGCAGAAATCTTGGCCCACTTTTTTCTCTCTCGCATCAGACGAGCTCTCTTCTCCGGATCCACGGGTTTGATACTCCCGCTCTGCAATCGAGCCAGTCGGTCTGCCAAGGCGAGTTTCTCCTGCTCCATTTTCTCGACGCAAGCTTGGAGTTCGGGTAGAGTGGTGGTGGTGGCTGAGGCCCCGGATCGTAACGATTGGCGCAATTCTTTCTCCTGGGCTTTGAGAGTGGCGATGGTTTCTCGGTATTCCTCCATCTTGGCCTCTTTGGCTTGCATGGCTTCTTCGAAGCCTTCTTCGACTTCTTCCTGGAGACACCACCGCTGCGTTAGCATAGCCGACATGCAGGCAGGCAAGGTCTTGGAAGGTCAGCATACTTGAACGGCAAAGTACACAATCTGCTTTCCAGCAGCCTTGCCATCAATCTCCTTCCGCTCATGCATGTCCTTGAGTAGTTTGGTGGCGGCAGCCTTGGTCACTTTGTTGCTGAGGTTGGCGCTAATGTCTGTGGCGGAGTACGGGCGATTAGTCGTGCGAAGGTAGTCGAGAATGAGTTTCGAAGATTCATCGGGACTGAGCTTCTTCTCCTTGACGTCGCCGTCTTTCTTTGTAGGCGCCATGGTGCTGAGGTGGAGGTGGGAGAGAGGATTTTTCAGGTATTGGTGTAGATTTTGGGAGAACTGGAGAGATGTTTGAGTCGCGAGATGGTGAGGTCGAAAGCAGACGCGAGGTGGAAAGTACCTGGTACCTTGGATTTGCAGGCAGATGTCGCTCTTTCCTCAATCGCGTCCATTCGACTCGCGCTTGCCATCCAGCGCAGCACCCGTCTCGCCACTGAACGACACAATCGGGAGCCGCTCGATCTGTCACATGACTGCGCTTCAGTCTGTCCTGACAGCGCCGCTAAAGAGCACAACTCCAGCCAGAACCCAGCCAGGCCACCATACACTCCACAGCACAAGACAGCTCCAGACACCTTGTGCTACCCAGCCCTTGGCAACCTCAAACAGTATCCCGCCGACGTCCATATTCAAGTACCAGCTCAGCGCGTAGAGCGTCGCAGGAGGAGAAAGAGCGAGCCAGAGCAGAGTCGTGGGGACACTCAGAGCGACGGCAAGATTACGCTGCTTGTCGCTGATGCCTGCCGAGGACCGCAGAGGCAGTGGCCGCACAAAGCCGAGCGGACAGGCGAGCAAGCCTACGGTAAGTGCCAGCGAGAAATTGAGAGTGGCCCACGTCGAAAGTGTGGCGCCAAGGAAGAGCAGCGAGAAAGACTGCATGGTCTGCAGCTGCTGCGAAGACGTGCGAGCATATCGGACCAGGAGGATCGAGAGATAGACTGGAAGTATGTAACTGCTGGTGGTGATAATGCCGAACGCATAAGGCAGTTTCTTGCAGAGATATTAGCACACGCAGCGCAGAATGGAGAAACGAATGTACTCACAGCCTTACTCGTATGCGTCAGCAGATACAGAGGTATCATACTGAGCAGATGCGTGCCCACCACGACAACAGCGGGCAAGAACATCCTTCTCTCCACGCTCTGCACCTCTTCCCTCGCCACAACAGCCACCACCCCTCCGTCTTTGATCGTGACCAGCTTCTCGCCCTTGGGCTTCACGTTCCCTTCACTCTCCAGTTTTCCAGGTTTCTGTACGGGGCCCCTGCCACTGAGAATCCAGAGTGCCAGCGCATTAATCGTGAAACTCCCTGCCACCAACATCGCAGCAGGTAAGTAGCTTCCGATGCTCACAAATCGATTCGTGTTCATCAAAATGTAAAAGAAGAAACTCTGATGCAAATGCTCCAACAGATTGTTGATACTTCTGAAAACACTTTCCGTGACCCGTCCCAGACTCATCTCGTCATGCCAGCCGTCTCCGACCGTCTTCAATGTAATCGCGTCGACGTGATATGGCATGAAAGCTGAATGTGGACCAGTCGCAACGCCTTGTGCTTGTGATAGAATCCCCGAGGCGATCGTTCGCAGTCGATCGGGATATTTGTCAGAGTGCTTGGTCAGGCCATGCAAGGAGCATCCAATGCCCATGTGTCCCGACGCAATCTGAACTGCAGTATTGATGAGGTCAAGATTCGGGAGTGCGCCATTGATGCCATCGTAAAGGACATCCAGCTTGTCGAAACGTTTCCCCCAAGGTCCCACGGGATAATCCAGTGCCACAGCACCTTGTAGTGCCCCCGCTTTAATCGGTAGAGCGCTGATGTTCCTGCTCGTGGTGGAAGCTATATCGGTGCTGTGGTATGCACTCACCCATGCTTCAGGGCCGTATGTGCTGTCCTCTGGAATCAGGAGAATCACGTCCTTGGACCAGATGCTCCACCTCTTGAAGTAGCGCGCCATAGTCAAAGCAAGAGCTACGCCAGAGTAGTTGATCTCGCCTTCAAAATTCTTCCATGCTGCAATCAGGACCATCGCTTCAGTGGCATCTGCTCGAGGTCCTTGAAGCAGGCCATATACATTTGTGCCCTCAATTTTTTCTCCTGCCACTTCAAATCCATATCGCTGAGTTGCGCTCTTGAGGTTGATCTCCTTGATAATCCTCTCGATACCTTCTATCCTCTCTGCAGAGCTTCTCTGACCGAGATCGTGCACCTCCTGTCGATATGCGCGAAAGATGTTATGTTCGCTGCCGCCAAAGTAAGTGTGAACCTGGCCGGGGAGGATCGCGTTCTCGGAAATGTACGTCTGTCGAGAGTATTCGTTCAGTGGCAGAAGGAGAAGCCATGTTATGCCGACCAGGATGCATATCGCAGAGAGGTATGGTGGCAGTTTGAGGAGGATAGGAGACCGCCGGAGGGTCAGCAGGCGCGCCGCTACGAGGGAAGATCAGTGAGCTTTCGCGATTGCGGCTTGGATACAGAAACATACCAAGCGCCATGTTGTGCTATAGCATTGGGATGTTGTTGTACTGTAGTCGTCAAGGAGAGGTGTTCTGTTAGGTATGCTATATATGCTTAAGTAATATTTGACGCGATTTGATTCGTACGGATCGACCTCCGTAGCGTAGGGATAGAGCGCCGAATGTACGTACCTCTACAGTTCCGAAAGTCTATCTTCTTAGTAATATGTCCTACGGGCTAGCCCGTTAGTAGTACAGAACGTCGGCCAATCTTGCTAATATAGAGGCCAATCTTTTCCCTACTAGAACTTGGTTTATACCTACTATATATATTGTATACCATATCCAAATATACGCTAACGTTAGAATTCTACAAATTCTATATATACGTCGCGTACACAATTATAGACATATACTAATCCGAGTCGATTAGTACTATATATATACGAATTTACGTATAGAACCGATAGCAATTCTCTAGCTTCTAATTAGCTATAGCCGATAACGACTAATAGATATACGACGCGATTAACAAGATAGCTATAGAGCCGACGCTAGAGCCGATCGATAATAATAATAGCGAATATAAGTAGTATTATACTATACCTAAATAGCTAAGTAACGGTTCTTCTCTAGCCGCTTCTCCGGTTGCTAGTTCTTTGTAGCTATATCGACCGAGCCTACGTCTTCTAAAGCGGCTACCTATAGTACTATAGTACGATCTATACAAGATACCTAATAATAAGGAAGAGCCCGAGATAGCGCTAAGTATACTAAGTAGAGATAGTAGTAGGCCTACGTAAGCTAAGGTAGAAGTATAACGACTAACTGCTATAGATAGCTACTACTCTATAAGTAGAAAGGTACGTAATAAGGCCTTATAGGCGATAGGCTCGGCAAAGCGAAGGGCGCTATTATCGTATATTAGTAGGATTAAAGAAACTCCTATAGAGATAACGCGAAATCTAGTATACGAGCAGTATATAGTAAAGGGTTTCGTATATTGCGTATATTCGGCGGTAGGGATAGAAGACTAGGTAGGTAAAAGGAGTAGCAATACGTATACGCGGTATCGTTATTCCGGAAAGTAGTACCTATATTAGTTTATACCTATATTAATAAGTTTATACCTATAACAATAAGTTTATACCTATATACTATTTGCTTATAGAGGGTAAAAACCTTAGGTTTTGTTAGGTTAGGGGCGGGTATAGATTACTATATATCAAAAAGTTACGTATTAGCAATTTTTATATAGTACGATTTTTGATTCTAAGCCGATTAGTACTATCTCCGTATTTATAGATACAACTAGGGGCATTTCTCTAGCCTCTTATTAGTCTATTAAATTAAAGCTTACTATCGGTAGTATCCTTATTACTATTGTCCTACTATATAGGCGCTATAAAATTATTATCTTTACTACGCTATCCGAACAACGCTAATAATAGTAGCCGTATACCTCCGCGCTTATCGTTATATCCTTACTCTTACTATATCTCTACGCCTAGCCCGCCGGCTATTATCAACTCGTCTTTGTTGTCTTGCGTACGCGTACTATATATACCTCTCCTACCTAACCGAATAAAGTTATCTTTATTGAATTCAAGCGAGTTACTACTACCTATATATCCTTACTCTTACTGTATCTCTTTACCGAGCCCGCCGGCTATTATTAACTTATCCTTATCGTTACGCGCGGTATATCTAGCTCTTCTACCTAACCGAATAAAGTTATCTTCGTTAAATCCGAGGCTATCTCCTACTCCGAGCTCTATAGTATAATCTTCGTTAAGGTACTAATTTATAATCTTATTAATAGATCTATACTACGAATCGCGTATCGTTTGCCGTAAACGTATATAGGTGTCTTGTATGTCTTTGTCGCTACCGTTCTTAGGCATAAGTCTCTCTAGGGCTCGGCGGTTAATATCTGCTTTACGTACGATACCTATACTTCTAAGAGAGGTAGTAAAGAGCGAGAAATCGAATAGCTTCTTAAATATAAGGGTTTTGACTGTCTTTACTCTTAAAACAGCTATATATCGTAGGCCGGAAGTAAACTTATATATAGTAATATCTACTATAGCCTTGTCTAGTATTATGCCTTATACTTTGTAGACGGTTATAGTAAAAGCAATACAGATCGGAAATTGCTTTCGCTAGTATTCCTACCCTCTACGATAGAATATACGCTTAGTCCTAAACAGTAGTATAGTAATATACGAGTCGTACTCTTTAAGGACTAGACTACTATAATTGTCGCGTTTAATACGGAAAATTAGGGCCTATAGTAGAGTACTCCGAGGATTAGTAGTATTAATTAGCTACTTAATATCGTATAGGTATCTAGTAGTACTATTTACCAATCTAGTTTTAGTCTATATATTAGAAAGAAGCATAATTCTATAGCCGATTGCTACTTTAATCTTATCTTCTAATTAACTATACTTATTAACTAAGGCCCGACTACTAATAAGTTTATTATTATACCTAGCCTTTAATCTTAATACTAGGTTGTTAGTCTCCTATAGGCAGCGTTCGTTATAGTCTCTAACGTCCTCGTTTCTAAAGTAGATATATATAGTATTATCGAAAGATCGGCGTTTACGAGCGCTTAAAGTAGACGTAGTACGTAAAGCGAGCAACTACTAGTTACTATATAAGAGGGTATTAGTACGAAGGCCTTCTAGAGCGCTACGGAAGAGGATTTGTCTATTGCCTTATTATCTTATAAGGCGAGTCAATTCGATCGTCTAATAGAAGGCATAATAGACTTTACGCCCTACGATATCTATTAACTTATCTATAGGTACTATAAACAGCGTATTCCCGGAAACAGGTAGTAATTAGAAGAAGTCTCTATAAAGTACAATATTGATACCGCTAAAAGGTCTACCTACTATAGAGGGCTTGTAATAGGCGTAACTTAATTATCTTTAACTAAGAGAGACTAATTATCGACTTCTCGTCAATAATTAAGTAATTAATACTAGCGAGATCGGCCTAGACGGTTTATAGACTCGCTACCGAGAGTTCTTTGAATATACTACAAGTCGGCAGCTTAAGTAACTTATATAGTATTGAGCGGCTGAGCGTGTTTTCTTTACGTAGGGCGTTAGGGCAGAGCCGAGAGCCGGGCGGCCCGGGAGGGCCGTACCTCTCCCGGCGGGTAGCTATATAGGGTGCTTTTCTTCTTTTTTATAGGGGACGAGAGGACGGACATAATCAGGACGTAGACGTACGGATACCCACTCTACTATAATTGATGTCGTTACCCTACGGTGCGCTTTGTCTTCTAATATTACCTTTCCTACTACCTACGGGCATTTACGCGTCCTTCCGGACCTCTACCTATCCTACCCCTTTCACCGCGGAGCTACGCCGCGACCTACCGTAAGCCGAGCCTATCCGATCGTCTACTCGAGGACGGTAGTAGGAGAGAGGGCTTTACGGTAATAAATAGAGCCGAAGGTAGGGCTATTACATACAAAATGTAAGAGCAGGAATGGTTGTAGGTTAGAAGAGGAGGGTAAAAAGGGATAGGTATAGGGGACAGGATAGGAGATAGGGATAGTGTTTGACCCTAAAAAAAAGAGACTATTACAACGCGGTGCGAGAAGGTATAGTATTAAACGACAGAGTTCGAGGTTGATTAGGCGCAGTTCCTAGGGCGTAGTTCCTATACCAGGTAATACGGTATAAGGTCAAGGTACGATACGATATAGTAGGGCGTAGTTCCCGATTCGGTATAAGGAAGGGTATAGGTCCCAATCAGGTATAGGGCAAGCTACGATATAATACGGTTACGAACATAAGGCAGGGAAAGTAATTAACGCGACGTTAGAGAAAGGGGTCTTTGGCCTTAGAGATAATAGACGTTATAGGGAGGCCGACAGCGAGATATAGGCCGCAAGAGCGAGCGGCCGACTAATATCGCAGAACGGAAGAGGGGACTCGGGATTTGAGTTGTGCTAACTATAATACAGGTACCGAAAGGGGTCAGGATTTGGTTAGGCCCCTAGGGCCTAACCGAAAAGGGTAGGATTAAAGTATTACTGCCCGTAGCCGAGGAGATTAAGACAGAAAACAAGACTAAAGACGAACACATATACGTATATACTAAAGAACGAGAACGTACCGAACCTATATACGTACGTACTAACGAACGAGAACGATATTAGCTACCGAACACTCCGACCCCGTTGCTAATAGCCCCCGCCGCGCTAACTCGATTAAGAACGCCTCCGTAGACTCGGACGAGCACGATCGATAGCTTAACATCTCGATCCGAAACCGCCCTATTAATATAGTATCTGGATCCGGACTAGCCGCGGCTAGACCTTCGGTATCTATGCCGGCGTTGACTCCGTCGAGCAGCTCTACTTATCCTACTACGCCGAAACCGATAAGCGCGGAAGAATAGCACCGGGCTATAGAGCTCCTCGTAATAAACCAAAACGTTATATCCTCGATAACCTCCGGCGTCGCTAGTATAATAGAGAAAATCACCGAAAGGAGCGAGAGGTCTACGAAGGAGCCGCCTATACCTAGTACCGACGGCAACCCTACGTTTGACGGAAACAATATTACGGACGCTCTCCGTCGTTACGAGATAATAAGGGACAAGTACCGTATAAGTAAGGACGAAAAGGAGGTTATCAACGATTTTCTTCTTAAATGCGATATAGTTACCCGCTCTAAGATCGAAGGCCTCGACCTACCTAGTAACAACTGGGCAGAATTCAAGGAGAAGGTAACTATCAATTATGTCGAGAAGGACTACTATAGCAACGTTACCTCCCGGGAGTACCTTAACCAACTGTATAATACCCCGCGCGACGAGACTAGTAACAACCTGCATTTCCTAAAGCAATTTACCGCCGCTATTAGGCGCTACTCTACGGCGGAGCTCTCTAACTTTGACCGTACCAAGCTCTTTCTAAAGGGCCTGCCTAACAAAGTAGAGATAGTCCTTCGGGGGGAGTTCGGTCTATACCCTAAGTTACTAAAGACGTATAACAACTTTAAGAAGGTTTTCGCTACTAGGAAAAGGCTTCTTGAAGGGATAGATAGTTAGCGGTATACGAAGGATCCGACTACCGTAGCCAGACTCGGCAAGTTGTAGGATAACTTGGCCGGCGCTAGTTCGACTTCCTTTAAGGGTATACCGTCGATTACGGCTCCGGCCTCGAAGAACGACAAGTTTAACTCTAAAGTTAACGCTCTTGCCGAGCAGTTTGACACCCTCCGACTCGACCTCTACTAGGCCTTCTAAGGGAGAGGAAGCAGCAACGCGCGCCTAGTAAACCCGCCTAGCGTAGTTCAGGCTTATTATAGTACAGTTGCCTTAGGCTCCGATTTAGTCGGGCCTCCGGGGCCTAACCAAAATCTCGGGTACGGATCTGCTGCCTACTACCCTACGACGTCCGTACCTACTAACTCGGCTAGAGCCCTATCCGGTACCTATAGTACGTAGTATCTACCTATACCCGGGCCGTCGAACCCTAATAGCCTATATTTATCCGTAGAACCGGCGAGCATCCGTATCGATACGATGCAGGTTACTAGTCTATTAAAGGATTGTTGTTTCCAATATAGTAACGTCTCTTACTTCGCCCGTAAATGCCCGATTATAAGTAACCTTACCTAGCGGGGGTTTATACATCGGAATAAGAGGAATTACTACTTTTTTGGCCGGGCCGGTCAATCTCTATCCCTACGAGGGATTAAGTATAGATAGGACTCGCAGTACCTACGCCTGTCCTAGATCCTGCCTTAGTTAGAACGGGAGATGAACTATAGCAACCCGATTGAGTTCCCGGCCTATCTTCGTACAGCTATTAATGCCGCCAAAAAGAGATTCTGTCCTCGGGACCAACTTGGCGTTCCCCCGGTAGTTGCCCCGCCTACCGTCGCTACGTAGGCTCTCCTTGCTCCGCAGGCTGTCTAGGCCTATCCGTAGGCCGTCTAGGCCTATGCTTTCTTAGGCTATACTACGTAGGATCGGTACGCTACCGAGTGTAAGGATAAACGAGCGCAGGTAGAAGAGATTACGGATGAAGAGGATACGACTATCCTTATTTAGGCTGCAACGCGACCGGCTAAGGAACTGTCGCGAGAGGACTCTTAGCAGAAGGAGGCAAGGAGGCTTATACCTACTATCCTAGAGAAGAGCTACCTAGCAAAGGTAGTTAAGGCTAAGGCTAAGGGGCAACAGGGTGCCGCTACGACGAAACAGTTAGAGAGGGCGATATAGAGGTCGATTCTTCCTATAGTTAGTAGTAGGTCTCGGGATCTAGATACGGATAACGACTACGATAGCGGGTATAAGGTAGAAATAGTCGACCTAGAGGATAAGGAAGCTATACTTAGACGAAGCTAGGATTACGCTACCGAGCTAGCCCCGGTAAACCCGCCGACGAAGACGAAGAAGAAGCCCGCGATACGCCGCCTAGATAAACTGATTTAGGACAACGAGCCTAGGGAGGGCGTTATCCTATCCTTTTCGTCCTCTAAAGATTTCGTCTTTAGTCTGCTTACGAATGCTATACTACCGGCGATAACGGTTAGAGAGGCACTTCGGATAGGTAACCTATTTACTAAGGGTTTGTTCGCGAGGTTTGCTAACGATCCTACTACTTAGGAGGCCGTTAAGCGTATTATGAATCGAGGGACCGAGACGAGCCCTCCTACCTAAGTTATTGTTGCCGAAACGTCGATTGTTCGCGTAGGGGAGGAGGATGTCCGTCGCCCGGCTCGGGTTCCTAACCAGATGTTCGTTTAGATGTTCCAAGCCCCTAGGCAGTATAGCGACCATAAGGCTATAGTTTCCCGCCCGCGCCCCCGTCGTCCGGAGCAACTCTACGAAAGAGCAGAAGATATTAACCTGTCGGCGGTAACGCAGGACTATACTATAGTACCTAGCATCTAGGTCCCGGTAATGTTCGGGAATAACGTAGGCAAGGTCTGTAAGAGACTAGTTAATAAGGGCGCTAAGTTAGTTATCCTTCGGCAGAGTATCGTTTAGAAGTACGGTTTGCTAATAACGTACTAGCTAGATAAGATTAACATGTCTACGGCAAACGGGTTGACTAGGATTGTCGGG